CTCCGATAGGGGGAATCGAACCCCCGGCTGCCGTGTGAGAGACGGCGATGTTAGCCACTACACCATATCGGATGCTGTGTGAACGTGTACCACATAGTATTGTCATCACATAATGATCAAAGATGAGCTTGAAAGAAGGAAAAACACAAAAAGATGACCTCCGATAGGGGGAATCGAACCCCCGGCTGCCGTGTGAGAGACGGCGATGTTAGCCACTACACCATATCGGATGTTGTGTGAAAGTGCGGCCACTTATTAATTAGAGGGACCAGAAAAAAATAAGACACCCAATGCGTAGGATAACTAGCTCTTATCATGGTTCTTTTTACACTGGGCGCTTGAAGAACCTGCTGCACGTGCCCTACCTAGCTCCTTTCCTGGACAGGAAGCTCTATTCAATTGCCCTGCGAATTCTTGACCCGATCTGTTCAGTCCAAGTGTTTTATCTGCGGACGATCCATATTTTACTGATTTTGATGGGGCGGAACGGTTTCAATTTTTTCCTTTCTTATTTTCGATAGTATACATATGTTTTGCGCATTCGCAGGTTGCACTCGTAGAAAACGGCTATAGCCATCTATGGTCTTGCCGAATCCCTTTCTTCCGGACTTTGATTCAATGACCGGATATCATGGTCCCCTCTTTGGAAAAAAAGATCACCGTAGAGCTCCCTTCAGGTCCAAGCATAATGCGATTATGTGTGATCTATTTTCATATATACCTAGATGCCTGTCTGTATTATATATATGCAAATGCGTATTCTAGACATCATCAAACACCACTAAACACCTTTTATCCAGAAGCTTCCTCAATCCCTTTAACAATACCACCAAACCACCGACTCACCCCTTGAACGGTGCAAACCTCGACATAGCCCGCAACCGCTTCCCGTACACCATAAACAGGAACGGCACCGGGATTGCCGCCGCCGCCACACCCCCTAGGATCGACATGGCCGGGCCCACGCCCAGATTATGGAACATGGGCTGCGAGAAGAGCGGGAACGCCGCCGCGAGCACACTCCGCAGGAACGTGTTGGACGCCGTGGCGGACGCGGCATAAGGCCCGTACGTGTCGACCAGAAAGTTGATGCACTGGCCGAATATGATGCAGAACCCGCAGCCAAACATGCCCGCCGCCACGCAGGGCAGCGCCCAGTGGTACTTCGGTGCGGCGGTCCAGCCAAACCAGAACAGGCCCGCCGCGAACAAGAACCCGCCGACGGCCATGGGCATGAGGCGAGCCTCGGGCACGGGCTTGCCGCCGCCTTCGTCGAATTTGCGGATGTAGTAGGGTTGGCCGACGAGGATGACGAAAGAGGACGACAGGAGGACGCCGACGAAGAGGGCGATGAACGGGAGGGTGGCGACGACGGGCTTCCACTGGCGGAGTTCGTCGAAGACGATGGGGAAGACTTCGAGGGTGAGGTAGAGGAGGGCGTAGGTGAAGGAGGCATACAGGGCAATCACGGTGACCATGGGCTCGGTGACGAGCATTACCAAGGGCCGGGAGAAGTGCTTCGTCACGATGCTGTGGGCGTCGATTTTCATATGCTCGTGGGGGTGGTAGAGGTCCGCATTGCCGGTTTCCTTGCGTAGGCGCACGGCCTTCTTGTGCAAGAGCACGGGGCCGTACATCTCAGGCAAACAGAGGAAGGTGACGGCGAATACGAAGAACACAAAGATCGCTTCGATATATTCGGTCCAGCGCCAGCCGAGAGAAGGGTTCGACACCAATGCCGCCCCGATGATGGGTCCCATCGTGGGTCCGCCAACGACGCAGATGGCATACGAGGTCGAGGCTATCCCCCGCGCTTTCATGTGAAAAATATCCCCGAGGGCGGCGGAGACGTTGCTGACGGGAGCAGACCCAAACAGCCCAGCGAAGTACCGCGTGATGAGCACGGAAGCAGTAGTCTTGCTGGTCGCGGTGCCGATGCTAAATAGACCCATGCAGAATACCGCTGGGAGCATCGACCAACGACGACCCCAGATCTCTGAGATCGGCGCCCAGCACAGCGGACCGAAGGCGAATCCGAGACTATCCTCCGTCAATTGGACTGTTTTTAGATGCTAGAGAGTGAATCTTACATGTACAGCGACGTGGCCAGGATGCTGACCTCTTTACTGATCCCAAGGTATTCAATTAGGTCCGTTTGCGCAGGGGAGATGATACTCGATCCCAAACTGGCACTTAGGGCCAGCATCCCTAATTGGAAGGTGATCCAGCATTTATACGCCGTCGAGAAGTTTTGTGGATTTTCAGGGTCATTTTCCTCCCATCGCACCAGATTAGGATCGGGCGAGGATACGGGCTTAGCGGCCTTTTCGACATCATTAGATGGCGGTGTTGACGAGACCGTTGTTCCAGGCACTACCGTCATGCTGCCTGAAGAATTTGGGTGTGCAGCAAATTCACCACTTCCCCTCGCATTCTAGAAGACGCAAGCCTTCGATCTTTATTGGGATTGCCACCGGGTCTCGGCACCGCGAGTGACCGAGGCGACCCTCTTAGTGTCGGAGGTCCGACTCGGATAGTCCGATGAGCCAATCATAACGTCACAACAGGGGTAGAATTAGTCAACGCGAGTCAGAAAGAGCGCTGCTGACGACTAGAGAAGGTCTGTGCTGAATTCTCCAATTCCCCTGGTGTACGGAGTATTGCGTCGGCGGTTGCCGATATCACTGACTCATGGGCGGAAGAATCTTCTTTCGCTGGTGATAGCCTCGATCCTGTTGTTCCAGCTCTATCCAGGAACAGGTGCGCACCCAAGCCGAAGGCAATAAGACCATATCTCTTGCTACACAGCTTCCACGGACCTGATCTCTCTATCGGTTGATGTGTTGCTCCTCTTTTTCTCGGCATCAACCCGGCTCGACCCGCCCAACTGCCAATCACACCCGGTTTCAGTGTCAGTGATTGCGGAGCGGGAGCTTGGCAGATACTGCTTATCCCAACGCGCATAGAAAGAGCTATTGCATGTTAGATCTTTGAGGAGTAGCACTTGATGTGGGAAGTGTCCATAGAAAGATAGCCCCTCGAAGCGCGAAAGAAGTTGCAAGTCAGTATTGCGGGGAACTGTAGTCTTGAACCTAAAATTCTGGACTTCCTGCTTGGCGACACCATCACCTCGGGACGGATACCTTCGCTCGCACCGCATACCGCTGTCTGCACTTCAGTTCACTCTGCATCCCATTCACAGTTGCCGTCATGTCATGTGTATGTATCGGACAAGTGTGCCATTCGCGGTAGCCCCTCGCGAGCACTACTCGACGAAACACAGACTGCAAGATCGAGTCGGTGCACTGAGATATCTGTTGCATCGCTAAAAATCGCATCCAAGTGCGGGCGAAAGATCGCATCTCCCTGCGGGGTGTAAAACCACAAGACACTTTTGACTTTTTCGGTTGCGTCGCTCCAGCTCATTAGATTCAAGGCGCCTGCTACCATCCGGGCTTTCTCCAAGAACCATTGGTAGTGAGCGGGGTGAGTTCCGGCAGAAGCGACCATCCCAATTGCTACGAACCAAACATCAAGGGAGGAATGAACGTGGGGCATCAGATCGAGGAGCTTGAGATGCTGCACAAATCGCATGACCATCGTGTTCAAGATGACTGCGTGTGAGTAGTATGTTGGACCATGGATGATGAACATGTAGATGATGGTGGCGTAGCGGATGCATTCGGTCATAGAGTATGGTATTGATGGCGGTGTTGGAGAATTTGGTCGCGCAGAGTCTAAGGGGGCCGAAAGAAGTAGTCGGTGGATGACAAAACATGTCAGGTCGTGGAGATGGGTCGGTGGGAAGGGTATACGGCGCGCACGCTGAAAGACGTTGCGGAGACGGATGAAGACGTTCCGAACCGAGTACTCAAGATCGTCCTTAACGATGTGGACAAAATCGACTACTCCGTCCTCAAGGAGGTCCGTCGAGGAAGCGTATTGGTATTCAGCAGTTGAGGGAATGCCATCTCCGATGCCGACATCGTCCTGCGTTTCGAATTGGGGGTGGCCTATGACAAGCATCGATACCCTGGCGGCATACGTCAGAAAGCTTTTGCTGGGGGACAAGTCGACTTACCAACTGATCATCCGAGCAGTCAAAGGGCTGGTCTGTCTTACTGAATTGATGCCGCCTCTCAGCGTGACCAACTTCTTAACCCCGCGGACATGCATCCCGGCAATGTCGACATTCCCCTTGCCAAACTGGTGCCGCGGTGATCAGCACTGCGTCAAAGTGTAGAATCTCAGAACTTACTTCAATAGCCGCCAAGGTGATAACGGAGTTCATCGTCCCATCCTGAACAGCCAGGGACTGGTCGTCAATCTTGCGGCGTAGTAGCGACACCGAGTCAGTCATGAGGATTTCCGAGGCCTGGAAGCCCTTCTGAGCGAGCAGCTCTTCGTCCAGACACGCTGTCTGCAGAGAGACATGAAACAAAGCCGGATCGCCCAGAGCCAGCGGCCACCATGAAATAAGAAACGGATTGGTCGTTGCATTCAAGTCCAGCGGATAGTACTGAAAGGCAATTTTGTGCAGGACTGGCAGGTAAGTCGAATTGCCTGGTACAAGCTAGGTGAAAGCAATACGTACAACTATGGATCAGACGTTGAACGCGTTCCCGGGGCAATCGCGTTTGGGGGTAGGAGTCGAAAGGGTCGAGACCGGGGAACCTGTAGCTGGTCAAAGCAGTTGAGTAGTTGGGCGCTATCGTCGATCCGCTATCCTCCGGTGCTGTCAAAGGTTGATTTGCGTAGACGCACGGAACGTTGCGCTTGATACAGCGCGAGCAGCGCGGAGTGCGGAGATCGCAGCTATGTTTGTACTTGTAACAGGCGGTACAGGAGCGACGAAGTGTTCGCGACATTGTGGTGTTATGCAGTGTGGACTAGATGTGTTTCTCTCGAGATTGTGCCACGGAAGAGAAGAGTGTTGGTGGAGATGAAGAACCGATCTAGACTGTGTAAGGGAAAGGGTCGCCAAGCGGATGCCGAGGGATGCTGCCTGCGCTTCAGGAAGATCTGGAGGAAAAGAACACCCGACTTCGTCAACTGAGAATCTCTTCCTCAGGGGCCATGGAATATCCAAGTAGTAGCGCCAATGTCATTCAAGTGGTTTGTAAGGATTGGAAATGATAAACAGCAGCCAGAGATGAAACTGTGGAGTGTGAAGTGATTGAAGAGGGAATCAATGGCCATTGAAGCTATTCGAGTCTAACCCGGAAGAGACTAGAGCCCGAATGTGTTTTCGGGGTCTAGTCCCAATCGGGTCATGTATACAAAATGCCAGAGCATTTCATCGCATGATGATGAATTAATGCAGCCACTCTCCTTTTCTCATGTTTCAGTCCGTTCGTATAAAGCAGTACAATGACCACTCGTCTCGAAAATTCCCCTAATTACTTTCCTCATCCAACATCACTATGGCTGAGTTCGTCAACATCACCACAGCGCACCTCGCGCAGCCGCCAACATGGCCCAACCCAGCATACTCCTCCTTCCTATCGGGCTGGTCCACCTGGCAGTATATCGTGACGTTTCTACTGGGAGTAGTAGCTTACGATCAAGGTTGCAATACCCCCTTCAATTACCAGCCAGTCACTGACTCCGCACGAATAGTCATGTACATCAAGCGAAAGGGCTCTATCGCCGGTCCGACATTCAAGATCCCCCTCATGGGCCCGTTCCTCCAAGCCATCCATCCCAAGTTCGATGAATACCTCGCTCAATGGGCGAGTGGACCATTAAGCTGCGTCTCCGTCTTCCACAAGTGCGTTCCACCACATCGATCTCTTACCAACCCCTCCTGATCTCCGTACAGATTCGTCGTCCTCGCCTCCGACCGCGACCTCGCGCACAAAGTCTTCAAATCCCCCACCTACGCAGAACCGTGCCTCGTCCCCATCGCCAAAGACATCCTCGGCCACAAAGCCTGGGTCTTCCTGCAGGGCAAAGCGCACGCCGAGTACCGCCGGGGCTTGGCGCCGCTGTTCACCAACAAAGCCATGGAGACCTACCTCCCAGCCCAGGAAAAGGTCCTAGCGGACTACTTCGACCGATTCGTGGCGGCCAGCGCGGCCAACGACTACCAATCAATCCCCTTCATGACCCTCTTCCGCGAGATCAACTGCGCGCTCTCGTGCCGCACCTTCTTCGGGGACTACATCTCGCCGGACGCCATCCAAAAGATCGCGGATGACTTCTACCTGGCGACGGCGGCGCTGGAGCTGGTCAACATCCCGCTGTCGATGTACGTGCCCTTCACGAAGCCGTGGTGGGGCAAGCGGACGGCGGACGCGGTGCACGCCGAGTTCGCGCGGTGCGCGGCGGCCTGCAAGGCGAACATGGCGCGCGGGGCGCCGCCGACCTGCATCGTGGACCACTGGGTGCGGCACATGATGGAGTCGAGCCGGTACCGCGCACGGCTGGCGGCGGGCGAGGCCGTGCCGGACGAGGAGAAGCCCAAGAACCTGATCCGCGAGTTCACGGACCAGGAGATCAGCGAGACGCTGTTCACCTTCCTGTTCGCCTCGCAGGACGCCTCCAGCAGCGCGACGACCTGGATCTTCCAGATCCTGGCCCAGCGGCCGGACGTGCTGGCGCGCGTGCGCGCGGAGAACCTGGCTGCCCGCGGCGGCGACCGCTCCCGCGCCTTCGACCTGCCCATGCTGGAGTCGCTGACCTACACCAGCGCGGTCATCAAGGAGCTGCTCCGCCACCGTCCGCCGGTCATCTTCGTGCCCTACCTCGCGACCCGCGACTTCCCCATCACGCCGGAGTATACCGCGCCCAAGGGGGCGATGGTGATCCCCTCGTGCTGGCCGGCGCTGCATGACCCTGAGGCGTATCCGAACCCCGAGGTGTTCGACCCGGACCGCTGGATCACGGGGGACGCCGAGTCGAAAACGAAGAACTGGCTGGTGTTCGGGGCGGGGGCGCACGATTGCCTGGCCCGCAAGTACGTGCCGCTGTCGATGGCGGGGATGATTGGGAAGGCGGCGCTGGAGCTGGACTGGACGCATCATGCGACGGCCCGGTCGGAGGAGATCCGGGTGTTTGCCACGTTGTTTCCGATGGTGAGTTTCCTTGACGTCGTGTTGATACGTGGGACTGAAACTGACATGAGATAGGACGAGTGCCCGCTGGTATTCAGGAAGCGTCCTTAGCTTCAACAGTCTTGCAAATCAAGATCGACTCGATGCAGGCCATCGAGCTAACCACGCATGTACAGTACATATAACACATAATATCTCCCAACACGAGATAGCATGGGACCCTCCAGCGCTGGCAACCATAGATAAAACAACCAGTAATCAGCACATCACCCATTGCTCTACCCTGTCTTATCCTGTGTGACCAAATCCATAATCATGCCAATCACACACAGTGACTCAGAATCCTATCCACTCTCCAATAGACCACCAGACAGCTAAACAGGAACCCAGTACCGCCACCTCCCCGCATTTCCATCCCCATTAGCCTCCCCAAGCCCATCATCTCTCTCCCAATCCCCCTCCCCCTCCCCCATCCCACCACCAGAACCACCACCCCCAATCTCCCAAACCATCCCCCTTTCCAACACCACGGCCCCTCCACCACGCACTCTCCTCCCATCCCCACCCAACCCAACACCTAAACTCCCAGGACCACCCCCACCCCCACCCCGCCGCCGCTTATAAGCCCGACACAAAAAGCTCCGATCCCAGCTCCGGTCCCCCTCCCACGGCCGCTTCCGGCTGCGCACCCGGTAGTCCGAGACGCGAGCGAAGTAGGAGCTATCCGGGGTGATGAGGGGGGGATTGATGGTGAGGGTGAAGAGGGGGTTGATTTGGTTTCTGGGAGGATGGTCGTGGGTCTGAGTTGGGGCTGGGGTTGAGTTATTGTGTATCTGGTTGTGGTAATTGTTATGTCGCTGGTGGTGATGTTGATGGTGGGGTAGGCGGGGTGGGGAGGGGGTTGTATTGCTGCTGCTGCTGGTGCTGCTGCTGGTGGAAGATCCCGTTGTGCTGCGATAGTGAATCGCGAGCTGGCTCTGCGGATAGGGAGATGGAGATGGAAACATGTTGGGATGATTCTGATGCTCGTGTCTTTTGAGCGGAGGGTCGTTGTGGGGGTGGGGGTGGGCGTTGTGCATGGCTGTGGGTGCGCAACCAATGCTGCAGCCCACAAGTCGATGCCCGTGGCTGTGGCTCGTCACCCTGCAAGGATGCAATCCCCTTCCGCGGTAGGGGGCGTGGGCATCCTCACGCCCACCACCCGATAATATGGCCAGAATGCTCCAGAGCGATAATCCCCGCTGCAGACCCTCGCGGAGGGTGGCGTGCTCGTAGCGGCGCCGCGCGAGTCGGGTGCTTTCATAGTAGGTCTTGTGGCGCTCGGATTGGAGGAGGATCGGGGGTTCGATGGGTTGCGGAGGAGGAGAAGGAGGGCTGCATGTTGGACTGGCAGTTGGGAAAGACATTTTGGAAGAATACACAAGAAGTTTTATTAAGATGGGGAGCGTTGCATGGTGATTGCACCTAATATACGCACGCGCTGATAAGCATATTAGCCGATCACTCCCCCCCCACACGACACACGGGATGTCATGTTTCATCGACGCGGCAGAAGGTCTCCACGGGATCATCGTCCACGTACTGCCTTGCGTGTACAGCTCAAATTTGGATCCTCTACTCCTAGGACCTACACATACCAAGTCATCAGATAAGATTGGCCATCCATGTAGTCATCTACTATACATTCAGTCGTCATCCGACAAAAGAGATAAAACTCAGACAGGCAAGAAAGTTTTAAGATAATACAAGCAAAACATCCCGACTCCCAACACCCCACCGCCCCGCCAAACAAATACTACCTAGGTGTAAATGTGAAGTCTCGCCTCTATCGAGGGGCATGCTGTGGTGTCATCTGTCCAGGAAGTGGCCCCGGGTTCGACCCCTGGCTGTACACGCGATGGTGCCCGGGAGCCCCATGCGGACCTGGTTCTAGACCTCCAGGCCCTGGGGGCCGTGCTTGCATCGCGTGCACAGCCCCACTAGGAGCATAGCTCAGCCCTCCCGCGGGGTTTGGCTGCAGGATCGCCGGGGGTGTGTATGACCGACCCATCGCCATCCCCTGCGGCCCTGGCCCAGGCAGGCCTGCTGCCCGAGACATTTGAGCCTGCGGGGGCGGAGTGCTGTGACCGTACGCTACGGCACCAGCCAGTCCCAGCGCTGATCGATGAGCCGCCTGTTGATGGGCTCCATTCACCATGGTTTGGACGTGCTGCTGATAAGTCTGATGGTTCGCATGTTGTTGCGCAGACATGCCTCCACCGGGTGTGGCTGGTGCCGACACATATGCCGGCTGTGCCACAGTTGGCTGTCGGGATGGCATCCCCAGTAAGTTAGCAGGCGACTGAATTGGCGTAGGCGGCCCTTGTCTGGAGCCATACGACGCGAGACTGCCGTTCCGGGGGGTCGGAGAGCCAACTGCCGGTCGATACATCGCATTCTGCGCAGCAATTTCGCGCGATGCAGCCGCACTTGCCTGGGCATGTGACGCAGGGGAAGGGACGTACACTGAGCCATGATAAGCAGGTCGCTGAGCCGTAGCCGGCGAGGGCGTAGGCGCAGGCGATGGTGCTGTGAGGTTCTGTAACGAGGGACCAGGCAAAGACTGGTGGGACGTGTAGGGGGAATAGGCGGGTTGGGAAGCGAGAGAGGCAGACGTGCGGCTGCTGGGCTGCGGCTGCGGCTGCGGCTGCTGCTGCGGGGGTGGTGGCGGCTGTTGCCCACGCGGATCGAACCGTGCCATCCAATCGTTAGTGGCTGGTGCGGCACCTCCAGACACCGAGCCGTAAGGCTGGTGGTACTCGGCGTATCCGCGATCAACGTACCCGCGCGATGGCGGAAGATACGGGCTAGGCGCGTTATAAACCGGACCCTTCGGTTGAGCTGACAAGGAAGGGTCTTCAGGCCTCGAAGGTGGCTGGGAAAGCGACTGCATACCAGCATACCCAGCACGGGACGGAGATCCCGTGTTGCTTGCTGGGGTAGATACCTGGTCACTGGCGAACCGTTTACGTGGCTGTGGCTCTTCTGGCTCGTCGTTGAGAATACTCATGATATTCGATCGTTTGGCAGGCACACGGGGCGGCTCGGGGGGCTCAAGAGGAGTAGACCCCGTTCGGAGAAGCTCCTTAGGCGGCGACAGCATGGGCGGCTGAGCGATACTTGCTGGTTGGCCTGGCAGAGTGAAGAAAGGCCTCTGCGAAATCGAGTCACGACGGATGGGGGAGTGTTCAGGCTCGTGTACCAAAAGTGGCTGAGCGGGTGAGCTGGGGGTCTTTGTAAGGCTCGGCTGTCGAGAGTGAGACCCGGTGGGCATCAAAGACGATGGATGCTGGGGCGGCATATAAGCAGGCTGCGAGGCAGGAATCGCAGCCTGTACTGGTAGCAATGGCGATCCATGAATGTCGACGTTGGAATTCCGATAACCCTGAGCATGGAGCGGGTCGAGACGTGCCATTTCTGCAGCTGATACTGGCGTTTGCCGGGACGAGACGGTTAATTCCTGAGCATGAGAGGCGGGAGGGTGTGAAAGCACTGTGCCTGGGATCTCACGCCGGTCGTCAGCGAAATATCCCAGACGAGGTCCCTGGAGTCGTGGTGGCAATGTAGCCTGAGGACGCATGGCTCTGGAAGCGTCATCGCCGCCAAGGATAGGCACCGGTACGGCACTAGCCTGTGCAAGAGGAGGGTAACGCGAGATGTTTCGCTCCTTATCTTGCGTAGGTCGAGTATGAAGAGGAACCTGCTGAGATGACCCGATTGGCTTGGTTTTGGGCCCAAGCCGGCCTTCGTCCACTTCAGGCACTGCTGCATCTGTATGTGGTGCAAGAGGCCGGGGCATAATTATGGCAGACGGCGTAGCCTCGTAGCGTCGCTTCGAGGCAAAATTCGGTACAGGCAAGGGGCCAGTGGGTTCACCGCGGGCCTTCTTCGCCTCAGCATCGGCAACAATCTCCTCGAAATCCTTGTTACCGGAATCGATGCGGCGCTGAAAGTAATTCTTGACCTATACCACACCTTTAGCCGACGGTGCAACAAAAAACAAAACAGAAAATAGCGAACGTGAAAACCTACCATGACTGTTGTTTTGGTCTTCATGAAATTGGAAATACCCTCAAAATCGCGGCCAAAATGTGCCAGCAGCAAGGGAAAGTCGCGTTGCTCGGGCACCGACCAGTAACTGGTGGGCTGCAAGGATCCGTATCCGCTGGCTTCGGGCTGCCTGGCGGGGGCGGGGACCTCCTGATCGGTCGATTCGAAAACATAGACCCCCTCTTTCTGACGTCCTCGTCCTGATCGCGCCCGCGGTGGTGCCTCGATCGGCTCTTTTTCTTGCGGCGTCTCTTTGCGAACAATCGGAACTTCAGCAGCAGCCCCATCAAGCGACGGCTCAGATACCTCTGTCTTTGGTACGGGAGTAACGGCGATTGCAACAGGGGGAACCGGCGTTGTTCGAGCCGATTGCTCTGATGGTGTCGGCTGCGGTGTTTGCTGTTGTTGCTGTTGCAGCTGTTGCAGCTGTTGCAATTGCAATTGTTGTTGCAGCTGTTGTTGCTGTTGCTGTTGTAATTGCTGTTGCTGTTGCAGCTGCTGCAGCTGCTGTTGTTGCTGTTGCTGTTGCTGTTGCTGTTGCTGTTGTTGCTGCTGCTGTTGCTGTTGCTGCGCAGCTTTGCCTCGCCGACCACCACGAGTGCCGCCGCCGCTGCGAGGTCCTCGCCGGCTAGGTTTCTCTGCCTGTTCACCGTCCTTGGACGCATTTCCGCGACGACCGTTTGCATCTGTGTCTGCAGACGAGTCCCCAAACGTGGGAGCAGCTGCACGTCGGGGACGACCGGTATCCGTGACAGGCGCGGGCTCTTCTTCCCCTTCGTAGTCTGGCTTGACCACACCCAGATCGGCCATGAGCGCATTCGACTTTGGACGGGCAGATCTTCTAGCTCGTCCCCGACGGCTCCACCGCTTGTTGAGCTTGGCTTTGTACTTGATCTCTTCCTTGGTGAGATAGTAATGTATGATGCATTGTTGAAAGTCGCGCCCAGGCAATGATTCCGCGATCTTGCCCCATTTCTTGGGATGTGCCATAAATGCATCTGTGAAAATAACATGTTCCTCTTTAGTGAAGTCATTGGGCGGCGGCAGGAATCCGAATACGTCCATGGCGTTTGCAGGATCAATAATGTTATTGGTGTCTTTATAGATTCGTGCCTTCACCTCGCGCGGTTCTAGCATGTCTGGAATGACGGCTTCGCGGGATAGATCTGGCTGAGCCGTAGCTTTGTTGCCACGACGCTTCTCGAGTTCCTCTTGTGCCGAAATCTCAGAAGCGCGAAGAGCATTCTGGAAGTCCAACTCACTGTTGCCTTTGTATCTTCGTCCGCTTTCCACCGTAGGTGTAGCCGTCACAGGAATGGGGGCAGCAGGAGGCGTGGTTGGTCCGGGCGTGACCGACGTCTTTTCCTTAGCATTGTCCAATTCCCAAACATTCAGCCTCCAGGGCTTATAGTGAGCAAGATAATCAAGCCGTAGGCCAGCATTCTTTTGGGCAATCTCTTTACGTTGTTTCATGAGTTCTCCGCGGAAAATATCCCTGAGCTGCTCATGGGCTGCTGCATTCTCCTGGTAGATGTCCAGATCTGACAATGGGGTCGGGGGACCAGTGTTGAGAAACGGCAAAGTCTCCACGGAGAGTATTTCAGCAGCAGGCACCGATTCCATAACTTCCTTGGTCGGTGGCTCGTGATCTTCGGCCTTTCCATTTGGCTCGGTGTCGACATCCATTGCATCCGGCTTCTCATCGCTGGTTATTTTCTCCTCATCCAGGACAGGCGGGGGAGTTGGTGCTTTGTCTTTAACGGTGGCATGGGCTAATGCACCAAGCAGCTGGATACGCATCAGTAGCGTCATGATAGTCGGATCTTCTAAGGGAGACGGAGGAAGCTCCGCTCGAAGGGCTTGCATGTCCTTCTCGAACACCCTTTTCCTCTCTTCAAGATAGTCTTGTGTGAACACAATATTTTCGTCTTCCTCTTCGTCGCTAGTCCGTGTGAAATCGGGAATAACCACGTTCTTCGGTACGTCTGCTGTCTTTTCCACTGGCGTTTCCGGTGTTTTTTGCTTCTCTACAGGAGGAGCAGATCTCTCCTTGGGTCTCTCCGGTTGCGCCGCTAGTGGAGGTGAAGGTGGGAGCTCAAGCTTTGGCTCAGTCGGATCCTTTTCACTGACTATTTCTCCTGCCTCTGGCCCTGAGCCTGAATCATCGATATCAGTACGTGAGTCCCGCCGGTGCTCTTCGCTGACCGAAAGACTGCGCTCTTTTTCATCAATAGAGTCCCGTTTTGCAGAAAGTGTTGAGCTTGGCCCTGCTGGTGGACGACTGTATCCAGGACGAACCCATTGCTTGTTGGGCTTGGGCGGTCCGCGGGAGCCAGACGGTCGCTGCTGAAGAGCACGTGGACCAGTTGGGATTGTTGAATTCGGCATCCTAGGGGAGGTGTGGGTGCCCGGAGATACCGCACGCCCTGCCGCAGACGGCCTCCGGCCAAAATCTACCGTCATCGGGGCAGGCCCTGGCTTGCTTGGCGACGTTGCCTCATGGAAGGCCGATGTCTCCTTGGCCACCATGGCAGCGGGCGCAGTAGGCGGAGAAAGCTCGGCTACCTTAGGTCCACTGGGTGGGGGTGCGGCGTGCGGTTTGGGCACACGTGCAATGGGTTCGGGCTTTGCCGATGTGTCGGTTATGTCGTCACGTCTGGTCTCATCCCGTCGGATTCGCTGCTCGAGAGGCAGCTGAGGAGGTGCCCGATCAGCTTTGGGGGCAGTGGGTGGAAGTCCTGGGGCCCGTGGCGGCGCCTCGGGGCGTTCCTTTTCGGCTTTGGCAACAGTGGATGCAGCAGGCGCCGACTCTGCCGTTGTTTTGTCTGCCGTGATTTCGGGAATTGGTGCCGTAACCGAACCAAATGCGGGAACCTGGGGCGCAGCCGGGGGAGGGGACCGTTTTACGGGCGGCGCAACAACCGCTTCTTTCGGTGGCTCCGCACGAGGTGGTGCAGGTGGCTCGATTCGTTCTGGCTCGCGGCGGATATCTCCTCCAGACGGTTTGCGTGGCGGCTCGACGACGGGGGGCTCAGGTACCCGCTCGGGAACTGCAGGGATTGTGGGTTGGGGTGCAGTAGCGACAGGTGAGGCGGCAGATATGCTCGGTATCCGGTTTGGATTCTCCAATCGATTGGCAGGCGGCTCACGCTTCCAATGATCCCCCGGTCGCTCCCGGTCATCGCGCTCGACGCGGCGTTCCAAGTCGTCTCGTCGCTCAAATCTTTCTCGTCTCTCCTGCAGTATGTCACGATCTCTTTCCCGATCTCGTCGGTCAACCTCACGGTCGCGGTCTAATGGCACTCGTTCACGATCTCTTTCACGGTCGCGGTCGAGTATGCGATCTCTATCCCGCTCTCTTTCACGCTCACGTTCCCGATCCCGATCCCGATCCCGGTCTCGGTCGCGTTCCCGATCCCAGCGTCCGTCGCGAGATCGACTTCTGCGCCTGAAGGTGTCACGATCATCTAGATAGGGCATCCGGCCTCTGCCGCGTCCTGCTTCCCACTCACCCCGACCACGCCCACGGATGGGGGGACCGGTCCGAACATGGTGACTGTTTCCTGCCGGGACGTCAGGCACTGCCGAGGAAACCGAGATCAAACTATCTCGTGAGCCGCGCCGCATGCGGACAAGATCAGGATCTCGGCCCAGAGGCTCTCTTATATCTCGAAAGTCGCGAGGCGGTGGGGGAGAGCGCGAGCGACCGCGTCCGAAGCCGATGCGGGGTTCTCGAGGGTCGAAGTCGCGTTCGCGCCGGTTCCAGTCCCGATCTCGATCCAGATCGCGGCGGAAAGGTGGCGGGCCATCACGGACATCGCGAAAATCTCGGTCTCGGTCTCGTTCGCGGTCTCGAATGTCTCGATCTCGTTCTCGGAAATCTCCTCCTCGGGCGGTGTATCCTCGGCCACGACCAGCAAATGTAGCACCCCGCGGCGGATCAATCAAAGCTTTAGGGCCTCGAGGTGGCTCTCGGCCCAAGGGAGGGATGTTGGCATCGTCGGATCCTCGGGGTCCTGCCGGGGGTCGACGGTCCCCAAAACGCTGCGGAGAACGGTCACGGGAGTTGAACCCAGACGGCGGAGGGTATCTTTGAGACATCACCAGGTCATGCTAGTGCACATGAGACAAAGCAACCCGGCAGGATGCCTGCAACAGATTAGTAACGTGGGACTTCACACGTCAAGCAAGGCAAGGTACTGGGTGGGAAGGAATAAGACTTTGGGGAACGAAAGTATGTCCAAAAGGAAATAAAGGGAGAAAATGAAGTCGACAACTCAAATTCCAAGTAGAGTAAAGAAAAAGAAAGGAAAATGAGGAAATGGATAGATATGAGACAAATGGACAGAAGAAGAAGCAGGAGTCTCGAAAAGAGCGGGCTGGAAAGACCAATTGACGCAAAGAGGCGGAAGCGGCAGCAGCAGCAGCAGCAGTCGCAGTCGCAGCAAAAACGCGGGCGAGCAACGATCAAACGACCGAACGACCGACGAACGAACGGGCAGTGGAGAACACGTGATGGTAGAATGAAGCATGCCAGCCCCGAGCCAGCCCAGCATGGGCGCAGTCAGTGCTGGAAAAAGAGAAACGCACGGGCCAGGATTGAAAATTAGGTAATCAATTTAGCATGAATCCAGTTCAACCCACTTAGCGCGGATCCCAATTTGGCACCATCCCTCATGCTTAGCGGCAGCCACGGTTGGCGCCGATTGTTTCAGCCCGTGACTGGACAAGCCGGGGCAGCTTTCCTGGGTGGATCGGGGATCACGCAGGCGGCAGCAGACAGATTTTCGATTTCCAGTGCGAGGGGAGACCTTCTGGCTGGTCACGACCCAGGCAACGGAATACAGTGTCTTACACGGCCGGAATTCTTCATCGAAGTGGCCGAGAATAAAGAACGTGAGGATGATGAGGGTGATGGAGATGAGATGATGATCATGAAGAACCGCAAAACTTCAAACTTCGGACGGAAACAATAGCAAACAAAACCAAAAGACGTAAACTCAATTTACCTGATCTTTCAACGTAACTGGAACTGTCGCACGCACTGTTTGATGAACGACAACGTGTCAAGTAATTCACCGGGAAAGACTGCGCTGCAAGGGAGTGGGAGTAGGAGTGGGAGTGGGAGTGGGAGTGGGAGCTGGGCAGCAAAATCCACAGCGATGGGATCGCGGTCTTCGTTCTCGGTTCCGGAACGCGCCCAGAGACCCCAAGATCGGTTTGCGTGTAACGGCGGTGGTTGGAAGGGAAATCCGATGGTATTGAAGAGGTTAAGAGGTTAAAAACAGAAGGTAAATGATTATTGAAGATGGAATGGAAGGACTGGAAGGACTGGAAGGATTTCGAGGTCAGAATCTAGACAGAGTCAAGAAGAGGAGGATCATGACAGAGGTTCGAGGTTGGAGCAAGAGGGAAAAACGAGCGACTCTGACCAGACTCAGCGATGGGGCCCAGGCAATGGAGTCGGAAGCTTTTAGTTGGCCAGGGAGTCACTCGATTGCAGGGACTCGCTTTTCTAGGGGAAACTCAAAAATAACTTGAACTTGTGGAGTTGGCCTCAGGCCAGCTCAGGCCAGGGGTCCAGTTTCCACCCGATGCCTCAGGTGTCTATAATCATTGGTGGCCTCAGGCATGAACTCAGGCATTCCTGCAGCGGCTGCCCATTCTGCCTCCGGGTGCTAAATGCCTGCCAACTTGAACTGCCTGCCATCTGCCAATTCCCGCCGCCGGGCATTTCCTGCGAGCCCCCCCGCTCCTAGTAGAAGAGGGGGGGAAAAGTGCCAACGAAAAAAGGCTAGCCTAAGGGGAAAACACAACCCGCTTTTTTTTTTTTCCTTGACGTGACCACCAACCTTCACCACTTGTCTCGCATTCCTTCCATCGAGAATTGACATCGAGGGAACAATATTGAGATTCAACCTAGTGCTTTTTCTCGTTCGTTTACCTAGCATTCAATCCCAATCAACTGGTTTCCCTAAAAATGTCTGCGAACAACGTCCCGGCGGCTGAGAATGCCCCTCCCTCCTCCGTCACCGATGCTGTCTTGGTCGCGTCCGAGCCTGTTCCAGAAGGCACACACAAAGTGAGCGGAGTGGACTTTGATCTTTACAAGGACCGAGACATCACCGTTGCCGAATTGGTCGACAACATGAGGTACACGGGTTTCCAAGGTAGTGCGGTCGCAGACGCTGCCCGCATTATCAACAACATGGTAAGGCCACCTCTACCATCATCCAAATCTAAAAAGGTATATTCGCTGACAGCGCCCGGTTGTGAAAGAAAGCTTACCGTCATCCCGAAACCGGTGCCAAAACGACCATCTTCCTCGGGTACACTTCCAACTTAATCTCCTCCGGCCTCCGCGACACCATCCGCTACCTCGTCAAAAACAACCATGTTTCCGCCATTGTCACCACCGCTGGCGGTGTGGAAGAAGATTTGATCAAGTGCTTGGCTCCAACCTACATGGGCTCCTTCAGCACACCCGGCGCGGGATTGCGGGCGAAGGGTTTGAATCGTATCGGCAATTTGATTGTCCCCAATAGCAATTACTGTGCCTTTGAGGATTGGTTGGTCCCGATTTTGGATAAGATGCTAGAGGAGCAGGAGGCCGCGAAGAAAAAGGCGCTGGAAACGGGGGACGAGGAGGACGAACTGCACTGGACCCCGAGTCGCATCACCGAGCGCCTGGGCCGTGAAATCAACAATGAGGACTCGGTGCTGTATTGGGCCGCCCGCAACAATATCCCCGTCTTCTGCCCGGCCCTGACGGACGGCTCCCTTGGAGACATGCTCTACTTCCACACTTTCAAATCTTCCCCGCAACGGTTGCGCGTTGATATTGTCGACGATGTGCGCCGGATCAATACCATGGCTGTTCGTGCTGCTCGAGCGGGAATGATCATCCTCGGAGGTGGGGTCATTAAACACCATATTGCGAATGCCTGTCTGATGAGGAACGGTGCGGAGCATGCGGTCTACGTGAATACTGGTCAGGAGTTCGATGGAAGCGATGCCGGGGCGCGACCGGATGAGGCCGTCAGCTGGGGCAAGATCAAAGCTGACGGTGAGTCGGTGAAGGTGTATGCGGAAGCCACAGTGGTCTTCCCACTCATTGTGGCCGCTTCGTTTGCGAGAGCAGATGCAGGAGCACCGGATGCTTCCCAGTCCAAGAATTGATCATGGCCACTGCGTAGATATCGGCAGACATCTAGCGAGATGGCCGTTGCATGATTCGTTTCCAGTTTCTGTACTTCAGTACTCCCAAGGCCGCGGATTTCGCTCATTCGAGGTCACTGAGCACTTGGGCGATTTCTCGGGGAGCTCCCCTCCTATCTCGGCCCCGCGTCGATAACTCGAGGCCGATCCAGGCGTGGCGCTACGGTCACGCTAACCCCCCCCCCCCACTCATTGCGCAGCGGCCAAAGAGGACATCCAGAAGGGAGGCAAATCGGACGAGCAGCTCCGAGTCCCTGGGTCAGAGTCTGCACGGCAGAGGACGGCAAACCATCGAAAACCCGGAGGGTCGGGCGAAGTTGTTGGATCGGCAGAGGGGCAAAAAGTTTGGGCGAAGAGGGGAAAATACTAATGGGTGAACGGCGAATGGTACCGATGGAACTGCACTGGGTCGATGGAGCGTTCCACAGGTCGATCATGGCCGTGGTGGCCGTGGAAAAGGCCCTCAATTAGTTTGTTCTATCCGGGACTGTTGCCACCGGTTAGAGGATCGGACGGACCTGGGTGTTTGACTTGCCGTTCCGAGGGAAGCATGCAAAAAAGACCTACTGCACAAAGAACTCAACGAAGGAAAAGTTGTAACTGTGATAGTGAACAATGAAACGGAGTTTCCTTGCCTTGAAGATGTTTTCTTTGATTGGAATTGGACGTGTTGAAATCATACCTACTTCTTTTCTCGAGAGTGAAGAGGGGGGGGTGAGGGGGGAATTGATGGAAAGGAGGGGAAAGGCAACCAACGCAAATTGACAGGTCAGTTCCTGGTGTGTTGTTTCCCCCCGGCTAGTTCGGTCGATCAATCGCACGACAATCGATAAGATATTCCGTCTTCCTCTCTCTTTATTTTTTTCGGGGGGGGATCTTTTTTGGTTGGTTCTTTCCATTCAATTTGGTTGGGTGAATACAATTGAATTTCTCTCTCAGTTCTTTTCATCTCTAATTGCTTTATCCGAGTGCGGTGGCAATGGACGGGATGGAGACGGATGTTAATAATCCGGGGGAAAAAAAGAAGCAGAAGTTCAGAAGTGGCTCTGATTCCCCAATAACCAGCGGTGAGCGCCTCGTGATTTGGCCGCTGCATTGCCGCCTCATCCTCATCCTTTTGCCATTGGCTCTTCCCCCTCGATCAGTAGGCTCTGTCGCTTTTGTTGCTTCTTCTGATTTATTATTATTATTATTATTATTCTTCCTCTTCTTCTTTTTTCAGTCCGTCCATTCCCTCTTCCTCTTCTTTCCTCCCTTCATCTGCTTTCCTACGTTTTGACCATCTTTCATCCTCTTTTCGCGGGTTGGGATAGCTTCTCTCTCTACTTATCTATACTTCCCGCATTTCCTCCCCCGGATTTGATATACCATACGGAGGAGTACAGCACAATCTCTCCGATTCAGTGTGATTAGTCTAACTGTGATAGACTGTTGCTGAGCATCAGCCAACCTCCACTTCCCCTCACACCATCCCTTTCTCTCATTGTTGTCTTTCTCAGCACTAGTGGTTGACACTTGTGCCCCTAATTTATTTTCTGCTGCTGCTCCAGCCTTGGGCCACTTTCCCCCTTCTCCCCCGATAAGCCTTGCTCGTTGCATCTTATCGTTGGCCTTTTCTAGACCCTCGCTCTTTTTCTGCCTGTCAGGCTCTCACATCTCAATTCCCCCCATCATTGCCCCTCTGTCCAGCAGCCTGACCACTCTTTTGGGACTCGTCAGCCTGCCATTCAAACACTCGAGCAGGCAGCATTGCAGCAGACTTCCTGACCATTGAATGTCTGATTGTCTTCCGTTGGTTGCACACATTCTGAGGCTAAGACTCCTCGTTTTTCTCAGCTTTGACTCATCCTCCCCAGTCTAGCCCTCCCTGACTCGTGTTTTGTCTCGCCTTTGACAGTAGCCTTTAGGGACAGGCCATCCTATTGCTACTACTACTTGTCTTTTGATTGTTGTCCCACTTGTCCATCTTCTTTGAATCTCAGAAATGGATACTCAGATCGAGACTTCAATCGCATCGGTGGACCAGGTGCCCCCTCCGATCATCCTCACCACCGACTCCATTCCCACTGAGCCAGCCACGGCAACAACGGTGGCCATTGAGACCACCACGGAGGATTCTCCTGAGCCGCCTAGCGACATGCCTTCCCAACCGTCGACAGAGCCCCGATCTGAGGAGCTCCCAGATGCCCCGCAAGGCGAAACACAGACCATCGAGGATGCCGACCCGGCATTAGCGGGTCAATCAGCTCCACCTGAATTAGAGCATGCCTACTGGGCCGAGATTGAGGAGGACTCTACAGTGCCGGACGAAACAGAGATGAAGGAAATTGAATCTGCGGCGGATGGCGACTATAGCGCCTATGAGTGTAAGCTTCCAAACCATGGGACGAAGGTTAGAAACGTGGAGCGGACTGCTGACCAGCCTAGATGACTACTGGGAGAAGAATTTCCACGCCGATCTAGATGATCCAGAGTACCGTCCTATCCAGAAGGCACGTCTGACGTGGAAGATCAAAGGCGTTCGTGGCTCTCCGGACCGCCCCAACCGCGCTAAAATCATGCGCTCGCCCCCAGCTTACATGGGTGGCTATTGGTGGACCATCAAGTTCTTCCCACGCGGTAACAATGTCAACTCGCTGAGCATTTACATCGAGTGCTCTCCGACCATGCCCACTCCAGAGAAGTCTTATCCGGATACGGAATTCAAGGTGCTCCAGGGCCCTGCTGAAGAGAGCTTGGACAACAATGCTCCCGAGCTTGACATCAAGTTTGCAGAGACTGAGGATACGGCTGCATGGCTTGAGCAATTCAAGGCGCAGTACCCTCATGCTCGCCAGGAGAATGCTGCCGGGGCTGGTTCCTGGCGGGTGTCCGCTCAGATTGGCGTCATACTCTACAACCCAGAGGAGCCTCGAACGGGTTGGATGCAGTCGTCATGCCACCAGTTCAACTCACATAACCTGGACTGGGGCTGGACTAACTTCCACGGCCCGTGGGACCAGATCCATCGCCGTCAGCGGGGCCAGCGCCAGGCACTGCTTCGGCACGATACGCTCGCGTTCGATGCTTACATCCGCATCGTCGACGATCCCACTCGGTCGCTTTGGTGGCATGCCAGTGACACCGAGCCTACTTGGGACAGCTTGAGCTTGACTGGCTACCGTCCCTTAGGTGACTCGGTTATCAACCACAGTGCGGAGGTAGCCGGGCTCGCCACGTGGCTGCACCTTGCTCCCTTCTGCAAGATTATCCAGAAAGCGAACGTCTTGGAACATCTCAGTGACTGTGATGTCAAACCCAAGCCGCTTTGTGACGCGTTGCAGAAGTTCCTCTGGCAGCTGCGTTCGCGAGGCCAATCACTGCAGTACGTAGACACTGATCTCATCACATCAATTCTGCGGAACTCGCATGAGTACTCGGGGGATGTGTGCGAATTTTGGGAGCGTTTGCGTCGGACCCTCGAGATCGAGCTCGAGGGCACCGATGCAGTACATGAGCTCGCCCAGCTGTTCGACAGCCCGTCTGTCGAGTCAGTTCCTGTTGATGCGACAGGAGAGGGTGTGATTAACACCATACCGAAGGAATACAATTCCCGCATCTGCGTATCTGCGGATCAGGTCAAGACCACCAGCGACGCCTTCACTCAATACCTTAGTGCCAAGCCGGGACGGTGGGTGCTTCCACCCATCCTACACCTGGAGCTTGATCGTCAGCATTTGGATAAGGCAGCTCGGCAGTGGCGCCTCCTTTACAACCGGGTCGAGCTGGATGAAGAGCTAGACCTCGCACCTTATTTGCTGGATGGTCAGGATGGCAAGTATGTCCTGTATGGGTACATCGTCCACCGTGGCCGACGCACCTCAGGCAAGTTCTTCAGTATTCTTCGCCCAGGTGGACCTGGTACCAGGTGGCTGGCTTTCGATGATGGGAGCGACAACCGTGTCGAATGTCTGACTCGCAAGACTGCTCTGGGACCTCACCTTGGTCTGGACGCCTCGCAAAAGCCTGATCACAAGACCGGCCACGACGTCGCCATCGCAGTGATGTACATTCGCAGCGACGTCGTGCAGGATTACTTGCCTGGTCCTCAGGGACCGTGGGAGGTGTCCGCGTCGCTGAAGGAATACTACGAGACCGGAAACTTGCCTTTGGCTTCGACTGAAAAGGATGAGATCGAAGTTGAAGTCTACTCGCTTCCGAAGTACGACCAATTGGACAGTCTATTTGATACCTACGATCTGATGGCACAGGCCAAAACGGCAAACAGCGTGATGTATCTAACGGTGCCTCGCTCGTCCAACTATGTTGATCTCCGCAAGAAAATTGCGTTGTGGGCGTCGACCAAGACGGAGCAGACCACTAGTCCTGAATATGTTCGCTTGTGGCAGATTGGACACACTCGCGACCAGTTTGGTCCTACACTCGCTTTTGCCCGCATCACAGAGCTATCCAACAGTCTGGAGCTGCCTGCCAAGACGGCTCGCTTCTGGATGGAGATTGTTTCGGATGCAGATGCGAAGCTGTTCGCCATCGCGGACCCGCAGCAAGCCATTGCTATGGAAGCCAAGCCAGAGGAGGCTATTCTTGAGCGAGACGGTTCCGAGTCTTCCGAGGATAGACAGTCTCTTCATGAGGTCGGCGCTGCCGAGCCCAGCTCATCTGGCAATATTCCGGAGCATTTGTTGGATAGCATTGTTCCGGAACCAGCGTCTCGTGAAGTCGACCCCGAGACCAACCCACAGGATGCTGAAGCAGCCACCGAAAGCCAGGTCGCTGAGACAGTCCACGTTGAGGACACTGCTGCGAGAGATGAGAATGATGCCGTCATTGCTGCAATCATCGCAGAGGATCTTCAACAAATGGAAGTTGAGGCTTCTGAGCCCGTTCCCGTGGTCGAGGAATCCATCGAGACGCCCTCTGACGCTCCAGTTGAGACTGTTGTGAGCGTGGATGCCCCTGCAGAGGTTGAAGTCCCTCAACCAGTGGAGCACGTGTACTACTTCATCCAAGTCTTCGACATTGAGGCGCAGATCCTACGGACCGTGGGCTCTTTCTTCTCGAAGAAGGAAGAAAACATCAAGGCCGCTATTCGCAAGCACCTCAAGTGGGCGCCAATGAAGGACTTCCAGGTCTGGCAGCGTGTGGATGGTACTAACGTGACCACCATGGCTTCCGGTGAGACGTTCGAGACTTTCGTGCCGGATGGTACCTGCTTTATAGTTGGGGATAAGGTTAACAAGGATCGCCGTCTCAAACTCAACATTGAGGGCATGTTCGCCAACCCTGACCAACTTGTTCGCTATCTGTGGGCCGCCTCGCGCAGACATCCTACGCGGGCTCACACGGGTACGAAGACCCTCAGGGCCACGTTCACCAGCGAGTACTACAGCGGTGAATTCATGAAGGGTTACTTCCACGGCAAGGGCACGCACGTCTCCGACCTTGCGGCCACGTACGTGGGTGATTTCGTGCTCGGCAAGCGCCACGGCAGCGGCTATATGGAGTACCCGATTGGCGATACCTATGAAGGCGACTGGTCCGAGGGTATCTGCCACGGTCAGGGTACCTTTGTCGAGCGCAAGACCGGCAACAAGTACGTGGGTGGCTACAAGGACGGCAAGCGCCACGGCAAGGGTATTAGCTACTGGGAAGTGGCGGACGAGGAGATGGATCTGTGTCAGATTTGCTATGGCGACGAGCAGGATGCCCTGTTCTATGACTGTGGACATGTCTGCGCGTGCGTAACGTGTGCTCGCCAAGTGGATCTCTGCCCGATCTGTCGGAAGAGCATCATCAGCGTGGTGAAGATTTACCGAACCTGACCGGTATTGATTTTTGAAATTGCGTTGGGGAATATGCTGAATGGTACAGAATGGAGTGACAAGGTGTTGAAAGGTTTAGAAGTTATGGCTATGGATATATGAAGGGGATGCTTAGATAGCGTGGTGCTTTCCGTTAGATACCTGCCTGCTGCCTGCTTTTTTAAGTTCTTTTGCTTGATGCATAGCAAAGTTTGAAAGATAAGATGCTTGTCCATAAACGTGTGAATGAAGATCGTTGCTCAAAACTCTTGCTTTGTTGCTTACAATCCATGCTTTGTCACCTGCAATCCCGCTTGTCTGTAAAAGTACGTTCGAGGCTCAGCAGATCGATCAGTCGGCCTTCTTAACTCTGCTACACCTTAACATACAACATCTGCCAAAGAACCCAACCCCATTCATCTCCTCCCAACAGCCCTCCCTTATCCAGTCCAACCCTCATCCACATCCAAATACCACCCAAACACAAGCCCCAGCCCTGCAGTCATCCATCCGTATCCCTCCCTCATCTCCAATAATCCCAATAGCCCACCGAGAGCAAAAGCCCAACGACAAAGTGCATACAACTTCCCCCGCAAACAACCAGCTAAGAGCCCCGCCCCCTCCCATCCACCCCAACTAACCCTTTATCCCCCCGTTAAACCCCCCAAGGGAAAGAAAATCAACACTTCCGATCCGCACACCACAACCGCTTATACCCACTCCAGCACCCATTCCCGTAAGCCTGGCAGCAGTCCCCGCCGCGGGGCTGCCCCCGCTCCCAGTCGCAAAAGTACCGGGCGGTGCCCAACTCGGTCGTGGCGACGAAGGTGCGGCCCTGCGCGTCCTCGGTGCCCACGTGGTCCGGGCTAGTGCCGCACGCCGGCGCGCTGCCCTCCCAGTTGCAGTTGTTGTGGTCGCCGGTGTAGCAGGCTTCGATCCCTTCGATTGAGGAAAGGAGGGGGAGGATGGTTGAGAGGAGGGTGGGGTTCATTTTTTGGGGGGGTTCGGATATTGCTGGGTTTCGTGGGGTTGCGTGTGATGTTGTATGTGATTTTGGGAGGTGATGAATGGTTGAGCTCAGGTGTGCAGTGCGTAAGAGTGATTGTTATAGGGGTTGGGGTTGGGGTTGGATTTGAGGTCGTGGGATTGTTTGCACAGAGGTAGATATGTGCTCGATGGATGCGGACTGGGTAGGTCCTACATATAGGGTCTCCTGCTTGAGGGTGAGTTTACAAAGGTAAAGCATAGGGCAAGCCTCAACGTCAAGACTTGCTTCTGATTCTAGTTGCATGGCTGGGTTTGCTGGGCTGTGAACCAGACTTCCTCAGAAGTAAACATGCTTGACGCGGAGACGAGCCAGATACTCAACTCAGTATCAGTGTCGATGATTCATTGACACCATCCACCTACACTCTAACCCTATCACAAAATACAGTAGTCATTCAGTCTAGCCTTTGCACAAACATAATGGTATCTATTGACGAACTTCAAACCGAAGCTATCTATCCATTTCAAAACACTAAAAGAAAACAAAGTATGCGCCACCCATACCAAACACGAGACTAATGCTTTTGTTTCAAACCAGACATAATATATGCAAACCCAACTACCGCCCTCTCTTATTTCTTGGCAGGCTTCTTGGACTTTCCGCTCTTATTATCGGCCTGCTTCTTCGCGGCGCTCTTCTTCTTGTCGGAGGGAGTAGTTGTAGAGGTGGCGGGAGTGGCAGGGGTGGCCGGGGTGGATTCTTGCGTCTTGGTCTTCTTCGCAGGCTTCTTGGCGGCCGGGGACGAACTAGCCTCATCCTTCTTGGCCTTGGTGTCGGCATCAGCCGCCTTCTTCTTCTCCGTCTTAGGGGAGGCCTCCACGGCGGGCTTCTCGGTTTCGGAATCGCTCTTGGGCTTGGAGGATTTGGCGGGCTTCACGGCCTTCGGGTTGAGACCCTTGCGACGCAGGCGGTTGCGCTCCGCGCGGGCAATGCGCTCGGCGTCCTGGTCGTCTTCCTCGAAGGGACCGAACGAGCCACCCTCGGTCTCCAGAACCATACCGTCTTCGTCGACAATCGGGGTCTTGTCGATGCTCTCGTCGTCGGTGGAGGGGGCGGACGGGGACTTGCTGGCCTTGCGGTCGGACTTGGTGGTTGCGGCGGCGGCGGCGGCGGCGTCGCCGGGCTTGCCGGTCGGGGACGGGCCGGTCTTCTTGAGCTTGCAGACGAAGAAACCGTCGACGTTCTCACGGTGGGGGAAGTACCGGCGGGTCAAGGTCATCTTGGCGTCGAAGTGCTTGCCCATGTAGCTGGTCATACCGGGGCTACCGAAGTCACCCAGACCAGTGTCGACGAGCTTGACGTTGGGGCGCTTGCGCAGAATGTAGTTGACCACCGCCTCGTTCTCCTCCACGGTAACACTACAGGTCGAGTAGACAACGTAGCCTCCCGTCTTAGAGTTGTGGTCGACGGAGTCGATGGCGGCCAGAAGCAGCTGGCGTTGCATGTGGGGAATGGCAAGGAAGTCGCGCTCGTTCTTGGAGGTCTTGACGCTGGGATCCTTGGAGATAACGCCGGTACCGGTACAGGGGGCATCAAGAAGGACACGGTCGAAGCCACCCATGGCCTTGGGGAAGGCAGTGCGGGCATCCATGTTGGTCACAATGGTGTTCTTGCAGCCGAGACGGTGGATGTTACCAATCAAACCCTTGGCACGGGGCTTGCTGGCATCATTGGCGATGACGGTACCGGTGTTGCGCATCAGAGCCGAGATGTAAGTGGTCTTACCACCGGGGGCGGAGGCCATATCGAGAACACGCTCGTTGGGTTGAGGGGCCAGGGCCATGACGGGAAGGAAGGAGGAGGCGGCCTGGAGAATGTAGTGACCGGCCAGGTACTCGGGAGTGGCACCCAGGGGAACGGCAGACTCGAAGACCTGCAGACCGACCTTGGACCACTTTCCGACAGGCTCGAGGACCACACCGCGGTTGATCAAAGCCTGGGCCAATGACCGACGGTTGGTGCGCAGGGTGTTCGTACGGATAACAACAGGACGCGGAGTTTCGTTGGCTTCGAAGAAGGCAAACGCCTCCATGGGGGTGAAGAGGTTGAAGAGCTTCTCGGCGAGGTAGGGCGTGTAGCCGTAGTAGGTGCAGATGTCGCCGAGGAGCAGGTTGACGTAGTCGGTTCGCGACTTTCCGGGCTGGCCGAGGGTCTTCAGGTCGCCCAGGATACGGATGGTGTCGGTGATTCTCGTGCGGAGCAGCTGGAGGTCGGGGGCCAGACCGGGCTGGCCCACGTCGTCGGCGAAGACGTCGGGACGGTCGCCCGCGATGTTGGTCTGCATGGCGGATTCCTGCAATTCGAGCTCGGCCTCTTCCTCCTCCTCCTGTCTCGCCATATCCAATTTCCGGGATAGACCCTCAATGTTGGCAGCCGTCAGCCTCTCCTCCGCGTCGGAAAGGTCTTCATCGTCGGAGAACATGGCTTCGCGGGGGTGGTCGTCGTCCTCGGAGTCGACAACCGAGTCATCATCATCGGAGGCCATCTCGTCATCGCTCACGGCATCGAGGTCGCCGAACTCATCGTCCTGCATCTCCTCGTCGTCCAAGTCGGACCACGCATCCTCATCATCCTCCTCCGCCTCGTCGTCCGAATCCATGAAACTCGACTTCTTCGCCGCGGCGGGCTTCTTCTGCTCCTTACCCTGAGTCTTAGCCTTGGGCTTAGCCTCGACCTTGGTCGCCTTGCCGTTCACAGCACCATTGGCCTTCTTCTTGGCGATGGGCTTGACGGACTCCTCCTCCTCCTCCTCAGCGGCCGCTCTTCTCCGCTTCTTGCCCGACTCGGCGGGCTTGGTCTGGGGTTCAGTGGCCTTGCGCTTTTTGTAGATGGTGATCTTGGACTCATCCAGCGGGGCAGGAGGACCCTGCTTCTTCATGCGATTTCCCCGACCCATAGTGAATAAGGACTGTGACAGAAATTCGGGAAAAAAGGGAGGTTTGACAAGTCGGTTCCTGTCTGATCAACTCGGGGGAAAGATCTAAACTTTTTTTTCTTTCCATCGCCGTACATTTTTTCCCGCGGGCGGTCAGAGCCAGCAGTGCGGTGCGCCCGGCCCACCGCCTTTACTGCTGCCTAAGGCAGAGACGCAATCTGCGGCTGCATCAACAACATCCTCTGATCCCGATCGGGTAATTCCATCCATCGACATCATATCTATCCCCCTCCCCCCACCCCACACTTCACCACCTCTTTTCCTTCTCCCCCAAACCACAAACCAAGACACTACAAAACACACCTCTCCCCAAGGAGAACTCATTCCTTTTTCATCAAAATGGCCTCCGAAATCTCCTTCGCCAAAGCCTTCCTCTCCGCTCTGGACAGCCGACCCATCAAGCTCCGAGCCGACTATGTCCACGACGACCCCAACGCCCGCATACCAGTACGCCCTCCGCAGCCCATGCCCATACCCCATCCAACCCCTTCCCCCATACTCCTATACCCCCCTTTCCCCCAATTGCCCCCCCCATCCAAACCAAAGCCCTAACAAAAGAAACAGCACCTCCTCCCCCGCCTCCAACCCCCGCGCCCGACAACAATGCCCAAGAAGAAAACCCCCGCCGCGGCCGCCCCGGGCTCCTCGAAATCCATCACCGTGGTCCTGAAATCCGCCCGCAACCCGGCGCTGGAACTCCGCCTGCCCAACGTGCCCCTCGCCACGACGACCGCCACCGACCTGAAGGACGCGGTGCGGGCGCGGATCGTCGACACTGCGAACGCGAAGCCCGCGCTCGAGAAGATCAAGATCCTCTACCGCAAGAAGCCCGTTACGGGGAACAAGACGCTGGCGGAGATGTTGAGCGAGGAGCCGGCGTTGTTGGTCGGCGGGAAGGAGGTGGAGGTTGCGGTTATGGTGCTCGGGGGTGGGAGGGTTGTTGCTGAGGGTGAAGGACAAGAAGAACACGAGGGTAATACGGCAGCGGAGCCGGTTAGCAAGCCGGCGGTTGGGCCGAGTGGGGAGGAGGTGGTCAAGACGGAGGCGTTTTGGGAGGATTTGCAGGGGTTCTTGGAGCAGAGGGTGAAGGATGCGGAGGAGGCGAGAAGGTTGAGGGGGCTGTTTCGCGAGGCGTGGGAGGGGAGCAAGTGATGTTCTTTGCCCTTTGTCCTTGGTCCTTTGTTCGGGTTGATGGCTTGGTGGGTGGGGTACGATACCTAAAGGGTAAATGACACCCTTGTTTATATCTAATGTTGGGGATGTGAATATCAAATCTTCTTTCTTGTGTACGATGTGCCTCAATTGGTGCTCCAGCTAGTGCAGCGGGTGGTGTACGTCTACTACTCAAGTATTATGTCCAGCCATGTAGGGGCAGAAAATGTACAGGTCCATTCAGGAAGGTTCTAACGCAAGAGGATAGCAAACACGGCAATCATTATACAGCCCAGAAGCACAACCCCGGGCATACTAAAGGATCAAAAAACCGCACAGCATCCAAGGAAGCACGGTAGATGTTCACGAAGACGATGACGATGTAAGATGCATACACAAGATGCATGGCAGAGGTATCAGTAAGCTTAGTGTAACAGAAATCCGGAGTCCTTGCCACAACCTAGGGTAGAATGCTTGAATAATCGCAACACAAAGCTGCAGCCGTCTTGATTCCAGTCCCATGATGTTATCTGGTTGGAAAATGTATCAAAATGGGGAAGCACAATGTCCCCGAAAGGAAAAGGTGGCGAGCGATGCAGCCGATCGAATAAAAAAAGGTATGAAGAGGAAAATAAGAACTATAATCACAAAGTAGAAAGGAACATATGCCAGGTATTAAAGACCGTTGCAAATGCTCAAGAAACTGGCCAATCGCTCATCCATTTCATGCGTCCAAGGAACATGCCATAAGAAAGTATCAGCTGGAAACAAAAAGAAACGGATTCATACATCGCGGAAGCTTTAAATTAACCCCCCTCGTTATCTCGAGAAGACCTTGACGACGCCATCGCCTCCTCCACTGACTACCCAGCGGCCGTCGCGGCTCCACACGGCAGAACACACTCCTTCACCACGCATCAGCCGGTGACTCGTGATTTCTTGAGTGCAGCTCCGCTTCTCGAGGTTCCAAAACCGCAGACTAGCGTCGTGGCCTGCCGACACAAGCTCTCGTCCATCTGGAGACAGGGAGAGCGAGGCAATCGCTGACGGGTGAGCGAGCATAGTGTATGTGCATTGGCCTGGACGAGTGCAAATTAGTATCCGCGAAAAAGTCATCGTCAGAATATGACATACCGCTGTTAGCATCGAAGAAACGAATATAACGGTCCTCGTATCCGCTGATAATCACCCCCTCGGCACCGCTTGACCCAGTCGCGCCATGAACAACCTCCTCTTCTGCCATTGTCCGGCTGGGATCAAGGCCGGCCGAGCCATCAAATCCGACTGTTGTGGCAACAACCGCATTGACCCCGGTCGAGGGCGTGCCGTCGTACGTTTCTAGACTGGCCATCCCTGCAATTTCCTCACCTGTCCTCGTATCGTAAACTAGGATCGATGCGTCGGTGTACGAGACAACAAAGTTGATACCTGCAAGCGACAATGGACTGATACACGTAGGCGAAGGGGAATCTGAGCGCACGATCTGACGGACCATTGTGTAGTGGAACGGCGTGGTGGTTGCCGTGCTCGGCTGTGGCGACGATGGGAAGTTGGAACCGGACGAGATAGAGTTAGCTCGCCGGCTGCCTCCCGCTCGTCGGGATCCTGCTTGAGGTGACGAAAGCTGAGGTGGTGCGCTGACTGCCCAGATGATAATCCGCCCATCGGCACCACCCGACGCAAGCAGGATCCGATCAGGCCCGCCGTAATGGCTGCAGGAATCGCCAAAGACAGATCCCGCGGTTCCAGGAAGAACACACAGGCCCCATACTGCATCCGTGTGACCTTCAAGTGTGGCCTTGGGATCAACCCTTCCACGTTCCCAGACACGCACGCTGGAGTCCTGTCCCCCGGAGAACACCCACCCATCGCCAAGCGCGCGACCACCGTTGGAGAAGTTCTGTGACGGCGAGCAAGCCGCTAGCGCAGTCACAGCTCCTACATGTCCGCGGTGGGTGAAGTAGCTCGTGATGTCCAGATCGTTGCTCGAGTTGGCGCCGTGGGCGCCAAACGTACCATAGGTTGCCGGAATAATCCAGCGCTTGACGGTCCCATCATCGCCGCACGTACAGATCTCAGGCTCTGAAGGGCTGCCGCCACCCGTGAAGATCACGGAACGGACAACATCCAAGTGACCTCGGAGAGCGAAACGAACCTTGAAGGAAGTATCTGGTTTCGACGCCGCAAGATCTGCAGCACCTTCACTCTTCCTTCTGGCACCGGAGCTCTTTCGGCGATGGGAGACTGAACCACCCCGCGCCGGAGACTTGGCGCCCACAAAATTGGCATTTGGGAAAGCATCGACATCGGGGCGGTGAGGAGGTATTTGCTCAGCAGGAGGAGCTGCATCCGCAGGTTCATCAAAATTCCAACCATCTGCATCGTCTACAGGTTGGGGTTGCCGGGTCTCCTCCTTGGTTGTTACTTGCGAACCGTATCCATTATATACCTGCTCCCCCGTGCCAGCACGCTCTTCCATTGGGGCAGATTCGAACCCTTGCTTCCGGTTTTCCAGGGCAGTAATCGGGGTCTGTTGCGGTTCCATGGGTCTTCTCTCCATTGCCTCCCTCGAGCCAGGAGGATAGCCGAACTGGCTAGGAGCACGAGAAAGGGCGGCGTTGTCCGGGAAATGCGTGATGATGGGCTGGTGATTCTGCAGGGCCACTTCCCGAGCCATCATGTTGTTCGCCTGCTGCTGCTGCTGGTGTTGTTTCTGCCGCTGTTGCTGCAGGTAGACCTCCTCCAAGGTCTGTTGTGACATTTGCTGCTGATTGCCGTAGATATGGTTCGGAAGGTCTTGATCACTGAGATCGGGGGGCGGGTGGGATGAAGGAATGACATGGTACGCAACTTCCTGCGAGCACTTGGACAGATATAACCGCGACTTATCCCGCTCGTTCTCCTGGCGGAACTCGTGGTGGTTCTCAGGATTGTGCTCCGCATCGGTCACATCGCCTTGCGGCCGAGGATGTTGAGCTAAGACGGGTTAGATAGTCAGTCAATCGTGAAGGGCGAGCAGACAAGTTATAATACAGCAGGAGAAAGAGAGAAGAGAAACCTTTTAACGCATTGATGCTCTCCCGGGCGATCTCCTTCGGATCTCGAGTGTCATCGACCTTCTCATTGTTACTGAGCTTCTTGACCTTCTCGCGCTCCTTCTTCAGGGCGGCCTCCAGCAAGCGGACGTGCTTCCCCAGCGACTCATGTAAGCGTTTACTCGTGCGGACATCGCCCTCTAGCTTGCCAATGCGGGACTTCATCTCCGCGCGCTCAATCTCCCAGGCGTTGCGGTCTCGTTCGTGCCGGTGCCATTCGGTCTGCAGAAAGCGCATCACACCTACACCACCATAACAAAACGGACAAGGGAAGAATTAGCATTCGTGTCCCTCCCCTGGATTCCGCGCCCAAACCTCGGAGCCTGGACTCACCTTGTAAAGTGTATTCTGTGCCCTGGGGTTGCCCGCCATTGGGGGACCCATCACCTCCGGGCCCGACGAAGCCTCCACCCCCAGCCATGGCCGAGGGAGACTGCCAAGCCATGCGAGATTAACAATGGGAATGGGGGAAGCGGACGATCAAGCGGCGAGGCGAGCCGGAATATGAGCTCCGGCGATCGCAAGCGGAGGGAAAATGGTCCGAGCTGAGGAGGGGGGAGCGATACTGATCAGTGGAACTCTCGGGGGGGAGGTCGCACTTCTGTTTGGAAGATAGGTGGTGGTAAGTTCAACAGGGTCAATGACGGGGCGACAACGGCAGGACACCACGTTCCAGACCGGGTCAGCACCGATGGATAGGAAAACAAACAATGCGAAATCTCGCTGTGAGAAGAATCAACGGTCGCAGGAGGGAACTTCCAGCGGACAAGGAAAGGAGAAGGGTCAGCGATGCAAGCTTGAGCCGAGAGATTTGGGGGGGGGGGGGGGGGGGTAGTGGTGGAGGGACTGCTGGGACGGTGGTCACTGGTTCACTGGTCGCTGGTCACTGGTCACTGAGTGGTCACCGGTGCGCGTTTCTCTCCAGTTGCTGCTTGTGAGTTGAGGTCGGGGAAAGCCACCGCCGCCGCCGAGCTGTCGTTGGCTCCCTAGGCGCCCACGCGGCCTTAACCGCTTTTAGCGCTGGCTGGTGAAAGAGAAGTGGTGGGCTGGCCACGGGGCATTGACTTTTCCCAACCTCTTTGATTCCATTGCGGTCAATAGACCAGCTGTCGCAATTGACTCAAAAGTGTGTCTATCGGGGTGGAGTAGTGCGATAAGGGTGGTAGTGTTGGCGACTGGACTGCTTTGCACCCTGCCTACTACCTAAAGTCAAAGTCCACTTCAAAAGTACTACGTACTGGGCTAAGCTACCATTAAGCTCTGTGATAGATCCAAAAAAAAAAAAAAAAAACCTATGGCACTCTTTTCCGTCCACTCAACAGGGGGCAAGTCTCGCTGCATATAGACCTCAATACCTACCTCTACAATAGCCACAAAGAATCCCTAGAAAACAGTCAGGAATTACATGGAAGGTTCGTCAATCCTGCGCATTTTACCACTATGACAGGAAACCACTATGACAGGAAGGACGCACAAAAAGGGAGAGCGGGCTGTGATTCCTTTCACGTGATGATAAGGAAGGAAGTAACTACGATAAGAAGAGTCAGGAGAAGCGCATCCGCGACAGGCTGAGGTCCGAGCTGGCACATTCCTGCCACTCAATCATTATCTCGACGCGAATTGCTGCCGCAACTCAAATCATGAATACTCAACAAAATCCTCACATAACTCATCATCATCCCTTTCCTGCCCGTACAGAACCTCACAGACACCGCCCACAGGAATATCCAGCACAGCATCTGTACCTTCGCTCCAGATCTCCTTCCAGTTGATCTTACGGTTCTGCGGGCCCATGATCTGGTACGATGTCGCACCGGGCCTCATCTTGGCTCCGCCCCCGGGTCGTCGTCGACCCTTGCCGTCAATGACCGCGAGATTGGCCACCTCGTCCACAATATTCTCCACGCTGTTCATCGGCAGCGTGAGATAGCCGGTGTTGTACGAGGCTAGCGCCACATAGATGTAGATGATAGACATGACTAGCCAGGAAGGGAAGGCCAGTGACCACCATCGGTTGGGATAGTAGTATATACCGAGTTGGTGAAGGAAGGGGGAGGGGAGGTAGGACCAAAGGATGTAGATCACTAGGGAAGAAAAGGTGATTAGACTTGCTCGTTGCGCTGGGTTTCAGTCCGGGGTTGCACTCACAGAAGGCCAACGAGGACGCAAGATACAGAACGAAGCCGTAGTATTCATACGTCGGAACCTTGGGGCTAGCCCGTGGGACTGTTGTTGCCCGCCGCGCGGACTTCGCGACAGCAGCCTCCGTGTCGTTGGGCGTTTCCACATCCGAGCTGTCGGGGGTGGTCGGTCGCGAAGTGGTGGTGGAGAACGGAGGGCGAAGGAGAGAGGTCAACGAGGGAGAAGGTGGTAGTGGTGTCGGAGGGCGATTGTAGAATGGAGGTGCAAACGCGTTCGGACCGTGCAGTGAGCCGGACGACTGCCGGAATGGATGATGCATGGAGATGCCATCCTCCGGCGATGGCTCCGAGTCCGTGGATGCATCGGAGAATGATTGGTCGTCCAGAGAGTATTGCGACTGGAAGTCTGCATCGTCCTCGGCTTCTATGTCTGCGTGCAAGGGCGACGGCAGATCCTGGTTGTCATCATTCTCGGTATATGTGTTGGTTTGTACCTCGACGACAGTGTTGGTCGCGAAATCGTCCGCGGGGAGAGGCGGGAACGGCTGCTTGGGTTCGAAGGATGAGCGGCGCGGGGCGGTGTCGTTTCCGTTTGACAGGTACTCTGAATTTGATCTTTTCCCTTCATCCCTCGGGGCCATCATGAGTAGCTAAGGGGCCTGAAGAATAATGGCCCCATCGAAGACTTGGTAGGATCTTGCGGTTACCTCGTTGCAATTGCGACTACTCCTTGTCGGTACGGCCACATGCATATTGCCATCCCTCACCGCCATTGACATCTATCCCTTCTGGATGGATAGTAAACACGCCAACCATTACCACTTGCGAAGAACAACACATCTTGCGGAACATGTCTGCTCCAGAATGTACGATCTGACTTGAGCTACTAGACCCGACGATGCGGATTGCAATTGGTCTATGCAAGGCTCTTGCTCAATAGAAGCATTTTATGGGTCCATGCGGAAGTACTCTATATTTTTCACACCAAAAGCTACCCAAGACACCCGGAGGGAGTGCGTGGATGTGGATTTGTTTGTCGAAATATGGCACCCACAACTAGCCTCACCTCACACCACTGTCCCTTTGGTGATGTTAGTCAGAGCTTTGGTTCACGGGCTAGGATAATGATCAATCTCTGTCTGAACAGCTGATTGGTGCAGCGGTATGGCACATATGCCATTCGTAGAAGGCCCTGACTTGGTGAACGATTGAGACTACTTCCACATGGAACTAAGGACAGATCAAAAGAACGACACAGAAAAGCGGTTAATGATTCCAGTCTCACTGCTTGGTCCTGCCTGCTCCAACCCGCTCCCATCTACGGAGAGGAGAGAAGCGAAATCATGATGCAGCGTCTAGCGAGATAAGCGGGCTGAAGGCAAGACACAAGACGAGGCTGAACCAAACCATGAATGCACCTGGCGTCATTGTGATCAATCACCACCATCTTGTAATCACTAAAGGAGCATAAATCAAGCTCATCTCCTTCCCTCCTTTTTCAGCGTTCTACTGTACTACTTTGTTGGGCTGCTCATGAAATTTGACTGACAATATTACTACCGAGATGAATTCTATGACTTGACCAATTTTCCCTGACGCCAAACATGCGTCACGTTCTTCGAATTCCCTATTATCGTGATATCCTCGAGCGGATTGGCCGCTAACGCAATGATATCGGCATCATACCCAGCGAGCAGCCGCCCACTCTTGGGCGCCTGGTCCCCCAGCGTCAACGGCCCATTCGCCGTGGCGGCCTCAATCGCAGCCAAGGGCGTCATTCCCGCCTCCACCGCGTATTCCAGCTCCTTGCCGTTGCGCCCATACGCAACAGCCGGATTATCCGAGCTGATGAACTGATCCGTGCCCAGGGCGATGGTGACCCCGCGCGCAACCGCCAACCGATACGCCTGCTTGTGTGCATCAGCAACCTCGAGCAGCTTCTGATATGATCCCGGCGTGAAGAGCTGGCGCATCGATAGGCCCGTCTCAATCACGCTGCGGGTGGCGACTAGGATGGCGCCTTTCTCGCGCATCAGCTCGACGGCCTCCTCGTCGAGGAAGCTGCCGTGCTCGATGGTGCGACACCGGGCGCGCAGCGCGTTCATGATCCCAGCCTTGCCGTGGCAGTGGGCGGCGACGACGCGTTTGGCGCGCGCAGCCTCGTCAACGATAGCTTTCATCTCCTCGAAGGAGAACTCCTGGTGCTGGGGGTCGTCGATGGCGCTGACGACCCCGCCGCTGGCGCAGACCTTGATCACGCGTGCGCCGTGACGGAGCTGCTTGCGCACGGCTTGCAGACACTCTGGCACCCCATCGGCAATGGTCAGGGGGAGCCCGTGGGCGCACATGTCCTGGAGTTGATGAAGGGGCATGCCGTGCACGTCGCCGTGGCCGGCGGTCATGCTGATGGCGCTGTGAGCGCCGTAGATGGTGGGCCCGAGGATGCGGCCCTCGTTCACGGCAAGCACGAGTTCGCACCCGTAGCCACCTACTTCACGGACGGAGGTGAACCCTGCCATGATAGTTGCGTGGAGGTCGGGGACGCTTCGGGCCCCGGCTAAAGCGGGTGTGGTTTTGACGACCGCGTCCATCGTCGCCGACGTAGCGCCCATGTAGTGGATATGGCAATCCCACAGCCCCGGCATCACCACGGGAACGTGCAACGCCGCTGCGTCTTGGTATTCTTGAGGCACGTCGGTTTGACGTCCCACGTAGAGAATAGACTTGGACTTCCAGACCACGGCACTGTGGAGAAGGGGCTCTCCCTGCCCCGGAATGAGGAGATCGGCATCGATGCGGTAGAGGCTGTCGTCTGTAAGTGATCGATACATTATTGCATCAAGGTTGTCGTGAGATTAGATGCAGGGGTGGAAAGGAGGAGTCAGGGGTGAATCCACGGAGTCATGATTAGGGATGTCTTCAAAGCCGAGCCTCTGAGTCTGCTTATATTATAGCACTTTCGCTAGGCTGCATGCTCCACAAATGCTCCGATAGCTCCAGGACACTGGTCCGCATCTCCTGTGACTAAGGTAAGTATAGATGCCCTTGCGGGCCGGTCACATATTAGTCGTGCCTGGACAGTGACACACTGACAGCAAGCCATTGCAGACCATGCAATACTGGCCAAAGCACGCACCTAGACAGGCGAGTGTGCGAAAAAAGTACTCAAAACATGTTTTTTCTAGTTCCTGGGTGGCATGGCACGGAGCAGATGTCGTTCAAGATAGGACCTCGTCAAAACGAGAGCTTTGATGCTCATACGACCGTTCGTCGTACAACCACAATGCGCGCATTGCACGATTCAAATAGATGGTATCCTCAATCTCTGACGTGGTCCACATTTGCTATGCACGGGTCAATGAAGTAGGTCGAAACGAGCAGTTTTCGACCCCAATTGAGAATAGGGAGACATACCAGACGTGACGGTAAAACTGGTGAAATAATACAGCCACCGGTAGACTAGCAGACACCAGGCCCGCATAGGGCGAAACAAGCCTTCGCCCGTTAATTAATTGCGCGCGAAGTACATTCGAATGAGCGAAAGCATGCTGTGATCGGGTGAGGTACTTCTACCTGCCCGCCTCTCGAATGTTCTGCCATCTTCAGTTCGAATTTCGAAACATCGAAAGAGGCAAAGGATTCTGTCACATCACCAGCGGAGGAACAAGACACAAAGTATGGCTCCTTCGGAGGATACCACGCCGCCTATGACGGCGGACGAGAAGTCGTTCTCCAAAGGCCCTCATGAATCTGTCGACGATGTTCAGCATATCTCGGATATGGAACAGAAAGCCATCCTGCGTCGAATTGACCTCTGGTACGTCGCTGTCTTGAGGCCGAGACTCGATACATATCTCAGGATATTCTCAGGAAGACCTAATCTGACACTCGTCGTTATAGTTTGCTTCCCCTGATGTTCTTCTCGTACTTGCTGCAGTACCTCGACAAAACAACTCTATCCTATACCTCAATCCTAGGCCTTCTGAGTGGAACGGTATAATTGTTTGACCATCCTCAACCATAACTCATTTTGATTTAACGTTTCGTGGCGGAGCTAGCACATAACCACTGCACAATATGCATGGGCATCAAGCGCATTTTACTTCGGCTACCTCGTTGCCTCGTATCCCGTGTCATTGGGTTTCATCAAGTTCCCCATCGGAAAATACCTTTCTGTTATGATGTTAGCCCTCTTTCTACCCCTCAATGAAGCAGCCTTGCATTCAATGAGTCGAGCTGACATATGGTGAAGGATCCTGTGGGCTGTTATCCTGACCTGTCATGCAGCAGCTTCGAATTTCGCTGGTTTGACCTCACTGAGAGTCCTTCTCGGGGTGTTCGAAAGTGCAATCAGCCCGGGATTTACCATGCTGATTGGCATGTGGTATACCCCGTCTGAGCATGCGATGAGGAGTTGCATCTGGTTTTCGGGAAACGGAATAGCCGCCATCTTTGGAGGTGTGCTTGCGTACGCCATTGGTCATATTGATGATCATTTGGGCGCCTGGCAGGTATGTGGAATGCAGCTCACGGCAAGGCTAAGACACCAGGCATTGCCACGAATCTGAACCTTGTTGAACCTACTGACTGACAGTTCCTTGTCCTCGAAATAGTGGCTATTCATCATATTCGGCCTGATTTCAATCGCGTGGTCGGCTTTCCTGTTCTTCACTCTGCCCGATTCGCCCCTCAACGCCAAGTTCCTCAAGCCTGATCAGCGAGGCCCAGCCTACCATCGTGCACAAGCATCTCAGAAGAGTTATCAGAGTCGGAGGTGGAAGAAAGACCAGTTCATTGAGGCGCTGGTCGATCCAAATACTTGGTTCCTAGTGTTGTACAACTTCTTTGTCTCATTGCCGAATGGCGGCATCACCAATGTAAGTTTCCCAGTAGACCCGCTCCGAGACTACTCCAGAAGAGCCCGGCAAAAAGCAACCTGCTGAGTCTAAGTAGTTCGCCAGTATTGTCATCGAGTCATTCGGTTTTGACACTTTTCACACACTACTATACGAGATCCCCTTGTCTGCTGTCGCTCTTGTCATGCTCTTTGCCATCGCAGTGACGTGCAACCGTTTCCCTGGCCTGCGCTGCTACTGGATGATCTTCACTCTCTTGATCAGTCTGGTCGGTATCCTTCTCATGCGGCAATTACCCACGCATCGGAAATGGGGTAGACTGGTGGGAGTCTGGCTCGTGACTGTCTTCGGAGCCGGCTGGCCACTGAGTCTGAGTTTGGTCTCCAGCAACACAGCGGGCTTTACCAAGAAGGGCACCGTGACTGCTCTTATTTTCATTGCCTATTGTGTTGGCAACATCGCTGGTCCGCAACTTTTCAAGAGCACTGAGGCCCCTCGCTATAACGTAAGTGGATTTCTAATGCTTCGAAGAGGGACAAATCAGCTAACTTCTGCACTAGACTGCATTCTCAGCAATCCTTGCGTGCTTCTGCCTTGCTGTACTTGATGTCATTGGCTTCCGCTGCTATATGGTCTGGGAAAACAAGCGACGCGATTGCAAGCAGGGACGAACCATCGAGCCCGAGTCAAGCAAGTCGGACGATGCGACTGATGCGTCCTTTGACATGGGTGGTGACGGAGATGTCTCTGATTGGCAGAATCAGAGCTACCGATATTGCCTCTAACTGAAAAAAAGTAGAATGATGGCCGGGGAGACGAACTTCAACGAGTCTAATCTTTGAGTGTAATGACAGTCTCCTGAATTCTGCGTTGTTAGACTCAAGAACATAGATCATATGCAGAAGACTGATGCAAGTCAACGCTTCAAGTAGTCGTCTTTGAATCATTGTTGTATCTCAAGCCAAACAAGTCAAGCAAAACTCGTTTGCCACCCTAGAAACTCCATAACCTCCTCCCATTCGAAGCGACCAACGCGTATCTGTGTGACTCCATCTCCATTTAGCGTACGGCGTTTCCATAGCAGCTCAACTAAGGTCTGTGCTCTCATTGTGTTTTCGTATGGCGCTTTTTCTCGAGCAGTCCGAAACAACCCTAGAGCGTTGGCCTGTGCCTCCGAGTCAGGGTCGCTACAACAAGCCGCGATAAAGAGGGGCCATAGAGGCCAGGAGATGGGTAAGAAGTCTAGCTTTGATACAATCTTATCCACCAGAGTAAGAATTGTGTGGACGTGGTCCTGTATTTGCACGGAATCAAACTCTTTGATATTAGTTGGCGTGAACCCTAAGAATGAAGATTTGGATGCTTCAGAGAGGAGCAGAAAAGCGGCGAGACGATAAGCCTCGCCTGTATGCTCTAGCAAGCGGTATGAGTTAGCGCGTTCGGTGGCATGGCGGTAGTTTAACGATGAATCTGGAAGCGTTTGCGTGACATTGCCAATGCTGGCTCTCAAGCCTAGTATCTTGGTTTCAATTGACGCTTGAGCTGCAACAATCATGGTCGGCGGATCCGAAGTATGACGGCGATTGGAATCAAGAACATCCTCTCTGATAGTCAATGTGTCATTTATCAAGAGTAGAAGGTGGTTACTGAGGCCATTCCATATGTCTATTTGATGAAGAGTGTTCGAATCCATCACGCCCAACAAGGCGGCTGTCGAGGTCCAGGAACTTTCGCGCAGATCCAGGGTAAGAGCCGGTGTGCTCTTAGTGTCAAGATAAAGTGGTGGTTCAACGACAGGCAGCAAACCCTCAATGGGAAACATAGACTTGGCGAGTACCAGATGTGCAGAGAAGTAACTGACAAAGAATCGGTGCAGGAAGGACTTGCAAAAGCTCCCTTGAGCTGCCCGCTTGACAAGGAGCTGGAAGCAAGCAAAATGACGCACCCAGGACGAGTCACAGCTCGCAGAAATCTAGTAATCATAATCAGGGCGAATATCGATACCAGAAGAACATCACAAAAGGATTTCATCACTCACTGCCGAGGAGCAAAGAAAGATTGTTGGCACGAGGACATCCTCAGTGTCCCAAGACTCTCGTGCCAATGCTTGTCGCAACCCTCCAAGTACCCGTTGCCGCACTTGCATCTCCAAGATTGTGTATCGCGAGTCAAACGAGCGCATATACTGAGAACTAGCCATGAGGACTGCATAGTACGTCAACTCCGACCTCAAAGCCATACGCATCACCGTACTGCGGAGCGGATTGTTATCCTCATCGTCAACAGTGACAGCGACGGGACACATGACAGATTCATAGAACGAGAGACACAAATGATCAACGTCCGGTATGCCAATACTCCATGGGAGAACAGGCAGTGCCCTGGCTATTGACACTGATTTGCGTCGATCCCATTGATAGTAGCGGCGCTGGTAGACGGATTCCGGAGCCTGGTCGCTGTCTACCATTTTCTGTTGTGGACTGTGGCAGGCGGGTGGAGAGCCGATCGACACAGCTTTCTCTTCGCCATCAGCCTGACAGGTATCATCCTGATCTTTGCGTTTGGTCTGTGTCCACGGCTCCATGGCCGTGTCAGCCAATCGTTTACGCACAAGTGAGTTCATCTTCGATTGAACGCCTGTTCGTCCATGACACTTGCCTACTGCACGCATTTCGTCCTCCCACTGCAAGCGGACCTCATAGCTGCATGCATATCCGGACCGCCTGCATCGCATGCAAGTGGGATGAGTTTCTAGAAGCAGGAAGGAACGCTTGTATGTGAGCCATCACTTCCTGCCTTCCTGCTCGAGGAACGGTATACATACCATCGCATTTTACCCGTCTACGCCGACAGGTGTTGCAGCCCGCACGAGACCGCACCTTGGGCTTGGGAGGCTGAGGTGGCTCAGGCGGAGGAGTGGCAGCTATAGACCATGAGAGAAACATGTCTCACGCTGCTGAAATGGAATGTCGTAGCGAGGCTGGTTTGTGCTGCAACAGGAAGTCGTCGTCATGTAAACGCGCAGGATACCACGAATTGTGGGTGAATTGCGGGAAGGCAGCAGCAACAGTTGGAGGGGAAAGGGCCATGGTTGGAGGATTTTGACCATCTCCACCTCCAACCTCGTTTGACCCATCAGGCCAGTGACTCCCACAAATCAATTTATGAGGAGCCACCTGTAAGTGACTAAAGTCTGGTCGGTGCATGGCGGACCGCAAACTAATGGAGAAGGAGGGAGAAGGCGGGACTCCGAGGGAGATGGTCGATCGCGCGAAGTGGGGAAGAGGAAGGGGGGAACAGCGGAAACTTGAGTTTGGCAGCTCTTTTGGCTCCGCGGCCCTCCCGGTACCGGGTCCGGTCACAACGGATACCGCCCGGGTAATACACTAGTAGCAGTTATTGTACTGTTTGTCGGTCCTATCCTGGAGCCATCATCGGCGATCCCAATTCCTAATCCCTGTCACTCGATAGAATGTTTCATTGGCATTGCATCTTCCTGCCAGTCTCAAAATGTCTTCTATTTTACGCAATACGCAAGCACGCGCAGGCGAGATCCTTCCATGGTCCACTTTCTCATCTCGGTTCCCGCTCGGTCCCGAGAAGCGGGCTTGTCGGCAGTGGCATTGGTATGGATCTTGATCTAGATCCCTGTCTCACGCCATCTCGAAAGTACCTTCTCCGTGAAAGCAAAACTTCGTACCTGACGGCCAGTCTCCGAGCGGGGCGCAAGGACCGAATGCCTGCCAGCTCGCCTCGAAGGAGCGCGATAATTACGGGACGATGGGGCTTCTAGGGCCCCTATATGCGCGCCAGATATGGCAGGCTGCAGACAAAGAATCAAAATCTTGCAGCTCTCCCTGATATTCCATACCAACACCCTCGATGCAGAATTAAGTCGACTGATGCCTCTTGCCGAGCGATTCACTCGCCATCATGGCCAGCCCGGAGCAGTCTGCCTCGAGAGAAGCTCTTGTGATTGTGGGTTATGTCGTACCTATGGCCGGGATGCTGTTGACCACGGGAATGAGGTTGATGGTCAAGATTCGAGGTCAGGATGACAAGTTTCACATGGATGACTACCTGATAATGCTTGCAACAGTGGGTTCTCCCTTCCAAGGTGGCCAATTTCTCAATGGAAGCTGACGATTTGATTTCTGGGAGATAGACATTGGAAGTGGCATACTCAGTGACGATGATGGCATGTGGTAGGTGACGCAAGTAGCATCACAAAGAACTAGAACAATGACTGAGAGCCCTAGGTTTGGGTCATGGTTTTGGCAAACATACCTCCACCGTCTCGGTGAAGGACCTGGAAGTCTTCGTAAAGGTACAGTGCAATGAACCCAGATCGGCTCGAAGCAAAGGATTAACTCAAATAGGGAGAATATGTTGCTAGTCATCTCTGCAACTTGGGTCTCGCGTCGACCAAGCTTGGTATCCTCACCCTATACTACCGCATTTTCCCTGTGCAATGGTTATCAAGAACAGTGATAGGATGCGCGATCTTTATCTGCCTTTGGATAACAACTATTGAGATCTACATGGGAGTGCTCTGTCGTCCGCTAGCTGCATTCTGGAACCCGTCTGTCAAGGGTCACTGCTCAATTCTTCGGCTCTGTCATACTACATTAACTGCTCTAATATGCTTACGGACATATTCATCTTCGCCTTACCAATACCTGTCATTCTCCGGCTCCGCACGACCTCCACCAAAAAGATTGCATTGTGTATCATTTTCTCTATTGGCTTCATGTAAGGCTTTTCTGTCCAGGAAGCTTCACATCCGGTGCTTTTATCTAATACTCCATGGTTCATCTCCAGCACATGCGCCATTAGTGCAGCCAGACTAGCTTATGTCTTCGCACAGAACTCTAGTGACATCACCTGTAAGTCAATTTGAAGGGTTCAAACATGGCATGTTTTCAATTGACTGACATCATACACAGGGGAGGGTGTCCCCTTGGCTGTTCTATCCGCTTTCGAATCCTTTGGGGGCATCCTCTGCGCCAACCTCCCGATCATTTACCGGCTCTTCCGCTCAGCCGCTCAGAAGATGACCAGCCGTACTGGCAATAGCTCGTCCGCCCCCAAGACACCTCACCGACAGTACGGATACGGATCGAACATGTACGGCTCGAAAAATGTTGATCGAAGACCCCGCGGCGTCAGTGCAGCTAATGATGAACAATGGATTCGACTACCGAATGGCAACCTGTCCCACGGAACAGCCCATGAGACTGGAAATACAATTGTGACCCAAGTACATGAAGACTCACACACGGAGGAGAGTGAAGAGGATACGATAGAGCTGGTAATGATGCCGAAGAATGCAATCACGGTTCAGAGAGAGTTCCACCAGAGCGTGGAAGATAGCAATTCGTCCTAAGAAAAGACAGGGCAACCCCCCCCCCCCCTCACTCGCACCAATATCACAATTTCATGTGTTCAACCAACCTCCAAATGGCATTGATTATACCCCCTTATTAGAATCTTGTGCGAGTTCGGCCTTGGACCTCTGGCGAGGCTTTGACCCGCAACTTTCATTGGACAGTATGTTGTCGGAGTATAAGTCTGCACACGGTTACAAATCAACATGTTGACTGCGGCGATTATGCCCCACTTAAAGAGGCCCATCCTAGGACTCAATCTGCGAGTAAATGCCGAGAAGAGTCGAAGCCGCCGACGGACAACTTCCGCAGGCCCTGCACTATATACCGGACAGACTCCAATCTCTAAGTGGTACGAAGCTAACTACTGACCCTCAAACACGGCTTCTATCTTACAGACCCCGACTTTGTTGTACCATACGATTTATCTTCATTTTGTGAATATTGTAGTCCTGGTCATGTGCTGTGCTCGGACATTGATAATCCAGCGAAGCCTCGAAGCTCATCTATGAACAAAAAGCTACTTGATTGGGGAAAAGAATTGGTCTGTAACAATCTTCGAACCCCCGGCTAATTTTGAGCACGTCACTGACTCGTGCAGTATCTTTCCGCCTCGGAAAAAAAGACAATCCTAGCAAGCATTTCACTTCGTGGGCGTTAAGACTATCAAAAAATCACAATGAATCAAACTGAGACAGAGCTGAGCCTCGGACCTGTTCGCCCAAGCACCTGATTCCTGTCCGCGCTCAGAGGAATACGGTACAGGAGCTACTTCATCGTCAAGACTGCGCGGAATCTGACCGTTCCCTTCACCATGGCATCTGTGCAGAGAATACACAAGTCAGTATGACAGTCCTTCAGGCCTCAGCTTTATGGAGAGAAGTGCAATTTCAGAGGGTTGAAGTTCGCGTGCGAAGGGTGTGGTCAAGAAGCCACCAGGCTCAACGGAGTTGACCTAGCGAAATTCCATTTTCACAAACTTGTCCTTCATACAGGACGCGCCCTCTTTAATCACATAGGACATATAGCGAGTCTTACCATAGGCCTCATTGGCCTTATCCAGCGGAAACTCCTCCACCATGCAGTTGATATCCTGCAACTCGGTGAAGGCAATAGCATCCTCGCTGTCAGTTGCATGGCCTGATGGCCAAACCTGCACCGATAATCCTTTATTGACCTAGCGAAGCCAGCATCAACATCCAGTATCGCGCCTAGTGTAGAGCTAACTTACCATGATTGAGGTGTCCACTGGCACCGGACCCGGCACTAAGACTAGTGTCAGCCCCTTGTTCTCACCACAACAGCTCAACCATCATCTCTTCCGTACTTACCAGACAAGATCAATAACTTTCCCAGAACTCCCAACCCCTTCAACAAAGGACTGATAATCGCCGCATTTGGCGCAGTCGACATGACCAAAGAGGCTCCACCCAGCCGCTGCAACTCCTCGCTCACATTAACCTGACTTTCGTCAATATATTCGTGCGCGCCCAGCTCCCGGACCATCTTCTCCTTCTTCGAGTCCCGCGAGATGGCTACAACTCGATACCCCATCTTCCGCGCATACTGAATGGCCAAATGACCCAGTCCGCCCAGCCCTTGCACCGCGACTATCTCCCCAGGCGTAAAATTCATATGACGGAGAGAGTTGAAGACGGTGACGCCTGCGCAGAGAATGGGGGCGTATTTTGCGGCGGGGACGTGCTCGGGCACCCGAACCGCAGCTTCGACGTTGAGAAGACAATATTCAGCGTCTTGATCATAAATGTCAGCAACTCAGAACTACAACCACGGGACAAGTGAAGAAGCGGGTGAACGGACAGCCACCATTCTTGGTCTCCCCATTCACCTGCTGGGCAGAGCACATTTGAAAATAGCCTTTGTCACAGGCTCTGCAGGTACCTGCAAGTAGTGAGTTTTACAATCAAAGATCCGGGAATGGCTGTGAAGGGGAGGACCCGGTACCGTCGTGACCTCCATGCCAGCCTCCACCAACCCGATCCCCAACTTTCCAGTTCGAGACGCCGTTTCCGAGGCCCGCGACGCGGCCGATAATCTCATGGCCAGGCACAATAGGGCTTCACATGCAGAGGACGAGTTAATTTGTATGCTGGGAACAAGGCAGAGCAGAGAATTCAAGCGAGTACTTACAACCCACCACCCATGACGTTATTTTGAGCCCATCGATCCGAGGAGCAAACGCCACAAGCCTCGACCTTGACAAGGAGCTGACGGTCGCCTGGAGGAGTGAGAGGGCTCTCTTCAATCACGAGCGGTGATCCAGCAGAGCGGAACACCGCTTGCTTGAAAGTTGCAGGAAGGGACATTTCGACAAACGCGATGAACTACTGATTTTTTTGGCGAAAGATACAAACGGAGTGAGATGAATTTGACCTTCCGGACTAGATTCATCAACGGAAAGCATAGCCGGTCGACGTGCCACTGCTTCCTTTTATCCCTCCACAAGCCTGTGCGGAGTAGACAAGCTTCGCAGATATTATTCATTGCCGGATTCACATCCTGGATGTTTTCTCGTATACATCTAGATGTGGTAGGAGTCTGAGAGGTCGGGGATGCCGCGGTCAATGCTGCATACGGCTAGTAGGGAGGCTCGCTGTTGGTTCCAGATCCTCCGCCCTGACTGTCCAGATAAGCACGATCGCAGCTGCCGGGCCATTGACTACCAATACAAGCAGGGGAATTACTTTGCTCATTGATAGAGCCGTCATGTAACATGATGATGCAAGTGAAGTCAGTGCGGGGCCGACGCAGACAATGAGCTGCGGCCAAACCTCGTGTTGAATTACTCATCAAGATAAGACCATCATCATTGAACCACGCCAGCGTATGAGCTGATTTGTGGAAGCTTGACTGGTGTGCGGAGAATCTCTTCGTCTAGAGGCTTATGCGGAGCTATTCGGTGTTATAGCTGATTTTAACAAGACAAGCTTTCCCAATTCGGGGATACTCATACGGCCATGAGCTTTGCATGAACAGTATACGAGGTGATTTTCTCATCACCATAACAACATGCACATCTGTCAGCAGAGCTTTGAGGAGCTTGCTATTCTTCACGGCCATAGTTCGCATTTCGCTGGAAAAGAAAAGCCGTCTGGTTAGCCGGTCTCCAATCTACCTATGGATGTCAAGCCGCGACTACCTGCTCGTCAAGTAAGGCACAGCCCGCTACCGCCTCTACAACCTGGTTTATCCTCTTCATCTCCAATGTGCTCGTGCGAGACGGATCATATCATTGAGTCTAGCTGAATCTAGGAGCCAGACGGTCTAGCAAGGTATGTACAAGAGACATCAGAGAACGGACTTCGCTCGAGCTCGATACTGTGCAAAGTAAAAGCTCAAAGCTTTAAAATCACTTGTCTCTTATCGCCCGCCGGCTCCTCATGATGATTGTTCTCGTCGCAATTCGTTACTGGGGAAGAGGCAGGCCGCGGTAGAAATCGCTCCTCGCTTTCCCTCAGCTCATTAACCCCAACAAGCCCATAAATCTCCGACAACGACGCAATCGAGTCCCGCACAGCAGCCGGACGCACCTCTCTCCGAAGCACCACCATCGCATCCTGCATAGCCCTCACCGCAGCTCGAAGCGCCTGATTCGCGAAGATAACCACTTTAAACCCGGTATCAAACAGCACACTCGCCGAGATACCCTCATAAGTCGTTGGAACCGCAACAAGCACACAAGACGACGAGCGGTCCCACGCCGCCGCAATCTCCCTCAACTCCTCGAACGAGTCCGACTTGGAGTGCACGAGCACGGCCTCGGCGCCCGCGTCTGCGTACGCCCGCGCGCGCTCCAGGGCTTCGCGCTTTGTCCGCCCAGCAATGAACGCCTCCGTGCGGGCGATGACCACGAAGTCGGGATCCGTCCGCGCTTCCTCGGCGGCCTGGATTTTGAGCGCATGTTCGTGCGGGGCTGTCAGTTCGCGCTGCACCCCCTCGTAGAAACTGTACCGTTTCGGGAAGATGTTATCCTCGATGCATACCCCTGCTAAGCCCGGGCGCTCGCATTGGGTGACGGTGCGCATCGCGTTAATCGCATTGCCGAACCCGTTGGCGCAGTCTGCGACGACGGGGCAGGTGACGGCCTCGGCCATGCGTTGCGCTGCCCTCGAGGGTCTCGCTCATGGTCAGGATGTTCGCGTCTGGCAGGGCGTGGGTCGCGGAGATGCCGAAACCGCTGGCCCAGATGGCATCGAAGCCTGTGCGCTCGGCAATACGTGCGGAAAGCGCATCATGCGCACCGATCATGAGTACTGGGCCCGGTCGGGTAAGCAGTTGGCGTAATTGAGCGGCTCTGGTTGGGGTCTTTGGTGCCATTCTCGATGGTATGAGGTCGATCTTGTCCGATTGAGACGAAGAAAGACGGCGAGAAATGGGTAGAGGTAACGACGGGGAAGGCAAGGAAGCGAGGGATACTGAAGTAGGGGATTTCTAGGATTTGACATGTCAGAAAGTGACTAGGGACTTATGCAGCATATTAATAGACGGTGGAGACATAGCTTCGACCAAGTGATTGTCTAGTCCTTGACGCAGATCGCCACAAGATCGGGACGTTCGGCATAATTTCTAACCTGTATCATGCTCCCATGGGACCATTCAGAGACAAAAATTGGAAGTATCTGTGCTGTTTATCTACAGGTCGCTGGTTGTTGTGTTGTTTGTCTTGGCTGGCTTCCGACCTATCTACGTCTATCTCTATTCCCTTCTTCCCCACTGGGAACAATCTAGCCCCTCACAAGCGGGGTACTCATGAATTAACTGGCTACACTCTTGATTACTACGCACAGGCCTCTCTCTACTTCACGTCTCCTGCATAAAGCATCGTTTTTATCTACTGGGTGTGCTTTGTGGACCAGTGCCTTTTCCTCGCAAGACTAAACCTCCACGGTCTGGCCCATACAAATGAGCTCTCCCTCCTCCCTTACGCCACGTCCTCCCCGATAAACAAACCGATGACCAATCAACTCCTACGAGAATTCCACTGTTTTGGTTACTTGAGCTTTATCGTCCCGGCGCGCAGAACAGAGAATTCCCTGCTCTTCTCCATCCTCTTGCTGCCACAGTGTTCAGATGCGAGGTCGGCGATTGCAGCGGCAGCAACATCAGCAGGAGCAGCAGCTCTGTGCTTGTCATCGGCGGCCACAACCTCCTGCGCCTGGCGCCGATACACGCTTAGAATTCTTTGCGCAGTCTTGATCTTCGTCGCGGTGAAGACGACCTGAAAGAGGCTCACCACGGCGGGTGCCGCGCTCGACAGCCGGTCGCGGTTGGTGAATATGAGAAACGCAATCACGACCACTTCGAGGGTGGAGAGGAAGCTAAAGATGGCGAGTCCGGTGAGGAAAACTCGGTGCAAATGGCGAAACCAGGACGAAGGGCCCAGCTGACGGATGAGGTAGGTGAGACGGGAGATGATGCTGCCTATGCTGGAGAAGAGCACTACGCCACGATTGCGGAAGTCAGTACTTTTTTCCCGCAGGCGAACAGACTTGCAGACATGCAGGAAGGAACATACCCCAGGTTAAACAGATCTGTACGAGAAGCGCCAGCCGCTCCAGACCCTCGGCGCTCTTCTCCGGAGCTGTGGGAAGGCTCATGACCATATACAGGTAGCCGTGGAGAAAGACGAGAGTCCCCAGATGATGCAGCAGATAGATCGGTCGCAGACTCTCGCTGTATATCAGATCGAAGAGGCCGAGCGCTCCGAAAGCCATAACAGAGGTGGTGGCCATGTCGGCCAGCGTCATTCCCGGCACCAAGCCCTGTTCATCCCAATACTGCCCCTGGACGATGATTCGATAGCTGGGGACCGCTATGAAAACGAAGCCCCACACTTTCATCACGATCCCCACGTGCAGGAGGCCTACGCGGCGCTGCTCCGCCGGGGTGAGAGCCGCAAACTTGGTTCCGTAGATGCCGCGGAGTAGTGGGGATGTGAAAACGAATTGAGTGAGAAGCGCACAAAAGACTGTCAAATCGACCAGCAGTGTCGGCCCGAAGGTGCCGGATCTGACTAACAACCTGCAAGATATGACATCGAACTGGCCGTGGCAGCTGGAGGCATATAGCGGTTCCATGATATGAAGCGGCTGGGAGAAAGGGGAGTTGAATCGTGAGAAGAATAGAGAGAAGGGACTTGCTCAGCTGAGCTCAGGACTACGCTGGGTGAGTTCCATGACCTAGTAATTTATATTGAAGATAATGACTTGTGTCGGTTCATCCTCGTCACTGATCGTCGTCAATGATCGTCGGGTACTTGGCATAGTGCCTTTCAGCTGGATGGAGCGGTTCATGCAAGGGGGTCGCTTAGAAAAAGCAACGATTCCCAACAGTGAAATGTTCTACCTTCCAGTCCCCTCGATCAAATAGTAATCAACGAGCCAGGAGAACTCTCGCTGAGCTGCAGGAACATCACCTGGCAGCCATGTCTGTCGTTTCTGCAGGTACGGAATCTGAAGCTGGCCGTGATACTTGGGCTCCTCCTAGAGTCAAATCTACGCTCCGCCTTCCCCTCACACTTCTGGCCCTGTCTCTTTTGATGCTGGCAGTAATCTTGAATGTCACCTCGTTATCGTCCGCTTTGCCGGTAAGTATAACGCCGCTCGAAGCATTCCGCAGCACTCACTCAATGTCGCCACAGACCATCTCCCAGGATCTCGGACTGACTTCTATTCAAGCCTTCTGGGCAGGAACCTCGTCTCTGATATGCTCGACTAGTGAGTGGATTGAACTTCGTGAGGACCGTGCGGCTAACAGTAGAGACAGCCTTCCAGCCTGTATATGGCTCACTATCCGGCATCGTCGGTCGGAAGCCGATGATGCTGATTGCGATTGTGTCCTTCACTGCGGGTACCGTGACTGCGAGTCGAGCGTCGACCGCCACGACCTTGCTTGTTGGTCGTAGTATTCAAGGGCTGGGAGCCGGTGGAATCACCAGTCTCTCCGAAGTCATCCTGACCGACCTGGTGCCGTTGCGGCTGCGAGGACGATACCTAGCCGGGCTCAACTCAGTGTGGGCCATTGGCTCAACATCTGGTCCGGTGGTCGGAGCTGCCTTTGCGCAGGAGGTAGATTGGGTATGTGCATTCAACCTAGCTGCCCGACTCATGCCTCTCAACACCAGGAGATTAATTGCTCGTTAGCGATGGCTCTTCTACATCAACCTTCCTCTCATAACCCTGGGACTCACTCTAATGATCCTCTTTACGCGACTGCAGCCCCTGCCATTCTCCCAGCAACACAAGCCGGGTGGAATTGACTTTGGGGGCATTCTGCTGTTCACCGTGGGTATCACTTCCGTATTGATCCCCGTGACGTGGGGAGGAGTGATGTACGCCTGGAGCTCGTGGCACACGCTCACGCCCTTGCTCACTGGTATAGCCGCGCTGGTCTGCTTCGTGACTTATGAGGGCTTCTACGTGCCCGCCAACCCCGTCATCTCGCTAGCCCTCTTCCGCACCCGGTCTCTCCTCGCCGGCTACATCGGCACCATGACCCACGGCCTAATCCTCTCCTGCGGCCTGTACTACCTACCCTTCTACTTTCAAGCTGTCAAGGGCTACACGCCGATAATCTCCGGCGTCGCCCTCTTTCCCGTAACTTTCACCGTCGTCCCCGGTGCCATGGCGACGGGCATCCTGATCAGTCGACTGGGCCGATACCGGGCCCTTGTCTGGGCTGGCTGGCTCGCCACCACGCTGGGGCTGGGACTCACCTGCCTCGTGCACGTGAACACCACCAACGCCCTCTGGATCGTATGTCTAATCGTCATCGGCTTAGGTTTGGGCATGTTATTCTCCGCCCTCAATATGGCCGTGCTGGCGGCCGCCCCAAGCCCGACCCAAACCGCCGCCGCCGCCACGATGTTCACATTCTTCCGCGCCCTCGGCCAGACGCTAGGCGTGGCGCTAGGCGGCACCATTTTCGCCAACCGCGTGCGTGCCCACACGTTGGCCGACTCGGTTCTCGAGGCCATTCGCACGCATACCACCACGATGACAAATAACCACCTGGACCCAGTCGCGCTCGTGAGTCTGATCGATCAGATCCCCGACCCCGAGACAAAATGGCAGATTCGTACAGTGTTTGTGGATAGTCTGCGCGTGGTGTGGGCCTTTTGCTGCGCGATGAGCGGCGTCGCCGGGTTGCTGAGCCTCGGGATGCGGCATAACGAGCTGGCGCGGCGGGTGGGCCCCCCTCGTCCACTTTGTCCGGATCAGACCGCCCTGGAGCTGAATGGCTGTACTGAGTCGAGGCAGGATTTGGTGGCGATGCACCCTTACACAGCCAAAGCGAGTCACTGTTCGCTGCGGTCGATTCCGGGGTCGGATCGTGGCTCGCTGTGATTGTATGTAGAAGTGCCCGCCACAGGCTAAGTTGGCCTTTTCAATGTATGATAATGCGGCCGATCAGACTTTTCATTTTTTTGCAATTACTTGACATACTCCCCTTATTTATCTAGACCGTCATGTCTCAATCGACCCATTCATAAGCCGCATCGACCGGGGCTCCGAACTGACAGCTAGTGTTGATTTATGAGTGGCCATACCGTGTATCGAAGTGGAGACAGAGTGGATCAAAGATCCGGGCGCTAAATCTAGGGCTGACATTGCGGAGGAGTATAGACCAGAAAACCACCACTATACCTATATCGAAGATTAACACCCTTCCTAGCAACTAACGTACCACCTGAGTCTTATGGGACCTGCTACGACGAGCTTTTTTAAATCACTACAAAATGAACTCCAATGCTAGCCTAGTGCTTACCCAGCAAACCCCATAAATATCCCTCAGAGTCCACAACCCTCAACAACTCAACCATCCCACATCCCACACCCACAAACACCATGTCCACCACCATGCCCACCACCACCACCACCAACAAACCAACCACCCTCGCCCTCGCGCACCTGCAGCCCCTCCTTCAGGATGGAGCAATAACCCCCGCCCTCACCGCCCAATACCACACATCCGTCACCGGCCCCTGGTCCCAAACCTGCTGGACCCGCGCCGCAGGCTACCTCCTCCCGCAAACCGTGGCCGAGCTCACGCAAGCCCTCGCGATCCTCAAGCACACCCACGCCCGATTCGCCCTCCGCTCGACGGGCCACAACCCCAACGCCGGGTTCAGCAGCGCGGACGGATCGGCGCTCGTCCTGGATCTCAGCCGGTTTCGGGAGATGGAGCTCACGGCGGAGGGAGCTGCCCGGGTCGGGGCCGGGTGCACCTGGGGCGAGGTGTATGGGTGGTTGGAGGCACGGGGGTTGGAGGCCGTCGGGGCGAGGCAGGTGCAGGTTGGGGTGGCGGGGTTTGTTCTGGGAGGTTTGTTTTCTCCTCCTCTCTGCAGTAACTGTGGATGTTGTGGCTAATCAGTGGGATTGCAGGAGGGATGGGGGCGTTTCCGAATCTGTATGGGACGGGGGCGGATGGGGTCCGGAGTTTCCAGGTGCATACTACTTAGGTATTCTTCTTTGCTGCCGAGTTTCATGGTTCTGACGAAATGCGGGTGTCCCAGGTTCTGTTGGCAGACGGCAGACTGGTCAATGCCAACGCCCACGAACACCCCGACCTCTACCGAGCCCTGAAAGGCGGAGGCACCAACTTCGGCATCGTGACGCGGGTCGACCTCGAGACTCATCCTCTACGCCCTATCCAATATACCATCGACCTCTACAGCCCTGATGATTATATGGAAATCAATAAAGCCACGGTGGCCGTCCAGATGGCTATGGAGGAGAATCCGAAGATAGGACTGTTCACGAACTTCAACGACGGCGTCGTCGCCGTGGGCATGTTCTACGTCGACCACCACCCAGCTGCATCATCACCGTCCGCTTCTGCGTCCGTCTTCACGCCCTTCCACGACCTCCTACCCCGGAAAACGGGGACGGCGCTGCCCACCACAACTGGCACGCTCCTCTCGCTCGCCAAAGTCATGGGCCACGCCCAGGATCTACCGGGGAAGCGAGCGATTACCTCCGTGACTACGCGGGTCTCACATGATCTGTATGACCGGGTCTATCTGTGTTGGACGCAGCTCCGCAAAACGCTGCCCGCTGGCTGTGCGCTGCATTACACGATCCAGCCCATGGGCACGGCGGGCGTGCAGGCGGGAAGCGACCGGGGCGGGAATATCATGGGGCTGGAGGCGGTGCCGCAGTGCTGGTGGGTTTTTACCTCTGAGTGGTCGCAGGATGCCGAGGAGGATGTGGATGCTGCTGCGCACGGGGCGGTGCGGACGATGGCGGAGATGGTGGAGGCTCTGGCGAGGAAAGAGGGGGTGTTTCTCGATTTCAAGTGTATGAATTTTGCGGGGGCGGGGCAGAAGGTGCTGGGGAGTTACGGCGCGAAGAATGTGGTGCGCATGCAGGCGGTGGCGGAGGAGTATGATCCTGAGGGCGTTTGGCAGGGTTTGCTGTTTGGGGGGTTTCTTTTGCGGGAGAGTTGAGTGTATCAGTGCTCGTTCTAAATTGGCTGTTGTCCTTTTCATGAGTGTCAGGTCTTTTGTGGAATCTGTAGGACTGACATCCAGGTATGTCGGAGGAAAAGCAGTCATGACGCAGGTAAAATCATGCCTGGGACTCGGCCTCGAACGCTTGTTGAAGATGTCTGTCGTACTCCTTTTTATCAGACAGCTTTTCAGCTGCGATGCGTCCTATGTCCCAGTCCCATAGAAATGGCATAACCGTATTGAACTCCTCAACCTGATCTTTGCAAAAACGTGGTCGCACATGCTGTTTGAGTATCATGAAGAGACCCGATGGACTGGAGAGAGCGAGCGTATACCAGAACGTTCCCGTCGCCCAGGATTTTTGCATGATATCGGAGAGTAGCGGGGGCGAGTTGCTGCTATGTCCAGCCGTCACCGCGACTGCTTCCTCCTCGACAGCCAGAGCGTCCATGAACTCTGTACGCACCGGATCGTACCCAGAGGCCACCAGCTCATCGACACCCACATTGGTGAGCAAATAGGGAGGCCGAACCATCTCCACCAGCAAAGCGCAAGCCCACTCCAAATCCACCAGGCACTTCACATTCCAGTCCGCATCCACGAAGATGTTGCTCTGGTGGAGATCAGTCAGCGAGAACACAAATGGCCCGCGTCGAAGGCCTTTCTGGAAGATTGATTTGGAGACGGTCCGCATCCCGGCGAGGGAAGCGAGCTGGAACACACAGTCCCCAAGGTCGATGATGAAAGAGCCGATCCTGGGGACTGGGGTCTGGCTGATGCGCAAGCCAGACGCCGAATAGAATGAAACCACCGATGTAGGAGCGGCAGGTTTTCCAGGCAAGTGAACTAGAAATAAACAGATTAGCTGGAGTGGGATGGGAGATGGTAGTGGCCATGTACAGTTTCACCAGTTGAGAGGGCAAACCCATAGAGTTCTGGAATCGGCACTTCTGGACAGTTCGCCTGTAGCCATGCATAGCTCCCTGCTTCACATCGAACTTTTTCATCTCCATTTCCCGGCCTAAAATCCTCACCGACTCGATAGGGGAGCGGGAGTCGAAGAATCACCTTGATACCCTTGGGGCGGATGGTAACCGGAACGCAGACGTTGAAGCTCCCATGTAACCAGTCCTCAATATCTGATACATGACACAGATCGGAGGAGTTTAGGTTCAAGTGGTGCGCGACAGTTTTTTGCATCCAGCCCTGATGATTGTGGAGATGAGAAAAGAATTCAGTTCGCTTATCATAGTATCCTAGTTGATGAAGAATGTTTGTCTCCTCTTCCTTGGCAGATTCGTAGCGGATCTCTCGCCGAAGAAGCCTTTGTGTTATGGGCATGATGGAAGGAAAGTGAGCGCAATGAGAAGAAGTTGTAGTTAACGGTTGCTCTAATGATTGGGCTCCGTGACGGCTTTGTATCCTTCTGTTACAGTACCACTACCCCCCTGACTCTTCTTACACCAATCGGAATGCCAATTTGGGAATTTTACACTTCCGCTCACTATTCGTCAAAAAGTACTGTATTTGACCAATTGTTCAGCACATAGCTTAGCGCTCCGCCGCCTCATTCTTTGCACGAGTCTGCAGATACACTTGTCTATGTTGCAACTGCGAGACGGGTGTTCGAACTGTAGCCAAAGCCCGTGGGATAGGGGGCTTTCGAATCACTGTCTCGGGAAAAACACTCTTCCCGAATTGGGAGGACGATTTGTTCGAGTATATGAAACATAAAGCATCATATTTTTAGTGATCTTTCTTCCCAAGTTATGAGATTGGCCCATTGAGCAGGAACATCCGTCACCGTTGTTAGCATAGATCGCACTAGACGTCTCCCTGGGTTTCTGGTGCACCATAGCCTCGCGCTTAGATGCATTCCCAGGCCATGGAACAGCAGGAGTACTCGCGCAAGCCAATCGCCCTCTCTGAGAGGATCAAGATACTCATCGCTGATCTCTAGTGTCCACCGCATGCTTCCAATATTCGACGCGCCTGTCATTGTGTAGATGTTGCGGGTCGATGAACTTCAAAGGAGGTCAGGAGATCGTGCTGAAGTACTGATAATTGAGAAAGTCCTGAAAGATTGGATGCTGCCAGACGAGCTTTATACCAAGTGAGCATTGTCCCAGTCCCGAGTCGGCATACTATACTTCCCAAAGAGGAAATCGGAAATCGGATTCGTTTTCGTTTAATGCGGGTCTCACTCCAACTCAATCTACACTCTCCACCTTAACCCACAGCATTTGATTGAACATGGGTTTCACGCAGTACCTTCAAATGGATAAGTAGGTACTGTACATTCTATAAGTATCATCGTACCGTAGTTGAAGCGGCTACCCCTATCCATGGCACATATTGGAGCCGCCTATGTTCGGTTCAGCAATAAGGTCTTACAATTCGATAGAAGAATGGAAAATTTTGAATGCACCATGCAAAACGCCCAAGACATGCAAGATCATGTCAAGATTCTCACGTAAGGGTAAAAACAAAAAAAGCCCTGTAATGAAAATGGATTTCGAGCTGTACATGCAAATCCGAAGACAAGCCATGTTATCTTCAATTCAGCTTCCCACCTCAAGTGCTCGACCAAAACCGGAGGCTTCTCACAAAAGCATCGCTGCTAACTGTTCAAGTAGATCTTGATGGCTTCTTTTCTTCAAGCTTCTAGAAGGTATCGCCATGGGCCAGTACCCATTGAAACTGAGGGGAAGGTCTCGCCTTGCCGCGGACCGTTCACGTACCGCTGCAGTTAGCTTTCCCATCATCTCTTCCTCGACCTTCAGTCTTCTATCTTTAACTCATGCAAGTTCCTAAAATCCTCAAAGCGACCGAAGCACCTTTTTGACCCAAGTGGGCCTTTGGACGATGCTCTTCAGAAGCCCTGCCCTACCCTTCCGCTGGAAAGGGAAGAAACATTGCACGAGTGGCTTGGTAGGTCTTGCTGTGCTTTTGATTGATCGTGGTCACTGACCTCTCCTAGTGCACTATGAAAAGGCGTAAGTCCAAGAGCAGCATCACAATTCCTTGCAGTCGCTATGAGGAATACCACACTGTGGTGGCAGTCAACAAATCTACAATATCTCCCTCCAACCCGGTAATTAGTACGGAGTATGTTGTAAATACTACTATTAGGATTTAGCTCAATGTTTTGCCCAATCAGCATGTAGTGACATCGCCTCACAATAAGCCCAGCTGGATCTGGAAATGTCAACCATGAAACTACTAGGTAGGCAAGAACTTCAACCAGATTCACTAATCGATGAGCCGCTTCGTTTATCCTCAGGTTCCAGCCGGCCTGTCTACAATAGAGACGGCCTCCTGAGCTCAAAGCGCGTGCGTCCACCGAGTTCAGGTACGAGTTGAACCTTATTCACTATGCTTCTCAGACCAGAATATTGCCATCTTCACCAGAGATTGATGGCAGCTGCTTGCTGACTCATGCTCGGATCTGCCCTGGATGCTTATGATAGAGACAATGATCTGATTGTCCTTCAATTAGTATGCCTGCCTATTGGTACATTCGGCTGGACGTCCTTCGAAGCTCCTTGGTTAGGAATCGCTAGACCCATACCTTATCTTTGATCATAATCTCCTTGAAAAGAAATTTGCCCGATACATGTGCTACTCCACACTCCATCCCACGAAGCGAAAGAGAGCTATAATTGTATCAATTTCTTCAACTCCCATGCTCAGAAGCTCATTTATGGCATGCCAACGAATGACATGCAGTGCTGAAGATGGCATGAGCTTTATTATCATGAAGCGCTGCCCCAACACTAATCAAAGCCTAGGTTTCCATTTTACTTAATCAGCTATTCAGTGTTCCAAAATGCTTCTCATCCCCATGTACGGGCCGAGGCGCCGGGACCTAGGTGAACACTCACTGCGGGCTGACCATCTAGCCGCTACTCCCATGGTAAGCCCGCTGATTCACTCCCTCCCGAATTTCCCCTCCACATCATCCGGCTTCACTCTTCCCGCGACAATCAATTGTTCATTTTGCTCTTCATTCTATATTCTCTCGATTGTACACATTCCTACAGAATTTCACCTCAATGCTCCGTATGGGGCCGATGTGCACCCACCAACCCCTTTTCCCACTTGGGAAATAATGGTGTGGATGTCCCACTCGGACAAGCCTGAGCTGTCACTGTACCTGCACCTGCTTGGCCAAAAAATGGATACAGAACCGGAGGCAGGTCTACCAGGTCACAGATTCATTACGTGCAGGATCATGAACTAAGTCATTAATGAAGCAAGAAAGTATGCTACGGTGCAACTTTTCTCACTGACTCTCGCGGTACAGCAAAGAGGAGTCCTCAAAGCAGCCATCCCTTGCTGGCAGAAGCTCCGTCCGGGATGATCAGCTCAATCCGCCGATCGGCAGCGCCCCATCCTCTATTGATTCCACATTGCTTGTCCGAAGAATCAAGAACCATTGAGAATCGCCGACTGCTACAAGAGCGCCCTCCCTAGGGTTGATCTCATGCATGGTCTGCATGTTGGCTCAGCTGATGGCCTGGTGTGCGCAGCTCTTCGGTATCTCATCCTACGCTCGTCCGCGACCAAACCCCGCTGATCGCATGGTTCCATGCCAAGTTGGACGATTCTTACTGCAATTGTCGACTCTGTTCCATGAGATGTAATTTTGAGTGTGGCATCTCGTGCTTCTGATCAACGGCATAGCAGATAAGCGAACCACAGCTGATAACCACTAAGAACCCACAATCAACATCGATACGCGACCATTCACATTCCTACCACTCTTATTGGCCAGTGTACCACTTCTCGAGTCACACCGCGCTAGCCTGCATGCTTTGCAGCTTCAGCCCTTTCAGGCTATGTACTTTTGCGTGGATTGTGCCGCAAGTGACAGGTTCGGCATGCCTGCCACTCAAATACGTGGGACACGACCCGGAATTCGAGAGCTTGTTATGATGGGGCTCTAGGGGCAGATGCGATTGTCCTCTGAAGTCCGCGTATATTTAGAGCAATTACATGCTTTGACCTTCCTTTCTTCGCCTGCAAGGTACAGCTGTATAGCCCGCTGACATGGCTCTTCGAGTTGTGCTTGATCCGCTTGTGAAGCGGAGTAACATTCTCGTAAGCCCATTCCATGTGTATTCTGTGGGTTGCGTGCTGATTGATTTATCAGAGCTCAGACAATGATCCCAACGTTGGCTCCTCGCGGGGCAACGCCTCCTCGACAAGTTCCGATGTAATAGGAGATTTCGGACTTGGTGGGGGTTCAACTTCCCTTTCAGCGTTTCTAACAACTCTGATCCCTGCCTTGGTGATCGCGGCCTTTTGGTTTGGCTTGTTTCTGATCTGTCGACGAACTCAGCTGCGGTGGTATGCACCCAGAACTCATCTGCCATGCTGGCATAAACAGTACGTAGCATCCACTCCAGCCTCATATGCTACCACAGGAAGTTACTTAGAAGTTACGTAGTGAGCGAGCGCCACGTTTGCCATCGGGATTTGTCAATTGGTTTGGAGAATTCTTTAGGATCAATGATGCCCAGGTGCTGCATAACTCGTCTCTGGACGGCTATCTCTTCTTGCGATTTCTGCGTGTTCTGTCTGCGACATGTTTCACTGGATGCGTGATCACTTGGCCTATCCTTCTGCCTATACATGCCACGGGAGGTGCGGGAAATACTCAACTCGATGCGCTGAGCTTTAGCAATGTCACGGATCCTAAGCGTTATTACGCTCATGCCGTCATGGCATGTATATTTTTCAGTGAGGTGATCTTCTCAGAATACCTCTGGACGTCGCTGACAGTCGACAGCATTTGTCTTCTTCGTTATCACGCGAGAGAGCATATTTTATGCCAACCTGCGACAGGCGTACTTGAATTCTCCCGCTTATGCGCGTCGGATATCATCCAGGACGGTGCTGTTCATGTCGGTACCCGAGGAGTATAAGAACGAGGAGACACTGCGTCAGGTCTTTGGACAATCGATCCGGCGTATGTGGATCACCTCCGACTGTAAGAAGTTGGACGACAAGGTTCAGAAAAGAGACAAGTTAGCTTATAAGCTCGAAAGCGCCGAAACGAAACTTATTCGGGCAGCGAACTCAGCTCGTCTTAGGGCCATTAGGAAAGGAGCTTCCCCCTCCAAGTCCTGCTTAGAGACTGATGCCTGTCATGATTGTGAAGCGGACACATCGGGCTGGTATCATGGTGTGCGAAGGCCAACTCATCGCCCCAAGCCTTTCGGCAAGAAGGTTGATACGATCCGTTGGCTGCGAGCTGAGCTTGTCAAGGTCATTGAAGAGATCGACGATCTTCAAAAGAAACATAGAAATGGAGAGATGAAGAATCTATCCGCGGTCTTCATCGAGTTTTACACGCAAAATGATGCGCAAATCGCTCTACAAACGCTGTCGCATCATCAGCCATTGCATATGACTCCGCGCTTCATCGGTATCTCTCCCAATGAGGTCGTTTGGTCAGCATTGAATCTTAGTTGGTGGCAGCGCATCGGGCGCAGGTTCTTGGTTCAAGGTGGCCTTGCAGCTCTGGTCATATTTTGGTCCATTCCATCAGCCTTAGTTGGCACACTTTCTAACATCAGTTCTCTTACCGACCTGGTGCCATTTCTGGGCTTTCTCAATGACTTACCAGATGTCATCATCGGCCTCATATCGGGGCTGTTGCCGTCTGCTGCCCTTTCGATGCTAATGTCATTGGTCCCTGTTATCTGTCGAGGTATGGCTGATCCTTCTTTTCTGTGAGAATTGGTTGTAACGAGGTATACAGCATGTGCCAGATGCGCAGGTGTGCCCTCGGATGCTCGTGTTGAGCTTTTCACCCAAAGTGCACATTTCTGCTTCCAAGTAGTCCAAGTATTTCTTGTTACTACCTTGACATCTGCCGCATCCGCAGCGACTGCACAAATCATTAAAAACCCGCTGTCAGCCAAAGACCTACTGGCTCAAAACTTACCGAAAGCCACAAATTTCTACATCTCATACTTTCTTCTACAGGGCCTGACCATGAGCTCTATGGCGGTGGTGCAAGTTGCCGGAGCAGTTGTATTCAAGTTTATCACGACCTTCCTTGACCGTACACCACGCCGATTGTACCGGCGATGGGCAACACTAAGTGGCCTAAGTTGGGGCAATGTCTTTCCGGTTTTCACGAACATGGGTGTGATAGGTATGCTGTCTCGCCCTGTCTGACGTGTCACTAGCTAACAACTGCCAAAATTCAGCTCTGACGTACTCCTGCATCGCTCCCCTAATTCTCGGATTCGCATTCGTCGGTCTCTACCTTGTCTACCAAGCCTACCGATACAACTTTCTCTTTGTCTACGATCTTCGCATCGACACCAAGGGTCTCGTCTACCCCCGGGCCCTCCAACACCTGATGACCGGCCTCTACCTGGCAGACATCTGCTTGATCGGTCTCTTCGCCATCAAAGGCGCCATTGGGCCCCTGATCATCATGGTAGTCTACTTGATCCTCACCGTTCTCGCCCACATGTCCCTCAATGAAGCCCTTGCTCCTTTGAACTCCTTCCTTCCCCGCACTCTTGACGTGGAAGAATCCGCTCAGCTCGCCAAAGAAGAGGCCTCCGTAGCGTCCACACCTCTTGACACGGGTCTCCCGCATCTGCACCTCACAAGCAAATGGCAATCCGTATGGCGATGGTTTCACCCCAACCTCTATCGTGATTACGCCGCCATTCGGGGCAAGGTACCCCGCGACCACGTGGAAATCCAATACTCGGAGCAGGAGCACAATAATGCGTACTTTGAGCCGTGCATCACCTCCCGAACACCGACGGTATGGATTCCACGGGACCGATGGGGCTTCAGTCAGCAGGAGGTTGTGGATACCGACCCCTTGATACCCATCACAAACGAGGGCGCGCATCTGAGTGAGAAAAACAAGATTGTTTGGGATAAGTTCGATCCGAAGTTACCATTGTGGGAGTTGAAGATTCTGTATTGAGAGGTGCTGTCGGGTCAAATTATGAAATGCCATGGACATGAAAATGTTAATACCCCTAATCCTGTTTTTGGTGTATATTGCTTAGATCCTATCTGAATCATCGAATAGAATCCGTCCCACAAGGTCCAGCGTGTCGTGCACGTCTTTTTTATTACCTTTGATGTCTTGAAATAGAATAATTGAACAATTGACGCTATACACATGACGTAGCTGTGATGTTACCCCATACGCATATCAACACATAAGAGCATCAACCACCAGCAACAATCACACCAAATAAGCATCTTACTTAACACTTGGTTTGGTTTTCGAATCCAAAATGAAGATCGCTCTCCTCGGCCCAACAGGGCAGATCGGCCAAGCGATCATGCGCGCCCTCCTCACCACCACTCCCCATCATGTCCTTCAGATCGCCGCACCGCAATCCGAGTCCTCCGCACGCGATCAAGTCAAGAGCTTCACATCCGACCAGAGTCAACGTCTGTCAACTGCAGTCGTCGACCTCCTTTCCGCCACACCCGAGAATCTCACCCCCCATCTGACCGGCGTGGAGATCGTGATCAGCGCTCTGAACGGCAAAGCACTGGCCGCGCAACGAGCCGTCCAGGACGCCGCGGCCCACGCAGGCGTCAAACGCTTCTACCCGAGCGAGTATGGGATGCACCACATCTACCGCCCCCCAGGAGAGGATGATCAAATGGGATACTTACATCCTGTACGTTCCTCTCCATTTTCGAACCATTCCAGACGATCGCCTCAAGCTAACCACCCCCCCCCCCCCCAGATATGGAACCTCAAATCCACCACTACCGAGCAATGCCTCCACCACCCGGCCATCCTTGCCGGCAAGATGAGCTACACCCTTATCGGCTGCGGCGACTTCTACAACCAATCCCGCGAAACCACCTGGTGTCCCTGGGTCAACCCCGATCCGCCCGACACCTACACCCTCCACATCCTGGGGGACGCGGACGCCAAGGTCGACTTCACGCACATCGACGACCTCGCCGCCTTCCTCGTGGAGACCGTCCAGCACCCCGAGATATCCGCGAACCGCACGCTGAACTTTGTGAGTGATCGCATCTCGTACAACGAGATTGCGGCGCTGTTGGAGCGGTTCTCGAGCAGGACGGTCAAGAAAGAGGTGTGGCCGCTCGAGGTGATGCACCGGGTGTGGAGGGACCCCGAGGGGGCGATCCCGCCAGAGGTGAAGGGGAAGAGTGTCTTCCCGGATGACTTTTGGATTCTGGTCAAGGGGATGCAGGGGGCGGGCCGGTCTGTGAGGCCGCCGGGCGAGGTGCACAATGGGCTTTTTCCGGGGGTCGAGGTCAGGACCTTTGAGAGGTATTTTGGGAAGATGTTTGGGGAGAAAGATGTAGAGATGTAATTGGGATTCTGGCTGCAGTTAGAATGGTAGTACTGATGTATGCTGGTGATTATTAAAATATGCTGGTGTGTTTGTGAGATGTTAATAGTTGATCTGTGGAGTGGAGTGATTGGGATGTTGTGTAGTTTTGGTGGCTTGCAGAGTATACAATTAATTAGTAGTGGTGGAGGTGCTATCATCTTCCAGGTTCCCCTCTCTCAACTACTTCTTCTCCACACACTTCAACTTTCCACCCACTCACTCACCCACACCACACCACACCGCCTGCCTCACTTTTGGCCTCACAATGTCTTTGCAGTTCAAACATTTTCTATCAATGCTTGAACAATCTCATCACGGGAGGCTCAAAGTCACTATGTGCAATATTGCCAATACACCACGCATGCGCCGTCATCGAAAGCCACTATTGAATGCGCCAGATGTCATTCCCAGGCTCTCTTCCGCCCTTCCTCACACCACCCGCAATCCAGATCCTTCCACTGAGTAACATGAAAGGAGCTCTACCTTCCCCTCAGACACTAATGCAGCTCATCTGCAGCGTGGTCCACCCCAATTGCAGCTTTACCCTTTCCAACACGGCCAACCCCGCCAGCCACCAGGAACCAATCCACCACGGAAAAACCAGGACGCAACCCGAATAGCTTGACTCGAGTGGCTGCGAGGCGCACATCACAACCTGATAAAGTCGTCTATAGCCTAAATAGTGTACACAACTTCCGAAATGTTTACCACCCCCTCCTCTGAGCATGCCACAAACTCGCCAGCAAACCTGGTATGGGTTCCACCTACCTGGTCATCGTGTCGCTCTTTCCCCCATCTACATACAGGGTTCTTTCCTCGACCCCCAAAGACCCCCGCTTCACCAAGTTCCCAACAATATAAGTAGCGATCGTCGTTCCCCTCGCCGCCATCATGGCTCCACTTGCGGTCCCAGAATCATTCCACTACTTGTATTTCAGGGCCATTCTTGAGGATACTGAGATACATCTCATCCAGTCACTATGTTGGTGTCTTCCTTGACGGTGTTGGCGTTTATGTCCAGGGCCAATGCCCTGGTCCGGCAGGATGAAGTGGTACGCGCATCTGGATCAAATCCACACTTTTCTTCGTGCTTCAAAGGCTGAATGCAAATAGGGCCGCGTGCCTGCCCTGGGCTGGAATTCGTGGAACGCGTTCAATTGCGAAATCGACGCAGATAAGATCCTCACGGCCGCCAACGAGGTCATAGATCTAGGGTTGAAGGGCCTCGGTTACGAGTACATCAACAGTGAGCTCATATACTACCCTCGAGCCCTTTCAAGGCTCACGCTGCTAATTAACTACACGCCATCTTAGTTGATGACTGCTGGTCCATCAAGTCCGGACGCAACACAACCACTAAGCGCATAATCCCGGACCCTGATAAGTTTCCCGATGGAATCTCCGGCCTGGTGGATCAGATCCATGCGCTGGGTCTGAAAGTTGGCATCTATAGCAGTAGGTTCATACCCCTACCAAAGCAAGACGTGTACGGAAGAGAAAAGCTTACGCATCACAGGTGCCGGTCTGACCACCTGCGCTGGCTACCCAGCTAGTCTGGGGTATGAGAAGGTCGACGCGCAAACCTTCGCCGAATGGGGCATTGACTGTAACGCACCTATACCCTAACCCTCCGGCTCGTCCCCTTCTACCTTCCTCAACTAATTGTCTCAATTTAGACCTCAAGTACGACAACTGCGGTGTCCCTACCAATCAGACCGACCAATACACCGCCTGCGTGCCCGACAGCACCAACGGTGGTCCCTACCCAAACGGCACCTGCCCGGGACTTGCAGACGCTGCCCCGGCCAGGTACGACTGGTCGAAATCGACGACGGCGAAGCGCTATCAGGCCATGCGCGACGCTCTTCTCAGCGTGAACCGGACCATTCTCTACTCTCTTTGTGACTGGGGTCAAGCCGATGTGAATGCCTGGGGAAACGCAACCGGCAACTCGTGGCGCATGTCGGGCGATATTACACGTAGGGCTCCCTTTTCTTTCCCAGCACCAGTCTCCCCTGTCAACCTCGTCCTTCCTCTCCTCTCTCCTCATTCTTCCCCTCCGCTCCCTCCACGAATCAAGCACTAACCAGAGAATGCAGCAAACTGGACCCGCATCGCCGAAATTGCCAATGAGAACTCCTTCCTCATGAACTACGCCAATTTCTGGGGGCACCCCGACCCGGACATGCTAGAAGTCGGTAACGGGAATCTGACGCTGGCTGAGAACCGCGCCCACTTTGCTCTCTGGGCGATCATGAAGAGCCCTCTGATTATCGGCACTCCTGTATGTTTTTGCCCCTTAGCACCCTGAAACCCCCCATCCTTCTCCCCAGCAAACTCATCCACTACCCCAGAGCTAACCTCTTGGATACAAAAAGCTGGATTCAATTGACGCAGCCCACCTGGCCATCCTGAGCAACAAGGACCTGCTCGACTTCAACCAAGATCCTCTAGTAGGCCGCCCCGCCTACCCCTACAAATGGGGCTACAACACCGACTGGACCTTCGACCCGTTGCACCCGGCCGAGTACTGGTCCGGGCCGTCGTCCACGCTCAACGGGACGCTGGTGTTGATGCTGAATTCGGAGGATCGCACCCAGATCCGGACCGCGTACTGGAAGGAGGTGCCCGAGCTGCAGGGGAGACACCGCGGGCGCCGCGGGACGGGGTTCCGGGTGCGGAATGCCTGGACGGGCAATGATCTGGGATGTGTCCGGGATAAGTATAGTGTCAAGCTGGCGCCCCACGATGCTGCTGTTCTGGTGGTGGGCGATGCTTGTTAATCATTTGTTCTGTTCAACATTTGATGGCCGGGCGGTGGTGCCTCAATTAGTCGAGGAGTGGTAGGTTGCTTAATGCTAGGCACAGACAGGAGATAGTAAGATGGGGTTTTCAGCAGAAGGAGGAAGGAGGGAGCATGTCATGAAAAAGCGGTGGTTGATGGTGACACAGTCATGTTTTTTTATCTTCATTGTTTTCAACAAGGTGGTAAAAGCATATCCTGATATTTTCCGGAACCATTTTCCAAATGTCCATTCCACCCAATCCTGAAGAAAGGAAATAGATCAACGAAAAGAAAAATAAAGTAAATACCTAAATAGGAACTCGTCCGCACCCAGTGTCACAGACAGCCAGTAGGGGATCCACATCTACTACAACACGACCCACGAGAGCCCAGGTCAAATTGCCCCTCATTACAACATTATCCGGGGTTACCGTACGTATCCCAGTTGACACAAGCATACAGCATGAACACCCCCCAGCTTCACCGCCACAGATCCTGCCGACTATCGCGTCGCCAGCCGCCACTACTCTTGGGCCGACCGTCCTCATCCTCGACCGGCACGGCCAGGAACCCGCCGAACCCGTTCCCGACCAGGACACTCTTGCGCGCGTCGCCGCCCCAGGTGCGACTCAGCTGGGCGTCGTGGAAGCTCACGGGCCGCGTGGTGCTGGCGCGGCGTCCGCGCGTCGACGGCGGCTCGTACGGCGTGAAGTTCCACTCGAGCTCGTCCAGCCCCTTGCTGTACACGTTCAGCGGCTGGGCGAGACCCCCGTGGAAGAACTGCGGGCCCATGCCCTCGCCCTCGCCGCCGCCGAGCAGCCGCGGGGGCGGGGCGAGCAGCAAGGTCTCGGGGAAGCTCGAATCGCGGACGTACAGATCCCGGAGCGCGGGCAGCGCGTGGGACATGAGCGAGGAGATGAGGTAGGTGTAGTAAGAGGCGGCGATGGGCGGGAGGTTGCCGGTTATGGGGCTGGAGGGGGAGGTGATCTCGTAGTGGAGGAGGGCGAGGGAGCGGGAGGCGAGCGGGGGCACGCGGTTGCTGTCGACGGGGAACGAGCGGGTGACTTCCTGATTGACGGAGAAGGAGCGGAGTTGCGGCGCCACGGAGAGGATCTGGTGGTAGGTCGACGGGAGGACACCGGTCGAGGAGAGGGTCAGGGAGTGGAGGGTTTTGCGGTTGAGGGGCAGAGAGAAGAAATCGACAAGCCCGCTTGCCGTGACGTTCGGGGTATCGCGGAGGGTGAGGCGCTGGACGGCCGGAAACGGGGGGAGAGTATCGGAGTAGGAGGGCGAGAAGGCGGAGTCGTCGAGCCAGGGCAGATCGTCGAGGGTGAGATCCCGGAGATGGGGGAAGGAGGCGAGACCCATCCGCAGGATGTGCGGCTCGATCTGCAGCCGGGATAGCTCGAGCACTTCCAGATTCACCCAGAGCGGCGACTCGGGTAACTGCGAAAAGCTGCCCTCGGCCCCGTGGCGGTAGCTCATCCGGCGAAGATCCTGGCACCGACCGATGAGCTCCTGCTTCAAGGCCAAGCACGATGGGTCGTCGCTGAAGATGCCGGCGGGGAGGTCGACATAGCGCAGATTTGGCAGGACGGAGATGGTGCGGGCGATTTCGCTTTTGCTCGCCTCGCGAGTCATGTATGGCATGCGGAGAGAGAGGACCCGATGTCCCAGATCTGACGATTCCCGCACAGTCTGCATAAAGAGTCGGAGTCGGACCTGGGGCGCATCGATGGCTTCCCCGTTGCGATTCAGGAACGAGCGTCGCTTTCGTTTGGCGGATAGTTCCACTTCGAGTTCGCAGTAATGGACGGGGTCAATGCGGACGTGGGAGTATCTAAGCAGGAAGAGATAACTCGTTAGACGTGTGCCTCGCTGAAGATGATCGCTGGTACCTACAGTAAAGCCCGGGCTTCCAGATACCAGCGCTGACAGACCAAGGCGCAGTGGGCCAGGTCGCGCATGTCACAGAGCATGCAGCCATCCTCGGTCATGGACTCTTCCGATGTTTCATAGCTGTCGTCAACGGTGTGTGGACATACGGCGGCGAAGATGCGGTGCAGAATCGGTCGTGGGAGGGATTTGGTCAAGTCTTGGTTGGAGGTCGATCGGGGATAGGCGTCGACGTCGGTGCGGAGATGGTCGTAGGTGGCCGCATTCCCCGCACTGTGGTTCCTGGAGGAATGTCTGCGAAGTCGGCTCAGAAGACCCATCATGCAAGATCCACCACCGGGAAGGACATGGATTGGGGGAGAACTGAGGGGGATGAGAAAGGCGAGTCGATGCCTCGCAAAAATGACACAGAAGAAACCAAGTAAGAGATTAAGACAGACAAGAAGGTGAAAGGACGATCGGAGTTTGGAGATAAAGAAGGCTGAAACGCGGATGGAGACAAGCTAAGCGAGAAGCGGAGAACAAGAAGAGCAAAAGAAGCCGGACAGGATGAGATGAGTGACGGCGAGAACGGGGAGGAAGAGGTATAATTAAGCCCTGAGACTTGTAACGCGAGAGCGGTCTTCATTCGATGCACAAGAGATGCATGCACCCGCCGGTTCGTTTGGATGTGGGAGGCGGGGAGTCGGTGATTGGCATTTCTCGCTGTTTCTCCTCAAGCGAAATGACAGGGTGTCGCCCGCCAAGAGTTCCCTATATTAAGGGCGGGGGTTTCAGGTTGAGTTGGGTGGAGGAGAATGCTTCCGGACACCGAACGGGTGGGTTTCATCTTGCAGGGGTCAGATCAGAGTGAAGTGAGGACAGACTATCAGGATATCTTCCGAGTGGTGAGAGGTGAAAGTTGTTGTTTGTTGGTGTGTTGGAGATATTGATGTTGTTTTCCGAAAGGGGGGTGGGAGGAGGAAAGCTGAGGGAAGAACAAGAGGGAGGACCAATGCGGCCTAGTGTTTACTTCGTTTTGCTTGACAATCACAAGATTTTCGGTTCCATGCAGCCATGATTAGAAATGTATTACTTGCTTAACTAGTTATTTCCTTGTCCCATAGTCACTCACCCGTTAGACTTGCGAAACATCGGCGAAAATGAGTGAGTCGAAAGACCATCAGCATCCTAATCAACCCTGAGAATGGGAAATACACCGCCACTATTTCCTTGCTACTACTTGATCAGATAGAGATGTTCTGTCCTAAGATTCTAGCATTGATGCCCCAGCTCTTCACAAGATATCCTACCAGCCACAACGACAAACGGGCCAGCCACGCTTCGTAGTAGCTGCATCACTTGTGCTGTTTCCTTGCCTGCCTCACCCCTTTGCTTTGCCCTCTCAAAATAATTTTGACCAGGAATACCAAGATCTTTACATCTGATCCTCTTCGTTACATATCATGCTACACGAGCCATCGTCGTTGGTCATGAAGCCAATGCTTGCTCGAAGTAAATGCCTTGGTAGGCTTCTTGGGCGATCAAAACATCCACTGTACGGCACAGCACTTCCAAGAGATACAACAAAGTTCCCAACCGAGAAGATTCGGAGACACACTGCAACACCTTCAGAAGGACCATAGAGAAGATATCAGGTTCATACATACATTACATCCGAAGACGAAGCTTCCATGTAAGATCCAGCCATCGCAGCGATTCCCCCAAGGTAGGTTGACAGCCCGATTTATTCATAGTAACAAGCCACTAACCAAAACCACCCACCAGCAGCAACCAGCCAGGCCTTAATTAAGCTTATTTACGATGGCTCAATCCTTCACCCCCAGAAAACATTCCAGACCCTTTTTTTCAGTCACAAGTACCTCAACAACCGTCGCAATAATTCTGTCATTTTGCCATTCTGTGTCCAAGGCCCCCCCTTTCGTCCGTCATCGAATACATCGTCATGACATCATCCGCAGTCCCAGACCCTGCACAGAAAAAAGCCCACGGCGGTCTCTTGTATAAATAGGAGAGACTCAATGAGAGCTACTCGACATTCAGTTTTGTTGTTCAATCGAATGACAATCCCAGTTTCTACATCCTCTGTGATATGCGATCGACGCCCTTTCGACTCTGCGCCCCCATCCTTCGCTCAACCCCCAAGTGTTATCTCCCGGCAGCAGCAACAACAGCCCGCAGCACTCAATTCCCCCGCTTCATCCCAACGACTCACGCCCGCAAGAACGCAACCGGAATGTCGGACAAGCCCGAAGGCACTAAAGACATGGCCCAGCGGCCGCCCTACCAGCACCGGTCCGCCGAGGACTTCGGTGAGGTCAAGTGGCGCGGCAAGTGCCAGTGCGGGCAAGTCAAATACAAGCTCAACAAGGAGAAGCCTCTCAAGGCCAAGTTCTGCCACTGTCGCGGGTGTCAGATGACCCATGGTGAGTTTGTTCGCGATGGAGCAGAAAGGTGCTGCGGATGATAGCTGACTGGGAAACTCCCCCGCAGCTGCCCCCTTCCAATGGGCCGCCATCTTCCACAAGGAGAACCTGCTCTTCGAAAAGGGCGCCGAGGGTCTGGCATTCTACTCCTCCACCAACAAGACCCGGGAATACTCCCTGCCCACCAAGGTCTTCTGTTCGTGGTGCCGGTCGCCGATCATGGACGAAGGACGGAATGTCTGTCTGCTGTTCCCGGAGTCGATTGAGTGCGGAGACACCGACGCAGAGCGTCTGGAGTGGCGGAAGGCCTTCGAGGTCGAGTAAGTTCCATGTTCTTCTTGTTCACCCGAGCGGGGGAGTCGTAGCTGTAGCTGCTCGTTCCTTGACTGACGCGGTACTCTAGTTGCCATATCTTCTACAGCCAGCGGATTCTAGAGATCCCAGATGGCAAGCTCAAGTGGGCTGGGATGGACGAAGACAGTGAAAAGGTCGATGATATGGGCAAGCCCACGGAATGAAGATCGGTGATCGTATCCTTTGGGGCTTTTACTAAACTGTGACCACACTGGACCACGTACACGATTTGGGTCAGCGATACGAGTCAGACGAGTGCATGATAAATGATCATCATGATTTGTAAATTAGGAAATTCCGAGTTATTTGTCATATGTTAGACAGAAAACGTGATCAACATGTGAAGAGACAGACCAATCACATCCCTTGTAGAAGAAACATGCTGGTGTTCGGAAGGCCGCTGTCAGGCTGGGCGTCGTCGGCTGCCTATCAGGCGCGATGGAAATGTGATGGTGCTGCATGCTCATGTCAACCGATAACCCCGGCCCGATGTCACCCTAGGCAGGGGTCATGCTGGTCAATCAGTCAACGGAATTCCAGAACCCCTGATGTGTGGAAAGCTCGTCGGAATAAATCAACTTTGGAAGTACATCAGTCGGTATAGCGCGGGGTTGGTCAGCCGACGCGACTGACCTGATGATTCGAGATACATCTATAAGACTGCTCTCCGCAACGATGCCAATAACTAGGGCCCCAAGATCCTCAGCCCAATGCACGTATAGACCAGTCCACGATGTGGCCAGCACGCCGAAGCACCGTGCTCGCGGCGTTGGCCGCCCAAGCCCTAGCCGTCACGCAAATCACGGACGAGGAGATGCGAACCCTGCTGAACCAAGATGACGGCGTCGAGCTTGCGGACCGCTACGCGCCGCTCTGGTTCTTCGGCCAAGCCCTGAACGAGGAGCCCTGCTACCCGACCTGGGCCTTCGGGGGCTCGCCCGACTCGCCCGACGTCTACAACGCGGCGCACCAGACCGCACCGGCGCCGCAATGCGAATACCCCGACGTGGGCTGCGAATGCCGCAACCCGGGCGTTGACGCCGGGAATCCCGGCCCCGCGTCCGCGTTCCCGATCTACTACACCGTGCAGCGGTGCAATGAGACCGATGTGCGTGTGGTCTATAATCTCTTCTATGAGAAGGACGGGGCCAAGGTGCTCGACCTGATTGACACCGGGCATGACTAGTGAGTGTACCGGGCAGCATTCTGTAGTTGTTTGTCTTTCTGCAACGTCAAAGGGCCTAATCTTCGGAGATGTAGTGACTGGGAAAGAGTCATCATTGTGCACTCGCGCGACGCGAACGAGCTGTGGGCGCCTTCGCGCGCCCTGCTGTCGGCTCACAGTGGCTACCATAATCTGGCCTGGAGCCAGATCCATAGCACGCTGACGAGTGAGGAGATCGCGGCTGGCGACGCGCGCGCGCCGGACGGGGTGCGTGGGAATGACCATCCGAAGGTGTATGTCTCGTGGTCGAAGCACGCGCATTTCGATACCAGAGACACGATCTGGGTCGACCCGATCAGCCAGTCCACGGACAATGCATTTCGCAGTGACGATTGGTGGTACTACGTCGAGCAGCAGTACTATGTGAGTCTTCCTTTCGCTTCGTTGATTCGGCTAACTGACAGCGGGAGAAAAAGATTCGATCGGACAATTCCACCGAGGCAGGGAAAGCCTTGGGCGGCACGGATTGGGGATCGGCGACCAGCAATCCTCCTTCTGTGCAGGCAAGCGTGTGCTCGGCTTCATGAGGAAGGGGGCATTATTTCCTTGAGATATAGAGTTGCAAAGAACCATAAACTTTCCTTGCCATTTCATGAAGACAATGTCTAGTGTTTAGTGTTGACGCGGCCCAGCCTGTAGTGTTGCAGCGATAGATAAATGCGCGGATCTCGCGAATGACGTCGACGGGTCTTCTCCTGTCTTCTCCCCCCACCTGAAATCCGTTCCTCTGCCTAAGTAGCTTCACTTCTCAAACAAAGTCAACACCGCCAACCTCACCTCCTTCCCTACACCTCCATCAATCGCATCGTACGTAACTCTCTCTCTCTCAAAATCAATTGACCCTTTCACTCACCCACCACCTACCACAATCCTCCACCAACCCAAAAAACCATCTCCCATAACCCCGCCCCCGAAAGAACCATACTAACCCCCCCCCATCTCCCAAGAATCAACAGTACAATGTCCTGGTTCCAAAAATCCTTCACCCTCCCCTCCCGCTCGCGGGGCAGCTACCTCATCACGGACCAGGTGCTGTCCGAGCTGCCGGAGATCCGGGAGTACAAGGTCGGCCTGCTGAACCTGTTCGTGCAGCACACCAGCTGCGCGCTGTCGCTGAACGAGAACTGGGACGAGGACGTGCGGGCCGACATGAGCGACGCGCTGGACCGCATCGCCCCCTACGACAAGAAGGGGAACCTGTATCGCCATTCCGCGGAGGGGGAGGATGATATGCCGGTTTGTTTAACCTTTCTCTTGGGAAATTGGGTAGAGGGTAGTTGGGGATGATGTGGGCTGGATGCTAGTACTGGTGATGTTGTTGCAAGAAAAGTGGAAAGAGGCTAATGTGAGGCTGGGGCAGGCGCATATCAAGTCCGCGTTGGTCGGGGCTTCGGTGACGATTCCGATCACGAACGGTCGGTTGGCGACGGGGACGTGGCAGGGGATTTGGTATTTGGAGTTCCGCACGAGTCGGCACTCGCGGAAGGTGGTGGCTACTATCCAGGGTGAGAAGGCGTGAGTTCGAGGGGTCTAATGGTGGGTTTGCTGTGAGGGGTGGTATATAGCTTCGAACCAACCCAGAATGGAGAGATACGAACGATTCTGTGTTCTCGTGTAGTATTGATGGGAGTAGCTTCTCGTGTGGTATCGATTAAAGTAGCCAAGGAGGTTACATCGACTTTTATGGAACGGTTCGTTCTAACAACTTCATTGTCTGGTACATCTGTACAAGAGCCTGGGGGCCAAACGGGGAAACAACAAGCAAGAAAAGAAAAGTCATCAACGCCAAAGGGAGAAAAAGCAAGCCATTCTTTACCGCTGCTCGAAAGCACTATCAGTCACACGCTGGCTCTCGTTCACCTCGGCGGCATCACCAGTGGGCTCGAGGGGGTAGCTGGTGGCGGGGAGGGACTTGAGGTATGCGCGGTGCTGCTCGTGGGCCTGAAGTATCATCGGATTAGCACTCTGCAACGGTACAACAGCACGGTAAAATGACATACGAAGGGAAGACCGCAGTAGTTGCAGGTAGCAATCTCGGGCTTGTCGGTGTTGATGAAGATCCGGGGGTGACCGAGGGGACCGCCGCCGCCGTCACACTCAACAACCCGCTTCTTCGTCCAGCGCACAGGCTGCTTATGGATGAGCTCAATGGCGGCATAAGGTTGGGGCTAGCACAGGATAACGTCAGTCTCCGGGTTGATTTGATATTCCCTTGTCGTTCGCTCCTTCTTGGCTCATTCCAACGTCCTCTCCTGGATCCAATGGCTCGGGATTTCACGGACCTGCATCTCCATTATCGTCTGCTCGAAGCGAGGGCCGACCATGGCCTTCTCTCTGGGTTGCTGGCTGGCAGCCCAGGTGGTGGCCCGGTTGGGAGCCTGGAGCTTGCGGGTGCGCTCCGCAATCTCGGGGGTCTCCTGCAGGGGCTTGTCCCATGCGCCCATCGAGTCGACGGGAGTGGCATTGGTGGCCGACACGTTCGGGACGGGCTTGGAGGGGGTCGGGTCGTTGGCGTGCAGGGTGTTTTCGCTGAGACGAGGGACAGTGGTCGAGTAGCTGGCCCGGGCGACGACCCGAGGGGTCCAGGCGGTAGAAAAAGCCGCGACACGGCTGCGGACGCAGTTCATCATGCTGGGCGAGATTGGGGTCCCAGAGAGATTGAGAAGAGGTAGGGCGGGGGTGAGGGCGGAGGACGACAATGGACAAGTCCGGGTCGATTGCAGGAGACTGGAGGAGGATTGCAATAGTGAGGTTTCCACTACCACCACTCAATGGTGAGAGTCTGCGGGCGGGAGCTGGCAGCAGCGGAATTAGCCAATCGGCGCCGCTCCTGCCGCGGATGCGGTGGGATTCTGCCGCCCGCGATTTTCTTTGCTTTGCAATCGAGTCTCTTTTGCTGGTCCTCGAGTTGCACGTTTCTTTAGGCGGCTGCGGCTTCGGAACTGTCGATATTTTTCTTTCAACTTCACTTCAATTCAGGCTCTGCTCGACCTCATCGCCGTCATGTCTACCCCATCGACACCTGGCGCAAAGCCAGAGAAGACCATGTCTTCTCGTCTTCTGACGATGAAGGTATGTGGCTGACTGCGACCTTTTATTTCATTATATTTGCGCGCGATGCTAACTTGCACAGTTCATGCAACGCGCCGCGGCTGAAAAGTCCACGCCGCAGTCTTCCGGTGAGACTTCCACTACGCCGATCTCGAAGCGTCAAAGACTTTCGACTGGATCGGTACAAAGCCCATCGACCCCTCAATCGGACATGGATGCTGTCGCAGCCGCCCTGGCTGCCGAGGAGGAAAAGCGGAAGGAGGCGCTTGCTCGACAAGCCGCGGAGTCGGGTGATACGGAATGGGTCCTGGATTACGGGTTCGACGCACCTGCACCCCAGCCGTTTATCGTGGCCGACAGCTCCTTGGATGCGGATGATGACGATATGGTCTACGGTGGTCGACAGGCCTATGGCAACTACAAGCGAAAGAAGAAGAGCGCGGTCAGTGCTACCGGTCCCTATCATATGGCAATAGTCGATGCATACTAACACGCATAGCAGGTCGGGGGAGATGAGGAGGAATCTGATGAGGATGACGACAGCGAAGCTGACCCTAACGATATGGACGCCATGATTAAGAAAGCAAAGAAGAAAGCTCAAAAGAAGGAAAAGACCAAGCCTCAGCCCGTCAAGCTTTCAGCACTGACGAGTATTTCCGGAGGACGCCATGGAGGCGGCGGCGGCGGCGGCGACAAGAAACAGAAGAAGCGCAAGCACAAATAAATACAAACATGCATCGCGACACAGTGGATCATAAATCATACATGACATGGACTTTTATCGATATTCTGTGGATCTGGCAATTCTTCCGTGGATACTCACAATTCTTGGCGATCTTATGGATGGTTTGGTCAAGGCAGGGGAGAACGACTGTGTCGACAAATACTCCGTCACCAGAATTCGTCATCCTGCAGCAACCAGCTCGAAACCTTGCCGTTCACGGTCTCATTATCGGGGACATTATCATTGTCTGCAGTTCTATAGAACCGCACTCTGCGTGGAGACTCTACAGGTGTACCGCGCCCGGCCTCCCCGCTCCTCCTGCTGCTCGTCTTGCTGCTAAGCTGCCTGCTGTGTGATGAGTTGATCAGGATAACATCTCTTCCACTGGGTCCCGTCCAGGTGGATTTATCCCGATAGGAAGGCAGTGCTGTGGGCTTTTTCAGGTTCCGAGAAGCTCGGATATCTATAATGCTCGATTCGTTGGAGTGGTGGGGTCTGCGCACTTTATATAGTCCATCAGGCATTCTTTCAAGAGTGAGGATCCGTGGTGCTTCAAGGTGGCACTTTGATTGGGATTTTGGCGCAGCCTCTTCGTGGCGTTCGTCTGGGCGAGGAGTTTTCTGGATCTCGATATGGAGGTTGGTCTTCGCTCTAGCAGGATCTGATGCGACTGGTATGTCTTTACAAGTCAGAAGGCGGCTCTTTCTCATCAATGGATATGTTCCAACCTCGTTCTTGAACTGATGAGTGACTGGACGATTCTTCCGCTTCGCGAACACTCTGGATCACATAACCTGGCGGCAGAAGGACCCTGGTAGCTGTGGGATCTTGTTGACGTCGCAGACTTCGCAGCCGGCCGTTCCTGGACTCCACCCAGCTTTCGTAATCCGGGGTCAAGCCGCAGAGTCCCATATGGTTCGCAGCGAGCATAGAAAGTGAAACACGGCGTTCTGTTCTTGATGCCGTCAGTCTGGAGAGCCATGAGAATCTAGAAACTCTGCTTCAATTAGCTGCTTTCAAATATACATACCTGACGACAAAAGCCAACACTCGATAATCTCTGCGGCATTGATGCCTTGGAGTTCTAGTGATCGGGATATGAGGACGGCGTAGTCCCAACCTGCCTGATGTGGAAATCACATGGCAAAGTGAACCAGCATCTAAGCCAGGCCATCACCTCAAATGCAGCAACTGAACTATACCACCTGGCAGGTAGTAACTCATCTCGCAGGTTCCCAAACAGTTGAGAACTAAATAATTCGTTACCAAAACACAAACCCAAGCCCAACGATACATCCACAAAAGCATCGACCGAAAGTCTAGCACCATACACACAGTAACCCCCAACGCCGAGAAAGCCTTCACATTAGCAAAACCAACACCAGAGCCCCCTGCCCCCTCAACCATCCAGCCCATCAAATCTTCGCCCTAACCCTCTCCCTCTCCCTCTCCCTCTCCCCAGCCTCCCAACCCCTCCGCCCCCAAAAATTCACCCCAAGATTCCACACCGCCGCCACGACCCCAACCGGCGGCAGCACCAAGAGCACCCAAGCCCACCACCTAGGACTGGACGCCTGCACCACGTCCAACGCGCGCCGTACCTCCCCCTCCAACTGCTTCTTGTCGCCATCATTCCACACCACCAGCCCCCTGCGCTGGCCCCTCCACTCCGCGCGCGCCGCCTTGGAGACGACATCGCCCTGACTCCGGACGCGATTCTCGGCCTCCTCCACCGACAAATGCGGGTCGCGAGCGCGGAGCCGCTGCATCTGCACGGCCGGGTCGCGCACGCCCACCACCACGACCGTGCCGCAGATCAGATCCATCCCGCTCTCGAACAGCAGTGGCACGTCGAGGACGACGGCCCAGTGGCCCCGCACGTAGTAGTACGCGAGCGCCTTGTAGACCTCGCGGCGGACGAGCGGGTGCACGATCTTGTTGAGGATCATGCGGTCGCGTTTGCGGTCCTCGGTTGTGCCGAAGACGCGGCGGCCTAGGGCGAGGCGGTTGAGTGGGCGGGGGGCGCTTTCGCTTGTGGGGGGGAGGGTGTCATTGGGGGATGAGGAGGATGAGGAGTCTGGGGACGGCGGGAGAAGGAGGTCCGGGGTCGTCGGGCCGAAGTAGTTGACGATGGCTTTGTAGCCTTCCGTGCCTGGTTCGACGACTTTGCGGGCCAGTAGGTCCGTGTCGATGATGGGCAGGGAGTAAGGCGGGGAGGAGAGGAGCGAGGAGACGGTCGATTTGCCGGTGGCGATGGAGCCGGTCAGACCGATTATCAACATCTTTGTTTTGCGGTCTGTGGGGGGTTTTTGGTGTTGGGGTCTGGTGATTGTTGTTTGGGTCGGGTGGTTGAGGTGGAAGGTAACTAGGTAGGAGGTGGTGGTTGTTTGAGCCTTGGAGGTGAGGATTTGTTGTTCCGGGGACTTGCGCTCGCGCGGGGAAAGCTCCCGGTTCCGCCGCGCTGCCTCGGCTGCTGTAGATTTGGTGGGGGGAGGTTCTACCCTGTATGTACAAAACAGGGTTTCAGGCTGTAAGGTTACATATTGGAAACTTGAAGGAACTAAAGGCTGAATGTATTATAAGAGTGGGTACTTTCCATTCATATGAGAACATTTGACATCATCGCATCACCATCACCACACCTCATCAGTCAGCGCGGGTTATGGCTTAGTCCCTATACTGGCACTTCCAGCGCGAGCTGACAAAAAGTCGGTTCCCAATTATGGTATGATATATGTACAGAGATGGCATCTTTGGGGGGGTTGTCCTCCCCCATTCATAGATGGAGAGAGGGCGATTGATGCCACGGACGGCAGAAATCGCCGGGCCATCGCTCTTCCAACCGGGGCTTGATGGCCCGTCTCAATCAGACAGGCCGGTCTGTTGCTCAATGTAGTCGACACCGACATGTGTATACTCAGGCTGACCACAGATCGAGACGTATTGCTTGGCATAATTTCCCTGACGATCACACTGGACTTAGTGCGCCTATGTCTCAGGTAGCCCCTTGCTGGGGTCTTGTTTCTGGCCCTTCCATCCGATGTACGGCCATCCTTCAGGTAGAGATGAATATGGCGGGAGAACATAGCGGCCAGCGCACTCTCCCTCGGTAGGGCAAACCAGGTTACACAAGCCAAATACCCTGCAGTAGCATTCTTCAGCCGTCGGGCAATGGACAGGTCCTTTGCCAAAGATCACTGCCTGCATGTTAGTCTCCTGCATATAGCCACTAATGGCAGAGGGTCAACATACTGTGCCATGAGTACTCCATGATACGTCCGCTGAGATCATCTGGGAGTTTGGTCTCCATCAACCACTTCCTGAATCGTTCATAGTCCTTCTTGGGCCGTTGTCTGATCTTCCAGCTGGTGACTGCAAACTGCGCGCAGCACGAGACCCCCACTTCTTCCGGCACCTCCTCCCCGGGGAAGAGCTCCTTAAATCCGTTCTTGAAATACTCTCCGACATGGACGTCATCTCGATGCGAATCGGTGTACGGGTGGATCTCCGCCGGGCAGCCGAGGATCCAGGCACAGCGTAAGTTAACGTAGCCTTGTTTCTGCAGGTAGGGAAGCTGGAAATTGCGGAGGACCGGCACCCCGTCGTAATAGGGATCGTCATTATGCCATTGGTATCTCTGAGGGTGGATGAAGAGGATCGAATCGGGAAGGCTGTCATAGTTGTCAATGATGTATCTAGAGAAAACTCCTATTAGCACCAGCTTCACACCATCCTGAACGATTCACAAGACCCACGTTAAATAGACCATGGACTCCCGGCCCTTGTTCAGCTTGACTGTCAGATGCGCCTTTTTGTCGTCTACGACATAGATGCTCTTGTGCCATTCAGGGAAATACTGGTACAGCCATGAAACATCGTCAGTTTTCATGCTGGCCACCACCATCTCCCTGTCAAGGGTTTTAGACACTCGCGCGGCCGATGCAGACGGCGCAGCCTGCCCGGAGCGCGAATCGCGGTACGGTCCGCCTTTTGACACCGCATCGTGAGCCGATGTATCTATATGTGCATGATCGGAGCTTTTGGAGAAGAAGAGGAAGTATAGCGCGTAAACAATCAGGATGGTGCAAAGGATGGCCTTTTCTTGGCTGCGGCGGCGCGGGCTTGAGACTCCGCTGCCGAAGAACAACATGGTTGCGACCGGCGGCAGCGTAGAGGTGACACACAGCGGACGGGATACAGGAGCATATGCCGGTATTCTCTATGGTCGCAAGCAGCGATTGAATATCCGAGTAAGTGACGTTTCAATGCGCAAAAAGCATGGCTGCGCGAAGGCCGATCGCTGAGCTGTCGGGTCGGTGTGTTGCGGAGCGGGCAACAACTCGGTTCAGTGGAGCTCCGGGGGTTTATGGGAATGCGCAGCGGTGGATGAGAGGAGTTTGCGGTTGTAGATGGCACTTTCAAAGTGATGTGGAATTGCGTTGTCCTTAAGGTAGTTGAGGTTCAAGGAAGAAGCGAGTTGGCGACAGCTGGCAGCTTATGTTGCCTAGAAGAAGAGGAGGTGGTGTCAAGCCACATGGTGGTTTCACTATTGGAGACATTGTGCTCCCTCTCCGTGGTAAACTCCATCAGCAATGCTGCTTGGCAGTAATCGGTAGAATAATTGGCCGAGTCCGCACCGGGTCTGGTTTGGTCGGCTCAGCCCTACTTCCAGCCCATCAACATATAACTACTACTACAAGCAGTTGTATACACTAAAGTACAGACAGTAGGTTTTGGTTATCTATCAAGATCATGGATCCCTCCATCTCTTTCCAAATTCGACCGCTCGCATGAAATGCAGAATGTATATCAACACAAAAGCCACACAGGCCAGCCCTGCCGCCACAGCGGGTAAGACAATCGAGAAGACACCAAAAACCACAGATGCGTCCTGCATATTCTGATTCCCTTAGAATTAGTCGGTGGCCAAGCAGAGCTGGAAAGCGGCAAGCAACGTGCTCACATAAGAACGCCACGAGGGACCACGCGAGTTTTTCTCTAAAGAAGACGGCATACTGGTCGTACATGGACAGATAGCCTCCAAGGAGGCTCTCGAGGGAGAGGTGGGTCAATCGATAGATGGTGCTCAAGCGAAACAGGCGAAGCTCGCCATAGCGATAGCGCTTGTTGACATTGGCATAGCCCTTGAAGTCAACGTGGGAAAGGAGATCTTCCACGAAGACCGTCCATGCTTGCCAACTGACCGTGGCTGGATTCAGTTTCAGCTCATGTGCAATTTGCACATCACTCGGATGACTGATCAACCACGTATAGGAAAGAAGGGAGCCCGAGGCAGCCGAGTGGAGCGTTTCGTGCCGAATGTGGCGGTCCCAGAATTGGTCGTCCAGGAGATAGCGTGGTACGGGTTTGAGGAAAATCCGCGACTCATACCAGACCATGTGGAGATCGGCCTGTTCGGTGATCACAATCTGTCGGTCAATCATCCGCTGTCGATGCAGCGCTCGACAGCAGCGTGCCCGACCCGCGTACCACAGATGTGAATGCATCGCGTTCAAGCGCGAGACATCCAAATCGGCCAACACGAACGAACTCACATCGTGATCAGAGGTTCGAGCGATGCAATGACTTCGTCCGTGACTTGTTGCCGGTAAGACGATATCCCACGCCTTGTCTTCGCCAGCTAGGTCCGATGAGATGGTTTGAGAAAAAGGCGGTGATAGCTTTCAACATCATGGTCAGTCAATGGTTTTGCAGAATTATTACCACCCAGAGCTCAAAGAGGCCTTTGGAACCCACCGTGTGTTTGTATTCCATTAATAAGTGGCTTGGCTTAGAAGCTCCTTTCTTGAGCAAGCGATCTCCGCCACCAAGGTACTAATTCGAGAGTAGCCAGGGCTATCATGCGCAGGAATTCAGATAATGAGGAATCTGAACATGAAGCCCTAGAAAACTACTACCTGAGGAGTATACACGGATAAATAAACACACATTCAGTACGGGAGTATTTCGTAGATCAGGCAGAAAAGTCGACGAGGTGGAGGGCCCCCACATGTGACAGAATAGATGTCTGTGATGAACTTGCAGCGGTCCTAGGCCAGAAATATGGGCCATATAAGATGGAGATGTGGGCGTGGGAAGCTGTCATTTATCCAAAAGACGCACCAATGCATGGTACTTTTGTATGGTTACAGACCGTGGACCCATGCATCGATTACCACTTGCGGGTGGGTCCACTTAGATGGACACAAGTGCCTCAAGATGCCTGCTGACGTTCTCTCGCTCTGAATATCTTCCATGGCCTTTGAACCGCCACTTTGTCCTTCGAAGCCCCCTCATAAAATATAGCCCCTGCTACCATGTCAGAACGCAAGCGATTCCGTATGACGTACCGAGTTGAGCAGATTCCACAGAACTGGACAGCGGACAGGTTGAGCGAGGCTTTTTCTCCTGAAGACAGAGCTCCTGAGCATCAAAAGCCTCGTTCCAGATGTCATGAATTATGGTGGAGGACCCGGCCTATCAAATACAATGACAGCAACGATTGATTTCTATTCCCAAGAGGCTCGAAAGCCGATGCTGAGCGATCCTGAAAATACTGATCTTGTTCTTGGGAAGGATTAACTCGGTTACACTCCATTGAATCACCTTAGGGGTGAATGTGTTGCAGAGTAAGTCTCCATAGATAATACACGAGGTTGGTGTACAGCAGCCAATTGACACAAAGAGTATTACTCTACGGAGACTAGCGTCATTGCTGTCACGGGTTTAGCAGGGCATGCATTCGGCTCGTGGAGGCATGAAGATGGCAAGATGTGGCTGCGGGACCTCCTTCCTCAACATCTCCCTGCAGTGCGGGTGATGATTTATGGATATTCCGCCCAAGTGCAAGGAGCCACTCAGGCCACAAGTATTCTTGAGGATCATGCGGAGACCTTTCGACAGCGGCTATTGTTATTTCGCCGCTTCGAGGCCGTAAGTGACTGGATTGTAATCTCTCGTCGTGCACTACATGCATTCATACTGACACCCGCTGGAGTGCCAGAAACATCCACTTATTCTAATTGTCAGTCCATTTGACCCGCGAGTTGGAGAAATTTGAGGCTTCTGACACAACGAGGCGTCACACAGGGCCATAGTCTAGGTGGCTTGGTTATCAAGGAGGTTTGCTCCCAATGTTTCAACATATCATGCGCTGCGCGTGCTTGGGCTGTCTTTCTCGCTCTGACTGACTCTTCCATTTCTTTAACAGTTTATCGCCAAGATAGACGAATCGCAGCGCAGCCAATTTTCCATTCGATCTGTGCTGTTCTTCGGGGTTCCGCATCATGGACTAGTCCATGAGTCTCTTCAAACTATGGTCAAAGGACAGCCATCTTCAACCATTGTTGATCAGCTCAAGCCAGGTTCGCCAACTCTACGTAAACTAGACGCGGCCCTTTGCAAAGCGACTGTCTTGACCCACTTTTCAATACACACATTCTATGAAAGCCAGGAAACAAGAACTGGTTGAGGTGAGTTTCGAATTACGACTCAGAAGTTCATGGACCTGCCAAGTAACCAGAATCAGAATGAGGCCCGGAAATGGGTTCGGGAGGGTGCCCCAGTCAAAATGGTGTCTTATGATTCGGCCGTCCTGAAGCTTCCGTCAATAGAGAGTGTACATGAGGTACAAGGAAATCATTCTTCTATGGTGAAGGTCATAAGAAGCCAGAGTTATTGTTACTTTGACGTGGTTCAATGCATTCAAGAAGCTCTGCAAGGCACCTCAGGGTCGTTCCCAAGCACACGGCCTGCCTCATCTTCGAGGGACATGCAGAACGAACGATTTCTTCAACAGGTTTTTGGCGATCGATATGATTCAAAATCAGGGTCAGATGTGTTCGCAAGCAATTCCAAACTCACAAGCTCTACCGACATGTTTCCACCTCCTACAGATATACCACAGTCGAAAGAGCCTTTCAGCTATTTGCCCTCTCACATGAACTCTCTCGATCTGGCGCCAGGTGGAGCTCCTCGAACATTCGAAAGACCCCAGTCCTCCCAAGAGCTATCTTGTTCGTTGATATCCCTAAATTTGGCACCAGATCAAGTTTTACTGTCCTCTCAAGGACCTCGGTCTTTCCAGGAACTACTTTCTTCATAGTCTCCTGTTTTGGCGCCGAATGAAGCTCAAATGCAATTTCAAGAACCGCGACCGATTGGGGCCTTTTAGCCCTGTGTTCAACCGGGGCAACTTCCCTTATATGACAGCATCTCTGGATCAACCTAGCGCTCACAAAGAGCAGATTGGAGAGAGGGCATCTTTACCACACACCATCGTGTGCCCATTAAGTTTCACTTCGGTCATACCGATGCCTGTAAATCCGACGTGTGATTTTTGCGGGCAGTCAATCGCTGATGCCAAGTGGATCCACTGTCTAGTCTGTTTGGATATTTGTCTACACATGCACTGCCATCAGCCAGCAACTGAGATGAAAGGGCATGTCTTTACTGCCCGCAGCCCAATCCTTACCTCGCAGACCACAGGTCCGTTACCAGAACCAGGGTTCAACCCTTCATGCATGACAGGTCATCTTATCTCATCCAAGCGCCAAATGTATTGCTTTCTTGTGAAGGATATCCCTCGAGCCAAGTACCGTGTCATGCTTATGATAACCATACGATTTCTTTTACCTGGCAGAGTTTCGTCATACGACGCTACAATACGTGCTTGCATGGGTGACCCAAAAAACATTCAAGACTTCGGGGGCTCATCGCTCCGTTCATATGGCCCGGATATTCCTGTTGAGAATCTATTTCGAGTCGCTTTCCCCTTAAAGAAAAAGCATCAGGTGCGCCTAGATGGCAAGCAAAATCTCGACCACTATTCATTTGACAGGGGCTCAGAAGGAAACGAATTTCTCGTCTCCAATTCATACGGTGATATGGCGGTGGCTATCGAGCTCAGCGGGTTTTCAGAGGCACATATGCAAGATGGGCCAAGCCAGCCTGCATTCGATCTAACCATCGACGGACTCAAGTAGGTTAAGATCAGTCACCTATTTCTAAAGCGATACTGATCTGGATACTATCTAGCCTTCTCCCAGTGGCAGAGGATCGGGAGGCGCAGAGGACGTCAATAACCAAAAACCTTTCTGGAATGGTCAGAAAGATCCTCGGCTAATCAATGCTCTGGGGCTTAGAGTAAACGGGATCCACCGTGTCCCAATGTCCTAGAAGTTCGACGAAATAAGTACAGTCTCTCCATACAGATTAACAAGAGTCTAGCCTCACGGTCGGGGCTCTGGAGTCTGCATTCTACAAAATAATCAGCAGAGGAAACAACTTACGGCGTAAGAGGACGCCCGCGAGGGGCGAGCGAGAAAGCATTTTCTAGAACACTCAACGCGCCGAAAGAGTGTTCGGGGCGCAGCAAAAAGAAGCCATACTATTTCGGTGCAGTGTCGGCTGTGATAGTTGCAAATCGTTGATGAGAACAAGATCAAGGATCGGGGTGGTAGTAGATCGGGAGGCAGTACAGTCCATATGGATATGGTTCCCTTGGAAATTATATGGCAGTTAGCCTTAAATTAATAAGTGTGTTTCCCTGACTCTCTTGTTATTCGAGTGTATAGACGTGCTGGTGCAATTGATCGGTCTTCTTGACTCTTGAAACCTGCCAGAATACCTCTCTCCCCCGACCTCTGGTCTTGAATTGGGTTGTCATGTTGAGAGGAAGAAATAGGACTGTTGGGAATGCTTGTAGACGTGCTGCATTGCGTCGTCTGTCGGCTCTAACAATCATATTCATTATTTCAGGCATTGGATAGGAGCACAACAGGTATATATTCAAGTTTGTAGTATTTTATATATACTCCGTACTTGATTATGTCTTTCCCGCGACACTTACTCTGTAGATCCACCAACTCGAGTACGTATCAATGAACATTTTCTGATATCGAAAAAGAGTCCGGGATTTGTCTGTCCAACTGTAACCCTTCAGAAAATTCAAGAGGAGCCTTTTCGCTGTATTTGCTTAAGCAATCGTGCCTGTGATGACTGTCATTCACCAACACACCAGAGTATGTGTAGTGTTAGTACCTCTTGACCGAGGGCATCAACACCTTCGTCCTTCTTCAACAAGCACTATAACGTCCCAGACAAACAGACATGACATGTGCTAGCGGTCCCAAGTGGTCTAACCACGTGACGCATACATTTCACTTCCCACCACCTCAAGCCAATCCTCTACATCATCAACCACCCGTCCAACAACATCAAGAAACCAAGGAATTTTTATCAAAAGGCTATCTTGAGTAGCTTCGTATCGCACACCTCATGCATCATATATACTCATTGCCCTATATACCCACATATTTTCATACCTCACATATATACAACGATCAACAAGTGCCGATACTGATGAAGTACCACAGGTGCGCCAGCACGCTCGTGATATTCTCCCCCGCGTTGCCAGCAGAAGAGTCAACACCCTGAATGATATCAATATCCGACGAGGTCACTGCAGCGCCAGTTCCGCTGGTGATCCAGTATTCCGGGCTCGGGTGACTATAACCAAGCAACCTGGGTGGAAGCCTAGGCACGACGTCGTTGAGGTGAGTCACTCGGAAATTCGAGCCAGAGCCTTTGCTCGTGATATAGTTGGCCAGCGCCGTGTTGCCCACTCGTGGAGCTCCGTAGGAATACTGTCCTTTCGTCAGCAACAGAACGTTTCATTGTCACCAGCTCCTGCCGCATGAAGAAACCCACCAGTTGAACGGAGTATCCTGCATTCCGCAGCACCGTCGCGCCAATGGTCGCCAACGCGCCCCCCAGACTATGCCCCGTGAAAACCAGGCTATAGCCGGGGTACGCAGTAACCGCAGACGCGATCTCCGCTGTTAGGGTGTCTGCGACGGAGCTCCAGGCCTTCCAGAAGCCCTGGTGAACCTGGCAGCCACTGCAGACCGCGCTGGCATCCGTGAAGATAAAGTCCAAATTGGCTATCCAGTTCTCGATCGAGCTGCTTCCGCGGAATGACACCACCAGTTTCTTGTTGGTGGAGTCAACCACGAGGAATCCCGCTGTATCGCCGTAGGAATCGGATCTACACATGCACAATTCAGTCAGTCCAATTCTATTTCACACATCCGCGCGTCACATCCAGGCAGGCAGAAACATACGCCTCGAACTCAGCCAGGCTCTTGGTCGTGGCCGCTGCGAGTAACGGACAAAGTCCGTTCGTGCAAGTCACGCTCGTATTCGGGGAATCGAGGTTGGTCGAGCAGTATGCCGCGGCGGAGTACTGCGCGAACAGATCCAGCTGCGTGTAGACAGTGGTCGAGACATCTGCAGTTCGACTTCATCAGCACTTTCTCCTCTTCCATCACCTATCTTGCAATTGATCCCAGGTATACACTCACCTCGAATATCGACCGGAGCAGCCACAACCAAGGCCGCAAGAGCGGCCACCACTCCGCTCAACCGAGTGATATATACCATACTTGCGGTTTGGAGTATATATACAATACAATCAATTCAGATCAGGTCGATAACCAAAACGAACAAGCAAGGAGCAGCGTCAATGGCACTGGAATATCGGCAGACGCAGACGCTTCACCAACACCGGCACATCCAGAGCACAGAACGAAACGAGACTCTCTCATCCCTCTCGCCCCATGACTCTTTATATACAGTCAGCACTCCGTGCCAATTCGGCCCCTCCCCCTTTCTTCACGCCGAGGCCAAGAAGCGCAAAAAGGAAAAAGGAAAAAGAAAAAACCCCTCCATCAGCTCTTCAATCAGAACGCCAATGAAGACCCCCAGCATTCCGCAGAGAAGAGACAGAATGAGCGGGGTAGGGAAGAAAAAACAACAGACACCCCCAAGCACATCACGAACACCCTCTATCCCTACCCGGTGGTTGGCTCCACCTCCCTATCCTAGCTCCAGAGAGAGAGAGACGCATCCCTCCGGAAGAAACGAGTACTTGGCCCCGGACACCTCGGCGTCAGCGTCAAAGGCATAGAAAGGAGGGACTCCTGCGCGGACTCCGTTGTGTTCTGGAATGCCGGGCTCCACCACCCCCACAACGAAGGATATCCACCGCGGTAAACGTAGAGACCATCATCAGTCCACTTTCTCCGGGCCACCTCAGCATCCAATGATTCCTCATAAGAGTAAAACCCCAGTGGGCTAAAGCTCTACATGCTAAAGTATAATAGAGTGAACAAGTGGGCGAGTCTCTCTGGATTCGGGGGCACGCGGATGGTAACTGGATCCGGATGAGATCCATAGACAGGCTGAGAGAGGGCAAGAAAAACGGAACGAAGACCTCGCCGAGAAGAGAGCATCAACCGACGGAAGTATCGGGAGTGTACATCAGCCCTCAACCCATAGGCAAGGTATACCTAAAGACTACAAGGGCAGCTGAGGCGTAAGCGCGCGGGCTGGCACGCACGCACGCACGCACTCGCAAGCAAACAAGCAAAACCAGGAACACGGCGGCCGTCATTCGTCCCCGGCCAGAGAAATGATCACGCTCAGGCCGATTGCGAAGCAACCACTCATTGTCCGCTGGACGGTAGGTATGTATAGTACACTGCAGCTCCCTAAACCACCGTGACTGGCATGGAACCCAATTCGCAGACCCGATTTCACATGCTTCAGGTGTCCGTCAACCAAGTCGTAGTTCAAGGTCCGAAGCGGACGGAGCCTCAGGGAATCTGATCCTTCCGATGGGAGGGAGGGATGCACCGAACAAACGAAAAGCACAAGAGGTGTGTGTTTTGTGTCTCAGAAGAAGAGCGAAGATCCTTTCCTGTCTTCTAGATGCTGTAGTTCTTGGACTGAGACCTGTTGTTCCTTTGTCCTAGCTAATCCCAGTCCGTAGCTTGGTGTATACGGAGTACTCTTGGGAGAAACAATCAACCTTCTTCCCTCCTACAATACCTCCCCTCTCCTCCAGTTCAACTCCAAAATTGAAGAACCCCAACCTCTACAGTTTTTGACAAAACTGTATGCTTATCCAAAGTTAAAGTGATAGTATACTCCCCCCAAAAGAAATGACATCACAATTCTTCACCCCGTGTCCCCCGCCCCGATTCCCCCTCATTACAATCCCGTTCGAACGCCTACCCCATATTCTTTCTGCATTAACCTACAGGCTACAGCCCCAGCCCGCCCCTCTTCCCTCGGCATCTCTTTTAAGGATACTAGACTAGACTAGACTACCTAAAATCATGTGCCGGACACTTTAGTCTACTTCGTAGTTCTACCCACAACCACGACCACCACGTACTCCCAATCCACAACCTGTAAATTAAACAGTCATTCCCGTTGGCTCAGACACTAGAACAGCTTGCGGGGGGGGAGGGTGTTGTGGGGAAAGACCGAAAAGTATATCCCGTGCAGGATAACAAACACCGCATACTTGCACTTGCACTTACACCTGCACTATAGCTTCTGCGCTAGCGCAGACAACGGTATACTAGACTACACCCGTTTTTGGTCGGCGTGATTAATTCCCAGCAGGGATGAAGATACCAGCAATACTGCCAACCCCGATTCAGTGTACTTTCAGCCTATGCGTTTATTTACCCCCACAGGGCGCGGATGGACTCGGTCGGCATTCGATACGATGTAGTTTTCTCCACCGTATACCGTGCGACGTACTTCCTCTGCTCAATTGAGCCCAATTGAGGTGGGAATGATTTCCGAGTGGAGTTGACAGTACGTATCTTGCCCCTACGTTAGGGCCCGGCCGGGAGTTGGGGTGGAGTATCTTCGGAGTTTCATGGGAGATACATAGTCCTTAAAGTTTTCACCTTGTTGTAGACTACTCCATAGTTGAGCTTGATATAGTCGTCTATACGCGGTTGTTGTGCTGGTCAGCTGGCTGCTCCGTTTTATTCCTCTCCACTCCCACCTTGGCTGGAATGAGTTCAGGCTAGGGCAGGGGTCATTCCTCTAGTTTTCTTGGGATGCAGCGGTCAACGGATTGTCCAGGGCTTCCAGGCACACACACAAGGACATGAGCCGAGGTAGCGAAGCTGTCCAAGACAAGGATTTCCGGAGAATCTCCCGAAAGTCAAACCCCAACCCAGGGAACCAGATTTGTGTCGTACGACGAGTTCAGAGCACTGTCCACCTTGGAAGGGAAGTATGTGTAGATATTTCGGATCCCGTCAACAGGAGAAAGTAGACATAGAAACAAAATCAAATTAAAAATCGCAATCACAATATATTCGCTCCTTTGAAAACGCCATCCAGATGGGGAAACATCGTCGTATCTTTATTTTTGCAGCAGGCAACAGGAGAAGCGTAGAGAAAGCAAGAAAAAAACCTATCAAGCAAGGAAGGAGCCCACGAGGCTGAGCTGCGGGGAAAGGGTAGGAGGAAAGAAAATCTTCGCATCTACCTGCAGGATTGTCAGTCTCAGCCTATGCAGCACTGCCAACCCTTGCTAGCATCGGAGTTGTTTCCAGACTGGGGAAGCATGTCTCTCCACGGACAGCACACTTACCCACTATCCTCATAAATCCCTGTAAGAAAGGACAAGAGGCAGACGGGGGCCCAAAAGGACACACCTTGGTTGAGCATCGGAAAGGAAATCCCAACGACTCTCACGCAGCGACCGTGCCATTCTCCCCGCCCTCAGGAGTGTAATCCGTCATCCCCTCATCCTGCCCATCACCACTGTCGCCCGCCAGCACTTTAGTCCGGAGCGCATGGCCCTCCGGCAGAGGTGTGCCTGGCGTCGCGGCCACCACGTTATCGTTCTCATCCACAAACTCGAAGTTGTACCGGGACAGCAGGTGCGGGATCGCCGATAGTTGCGGCCCGTACCGCGCAGTGTTATCGTACAATTCGAACAACGGCACGGCGAGGAGCTTCATGTTCTTCGGGACGGAGAGGACCTCTGCATTGCCGCCGGGTTCAGTCACAGTTCTCTCGATGAGATGAGATGAAATCTGGGCTTGAGGGTTAAAAGGACTCACTCTTCTTGGGCAGCTGAATGAAATACAGCTTCTTGCACTCCTTGGGTCGAGTCACATGGCCGGGCAGGAATGGGTACATGAACGTCTCGAAGTTGGGCCGCCACCACTGCGCCAGAGTATCCCCGATCTCCCAGTCCTCGTTGACCCCCTCGCCGGAGAATTGCGATCCGACAGGCGCAAGCCGCTCGTTGAGCCGCTTCTTAAACCCTTCGACCTCGTCGTCTTCGAAGGGAAGGTAGTCTCCGGGTCTAACGCGGTTCATAGGAGTCAGTCTTGGATTGTTCTAGATGGATGAATTGTGTCGTTCTCGCGGTCGTGACTGCGGCGTGTCTAGACTCCATGATCGGGAAGGATACGTACAGCTTGAAGAAGGCGTTCGCAATTTGCAGCATGAGCACATGCGGGTGGTTATGCTCATGGCACACAAGAACACCCTCGCAGGTCCGTCTCATGCCATACTTCTCATAGTGTTCTTCGAGGCGTTTCAGGCGGGCCAGGACGGAGGGATCTTCCTCGGGTTGCGTTTCCTTGGTCCCGAAAGTATAGTTTGAGAGGGGATATAGACGAATAGTTTGTGGTTGCTGAGCGGAGAAGTCTTTGGGAGCGATGGGACTAGTCAAAGAGTAAAGGAGTCAGTATTTGTTGGTCCATGCCTGGCCCTGGAGGTCTGGAACGTACGGGCGAGAGCTCTGAATCGCCGTCGCTGTTGCGGTCGACATGGTCGGTAGATGCGCCTTCTAAATAGGGAGTCTTTGAACTTCAACCGGATGAGCCAAGGCGATGTAAGTGAGTGACGAAAGAAGGGGGGGGGTGGCGGCAGGTACAAGGATGGTAGGAGGTCGGTTGTTGTTGTTGGTGCTGGTCGCGAGGTGGATCACAGCCCGGCGGAGTTGATGCTCTCTCCGCCGCAGCTCGATCGATCAATCGATTGGCATCGGAGCTGCCCTCCGCGAAAACATTCCACCGCCCCGACCACTCTAACTTCCCAGTTGCAAACAACCCAACGGGGCGTCAACATCATCATATATGATCTACCTCAAGTCTTTTTTCAGGGCTCGGTCGAGATATTTCAATTATGTATCATGTTTCTAATCTACATCCCATGGATTTCAACTCTATCAAACCCCTCATCCTGCGTCCCCAATGATGTCCTGTACTCAATCCAGAATCACGCCCCGATATCGACAAGGCAGCAGAAAGTTTCTATCATCATTATAAGTGAAGTGAAGGTTGTAGCAAGTGGGTGAATCTAAAATTCAGAGGGTGCGAATTATAGCTTGGCATCAAAGTCCTCGAACTCGCTAATGTCGGTGACAGGGTTCGGGCCCGCGCTGACGTTGAGACGGGCCTTGTACTCAGGAACGTTGGTAATGTAGGTGATAGCCTCCTGGCCGAATCCATTGACTGTCTGGCCAGACTGCCCTTCGAACCTCTTGGGCTGAATGCCGATGTGCTTCAGCTCTACTCCAACGCTGCTTGCCATCGAATCCAGGGCCTGCTTGGTTTGTTGCTCTGCAAGACCCATTCCATCCAAGACTGTCTTCATGGTGTCCACGATCAGACGTTCATCGCCGCTGGACACGTCAACTTCAGCGAATGCAGCCTCCAAGCGATCCGCATCGACTGCCAATTGCGCTTTCTCCAAGAGCGTGCGCAGACGCGTTAGGAGCTGGGTCTTCTGCTGCTGGGGCGTGCTCGCGAGAGCGGTGGCTTGTGCCTTGAGATGGATGGACAGCTTGCCACGCGTGGACGATTGAGGGTTGATAAACTGATTATAGAACTGGATGAGGTCTGACTTGGTCAACGACCGCACATTGGCAGCATCCGCCTCATTCTGCACGAAATCAAAGTACTCCGATCCAATGTGGGACCAGAAGCGACTCGTCTCTGAGCCCAGGTTCTTGAGCTTTTCCAGTCTCCGGTTGATAAGACTGCGCTTGTGCCTTTCAAAGTCACTCTCTGGCATCTCCTCCAACGTCTTCTGGAACATGCTCAAGAAGTTCTCGATACGGTGTTCAAGGTACCCAGCAACGCGCTCACTCTGGATGATGACGCGATAACCGATCGTAGTGGAAGAATAGCGGGCGCCGCTCCAGACAACATATCCCAATTGCTCCTTGCTCCGGAGCTGATCGAATGCAGGCTCATCAGTCATCTGGGCGAACAGCAGCAGTTTGGCCCGCAAGACCGCGTCATTGATGTCTCCAATGTACAACAAATATTCGATGCCGTTGTTGACGTTGGCCGGATCTTTGAGCGTTCGCTCATAGATATAGTTGGAGCCAGGAGGGATGATGACATTGCGCCTCACGTACCACTGCGACTCGGGCAATGTACGACTCTTCAAAGTGGATTCCACCAGGTCGGTCATACGAAGTGCATCCTCCTTGTACAGGTTTCCGTGCGCCAACACCTCGATGTGGTTCTGACGGAGGATCTGAGGGAAGAAGCAAGCCACGTCTTCCACTTCGATATGTTGCAGCTCAGATGCATACTGCTCATTGAGCCAGGACCGTTCTGCGGTCAGGTAGCGAGTGTAGTCGCTCACTTGGTAGTAGGGTTGTTGGTACTCGGCGTTCTTATAGGCTCGGGTCAGGCGCTCCTTGATGATGCTGAAGCGTTCCGGCTTCACAACGAGATCACGCATGCTCGTAAGAACCTTCTCCAAAAGCACGGACATCTTGTCATTGTATCCACCCACCGAGATGTCCAAGCCAAAGATACTAATACCCAGGGAATAATCAAGGCCCGCCAACTCAGCGTCATAGGCGTATTCGTTGAGGGCATCGCGCACCAACTCGCAGTAGAATCTGGCCTTGACCACGTTGGCCGGAGTAGCCCACACCAAAGGATTTCGGAGTGAGATATTGAAGGTGCCCTTGGGAACCCAGAATCGGTCATCCTTCTTGTACCACAAACGGACGTGGTCGTCATGCCGGATTAGCTTCGGTGTCTTGGCTGGTTCTGAGACTTCCTTCTTCTCGACGGAGAGACGAGTCGGAACAAATTCGTTCTTGTGAGGCAAGTGCAGGTCGGGCAGACGGTTCGCGGAAGTGGTCTCATACGCCTTACGGATGTCGGCCATGAAGTCCTGGGGAATATCCTCCACCTTATGCTCCGTGCCGTACCACTTCTCCTTCTGATCCCAGTCACCGGGGTAATCCTGGGCCACAATGAGCATGCGGAAGTTGTCGGGCCGAAGGTAGGACAAGGCTTCCTTGATCAAGGCCGGGTCGTACTTCCGGAGAAGTCCGGTGCTCAGCAGCCACTCTCGAGGGTGGGGCTTCTGCATCTTGCTGCTCAGGTTGCTGGCGAAGCGACTGGCGGGGGTCTTTTGTTTAAAGCGAAACTCGACATCGGCCAAGTTCTTCATCTCATCATAGATCCACTGCTGAGGCTCACCTTCCTTGATCATAGCGATATACTCGAAGATGACTCTCGCGACTTCACGGTAGTTCTTCAAACCCTCAGGGGTCAAGCGGACGTTGATGGTGAAAAAGGCCGCACCAGGGCAGATGGGGAGAGGACCAGCAGACAAGCCGTTGGCCCAACCCTTGGCCTTGATGTAAGCCAGGATACTTCCGGGACCCTCATGGCCGATCAGGTGGCTAATGTAACGGTTGGGCTGGGACTCGTAGTAGTGCTCCTCGTCCATGAAAGGGAAGTAAATGTCCAGAGACCGCATGTCCATGACCGGCTTGGCGAAGATCTGCTTTCCTAGATGCTCCGCCGTCCAGGGCTGAACGTCGTCCCAGCGATTTTGCGGAAGATCCTTGTTCTGGACGTGCGAGAACAGATCCGAGACCCACTCCTCCATCTCGTCAAGGGACTCCCGGCCCAGCAAAACCAGTTTCATCCGGTTGGCTGAATAATGGGCCTCATAGAACTTGATGAATTCACTGCGAACCTCAAGGCCGCGTTTCTCCGGATCCTCCTTCAATGTCTGCAGGTTTCCAGTCGAGAAGTGGTGGTAGGGATGCGCGGGGTTGGAAAGGCTCTTGTTCAATTGCATCAACCGCCACATATCGCTCTGCAGGTTCTTCTTGTTCTCGGAGTCCACGGCCCTCAACTCCCGATCCAGCGTTGACTCCAGGAAAAGCGGTTCGACGAAGAACTGAGCGAACCGATCCAGGGCCCCGTGCAGGGGCCCTTTGGCTTGGGTGGCCGAGGGCGAAGTGGGCGCATCGGATTTCTCGTCGCCAGAGTGCGACGTGGCGGCCACTTCAAAGAAGTAGTTGGTCTCCGTGGCAGCGGTGTAGGCGTTGGACATGCCAGAGTTCGATGCCAAATATTGGTTGTATGCGTTCTCTAAGGGGTACTGCGGGCCATCAGCCGAGGTTAGTGCCGGACTGGCCGCATGCTGACGCCGGAATCAACCACATACCTTCTTGGTGCCCATGAACAACAGATGTTCAACGGCGTGAGCCATACCCGGCATGTCGTCTGCGTCTGAGAAATTGCCGACATTGACGTTCACGGCAGCACTGGCCTTGTCGGTATCCGGGTCGTGGACCAGTAGAGCTTCGAGCTTATTAGGGAGGCGGATGACGCGATAGGAGCGATCATCCAGCTCCGGCTTCAACAGATCCTCCGCAATGCGTTCGACAGTGCCCATCTTAGTAGAACCCATGGTGACCGGACTAGTGGCAAACGGAGCACGCGAGACGGGTTTGGGAGAGTGAAGGAGGGAGGGGCGACGATGAGTCTGTCCACCGGAGGCAAAAGATCGGACCCAGCAATGCGAGGACAAGCGTGGCGAGGGGTAGGAATGAGGGGCTACCGCCGCAAAGGTGCCTGATCGGGAAAACGAACGATAAATTGGGGTTGATAAAGATCGAGGATGTCCAGGGTTCCACAAGCGGCAGGGTGCAGAGGACCTTGGAGGCATGCAGTGCAAGGAAGGTGGTCCAAGGAGCAACGGCCGCTAACAGCTACTGTACCGGGTGAAGTATCGTTAAGGATGGGGGAGGGAGAGGGAGTGGGGGAAGAGGAAAAAGGAAGGGAAGGAATATTTAAGGAAGAGGAATCTAGGGAGAGGTGGGAGAAATAGAAAACACGAGCCGGTCCGATTTCAAAGACAGGCCCGTAATTGAGAGAGTCAATGCGCCAGAATGAGAAGATGTAAAGTAGGTAAGGTTTGTTAATTGATGAAGTAGTGACAAGAGAGAGAGAGAGAGAGAGGGAAGAAGGGAGTGGCAGTAAGACGCATTCATGCTTTGGCGGTGAGAGGCAACACTCAGGCGGTGAGAGCGGTGAGGCTTAAGTGGGCACGTGTCCCTGCAAGTGGTCGTTGCACTTTACTACATCAGCGAGCATTCGAGAATGATCGCCCAATCACTCTTGGCTTAAACTCCTGTCTTGGTGCGAGTGGATCTAGAAGGCTTCCTCTGAGTGCTTCTTGTTCTTCCACGTCATGCTTCTGTCCCAAATGAGGGCACTCTGCAACAGCGCCGAGGCCATCGCGAAACCGCCGATTCCCCAGCCAAGTGGCACTCGACGCCCTTGCAGCTGACAGCAAAATGTCTCGTATTCAGCTTGACTGAGAAATGGCGTGCTTCTTGTACGACCACACTTCTCATGGCGCGTAGATGCTACGCTACAAGGAATTGCCGTTGCAAACACACTGACTACTAGGTAGGTACCTGCTAGGTACTTACCCTCAGTACTGGCTATAGTAAGTAGAAACCACCACTCGGAACGCCAACCGATGCCAGCCCCCGGATCTACTCTCCGAACGGAACCTCCCCTCCCCAAACTACAATCCCCCCGATAAGATCTACAAACAACCCCAGTTTACCCAACCTCTTTCATCAACCACCTACCTCCATACCTTTGTAACATAGCTTGAACTACCTTACATCACAGCAACTACAACTACAAATCAAATCAGAGAAGACCACTGCCAAAATGGACGTCTCGCAGGTGCTCACCCAGCTCCCCAACACCATCCATTGCATAGATATGCACACCACCGGCGAGCCCACCCGCATCATCTACGCCGGCTACCCCCAGCTGACGGGCACGCTGCTGGCCCAACGGGACCAAGCCCGCCAGCAACACGACCACATTCGCCAGCAACTGATGCTGGAGCCGCGGGGGAATCCCGCCATGTACGGGGCGATCATCTGCCCGGCGACGGAGCTGGTGGCGACGGGGGAGGCCGACGTGGGCGTGCTCTTCATCCACAACGAGGGCTACTCGACCATGTGTGGGCACGCGACGCTGGCGCTGGGCCGGTTCCTGGTCGACACGCACGACGCCAACGTCTTCCCGCGGCGCGCCCAGCTCCCCTTCGACGCCACGACCCAAACCATCCAACTGAGGCTGCACGCCCCCTGCGGCGTCGTCAGCATCACCGTCCCCACCAACGCAGAGGGCACGCGATCCGACCCCACGCGGCCCGTCTCCTTCCTATCCACGCCCGCCTACGCCACGGCTCTGCAACTGACCATTCCCATTCCCGCCGCCGCGCGGTGGCCCGAACTCCCCGCCCAGCGGGACTCCATCACCCTGGACATCAGCTATGGCGGCGCCTTCTACGCCATTGTCGACGCGGCCGAACTGGGCTTCACCCGCGGCCTGTCGACCGTCGACCTCGACGCCACCACCCGCTGCATGCAGCAGCTGAAACCGTACCTCGAACGCCGGCCGGAGATCGTCGCCGCCGTCACGCACCCGGACGACCCGCGGCTCTCGTTCCTCTACTCCGTCATGATCGTCGACGCGACCATCGGGAGCCGACCGCGCGACGTCGCGGGCGCCGAGACCGGCCTCTGCTACTTCGCCGACAACCAGATCGACCGGTCGCCGACGGGGTCGTGCGTGACGGCGCGCATGGCCCTGGCCCACGCCAAGGGCCGCCGGGCCGTCGGCCAGCGCTGGGCGTACAACTCGCTCGTGTCGAATCACTTCCAGACGGACGAATTCCGCGCGGAGATCGTCGAGGAGCTCGCGCCGTCATCCGTTTCCGGGGGACGACCGTCCGTGGTTGTCCAAGTCGAGGGCCGAGCATTCTACACCGGGGCCGCCTCGTTCATGGTGGAAGCAGAGGACCAGACGTCCCGGACTGGATTCACGATGGAGAGAGTAGCTGCGGCGCCATTACCATGACTATTACCATGTTCTTCTCCATCAGCTATTGAATATCAACCCTCATTGAATCACATCTTCCATTAGCTAAACCCAACCAAAACTCAACTACCAGTCTCCTTACCCCCCTTTCCCCCTCCCCCAATCAATCCCCGAAAGACTAAACCTAACACGCAGCCGCGCAAACCGTCAAAACCTCGTTACTTCCCGCCTGACAAGTCTTCACCTGACTGCCACCCGGGTTCACCCCATTCGGCCAACAGATCTTGGGGCAGGACGTATCGCTGGGCTTGACACTCAGAACCGAGCCGGCGAAGGCATTCCCGAAAACGCTAGACAGGTCGTACCAGGTCTTGGCGCCGTCGAGGGTGTAGGCGTAGTTCAGCTGGGGGCTGCCGTCGTACAGGCCGTCGGGGGTCTTGGTGATCTTGAGGGCGACGCCGCCGGAGGCCGGGTCGTAGTGGAGGGCCTCGGTGTAGCTGGCGCCGGGGGCGATGGTCTGGCGGGGGCCGACGGAGCCGCCAACGGACCAGAGGTAGATCGGGGTGTTGCAGTTGTTGGTGACGACAGCGTTGCCGGCGGCGGCGGTGAGGGTGGGGAGGATGAGGAGGGCGGATGCTGTGGTGAGGAGGGTGGTGGTGATGTGCATTTTTGGTGGTGGATGGATGGATGGATACCTTAGGTATACTTGGATGAGATGACTTGAGGGTATTGTGAAGCTGAATGCTGGAATTTGAGTCTTATTTCGAAGACTCCAGCGAGTATCTGGGTGGTATTTATACCTATTGCATAAGCATCATGATATCCTCCTCGTTAAGCTAAAGTGACATCGCCTCCATCGCTGTACATTTCCCTCTCCTCCAGACCAACATCAACATCCAAGCCCAACCCCTCAAGCAATTACCTAAAATGTCTCATCTCATACCTCGATGTCTCACTCTAAGCCCAGCTCCATAGGTACGTACGGTACACACCCCAAGTCCTCTTCCACCCACAACCCAAATACCAAGTACCAAGTACCAAGTACCAAGTACCAAGCACCGAATAGACGCCCTGTACGCGGAAACCCACATAACTCTACCACTAGCTAAGGTAGTATACTCGCATGCACACGAGAGACATCAACCACACCACACCACCACCACCACCACCACCAAACCACTTATCCCAAGATACATTCCCCTTCCCAAGAAACCAAACCAAGAACAAGACAAGACCATGTGATTGTCCTATATACTCACAACAAGAAAACGGGAGAAAGAGACAAAAGCCACAGCCACACCCGCAACCCAAACCAACCAAGCCGAACCCCGCACGCACCTCCAACTCCATCATCCATCCATCAACAAATGGATCAAGATCGACATCGACGGTATGTCTTACTTTTACCCCACAACTCCTGCAAGTCTTCAGGAAGTATAGTACGTACATGTCAGCCTCGATGTCTCGGGAATCACCCCACATGCGCAGGATCTGAGTCAAAATCATATGCTACAAGGCAAGACACAAACAATCCCAAGTAACCTTCTTAGACTGGTCGAACTTTGCCTAAACTTCGAGGTCAAAAAATCGACTTGGTTGGGTTTCACTTTTGCTTTTTCCAGGGTCTTCCAGGGAACAACAAGACAATATGGAAGGGAATAAGGGGGTTGGTTGGAGAGTCGGAGAATTGGACTGCGTCTCTTGGCTCGTGTTCGTTTTTTTTTTTTTTTCAGATGCCTTCTGCAGGCAGGAGGATACTATCTATAGAATTGAGTAGACCCTTGATCCATCCATGGCTTACAAAATTCATGGTGGGAATCTGGGGTAAGAACTGACTACAGCAGTCATAGTGTAGGTACTGGCACTGACTTTACTTTAACTGGACCACTGAGCAGGGACGGTTCGGTTACTGGATTTGATTTGAATTCGTTTACCCCATCGTCAGCAGCAGCACTGGAAATAGGCCGTGACAGCACGTGTAGGTGGTCCAGGATCGACGTGTCTTAGCCGCAATGCAACGCCAGGAACGAACTGAGTTCGCTCTTAAATGTAGGTGGTGGCGTGACAAGACCCTGGAGAGGCACAGGCAACTACAAGACACTGCATCTATCACACCACCACTCCAAAATAGAGTATGCATAGCCGATGGTCCCTTTTCCGACCTTCCAAAAACTCAACTGGTGAAACTAAGAATTTATGCATGGATTTGGTACAAGCGAACCCACTAATCCCCCCTTTCCTTACCCTTCCCCCATAACCAATATCTAGATCTAACTTCTGCGCATTCCGGAACTGAAACTCAGCTTGTACCCGGTCCACGCTGACCCTCCCCAGTAGCAGCCCCCTTGGTAGGCGACCGTCTCTTGGGCTTCTCGTCCTCGATTTCCTCGCTATCCGCCACGTCCGCACGCTCCGAGATCCACTGGTACACCTCGTTCTTGTGATGCATGAGCATCTCGCTCAGCCCCGCCTTGGGCGACTGCACGAGGAGGCCATAGCGTTTGGAGGGCTTGCGCTGCAGACTCGTCCACACCCCGTGCGTGTGCGAGACGAATACGAGCGAGTTCTTCACCAGGCTAGCTGTCAGCTCCGAGCCGAGAATCGGGGGGAAAAAAAGGATCTCATAATCCAAACTTACGTCTTTGTACCACCGCGAGAGCCAGACTTGGGTATGGGAGGCGACCGCACGAACAGGGTTCTCGGCCACAAAGGAGACCACTCCATTCACACGTTTGTACAATGTCTCTGTCCCGGCGTTAGCCATGTCTCACATCCATGCACACCCCTCATTCATCTTACCGCGGTTGATTAATAGGTTGGCCACTCCGTAGAAAGCGTTGCCAATGCCAATGAAAAAGATCTCAGTCGCTTCATTTGGTCTAAAGAAACCTGTCAATCAAAGGTCTACCGCTCGGTGCTAGCGGTGTAAAGACATACTCGATATAGTTATCCCAGAGATAGCCAGCGAGCTCCTCCGTGGCGGTAGGTCTATTCTCGTCTTCATCTTCGTACTTCCCGGAAGACTGTCAAGAAGTCAGTATCCATGAGAAAGACTGAGAACATCACAAACTGACCGGATCAATAGTCACATGTTTCGGGATGTTGACGTCGATGACCGCATAACCTTTCTCCACGGCCCATCCAACATAGTCCTTCAATAAAACATCAGCCTAGTGTTTGTCAGCAGATGACGGAAACACTTCACAGTCTCGACATACCAGCCAGCAATTATGAGCCTCTAATTTGTTGGTGACCGGATGAGGCAGACTCATGATCTCAGGCCTGCTCATCATCAGCAAAGGATTCCCCACGTTGTCCGCGGATACTCACGGGTCATGAAAGAAGACAAGAAGAGGTTTGGCCTGGTGGTAGTTCGGGCTTGTAACCGGTCAGTCAGGATCGTATCCCATCGAGCGCTCGATTTACCTCGCAAGGACTTGATTCTCAAATGACTTCGAGATAGCAGTACGGTAGATGTAAAGGGATGTCAGTTTGTAGTTGTCATACAGCTGCTTTGACTGATAAGCACGGATGACATCTGCAGACTTGTTAGCCTCCGATCGAGCAATCCGTGAAATCCTCTTACCGTGGAGTCGATCCGTGAAGTGCCCCTCCTGTTGCGGTGCCTTCGGGTACATGCAGCTCCAATAGGCCGACTGAATCATCATCACGCGTCTCACGGTCGTTGTGGCAGCTTCAGACGGTGTGGTGGAATGTAGACGGTCTGGGGGGTCACCCATCAAAGTCTTCGTAACGGCAAGAGCAGATTTCGAAATCGACCGGAAATTGTAGCCACCCTAATATCTCATCTTAGCCCTGGTGCTTCTATGCATTCACTGAGAGACGGTCAAACCTCCAGACAGACAGCAACCTTGCCGTTGGCAAGCGTCATAAGCATGTGCGTCATATGAGCATAGCAAGCTGGTGTCACAAAACAACCTCCGAGCTCGTCGCCTGCGGCAGCGTCGAATCCAGAAGCGACTATAATTGTCAGTCTCGGAGACTTGAGCCGCCAGAGGAAAGGTCGACCTACTGATTACAAGGTCTGGATTGAACTCCTGGGCAATGGGCATAACCACTTGTTGGAAAGCGTACATGTAGTCGCCATCGCCCATTCCCTGACTTGGCCACGGAATATTCACATTGCTTGTTGAATGTCAGCCACCGCCGTGATGTAAAGAAGCAGGAATGCCATACCGTCCCACACCGGCACCACCACCGCAGTGGTCCCAGTCTCCTTCATCGCCTCCGGGATAGAACTTCCCCTCTTGATAGACATGAAGCGAGATGTAGAGAATGTTTGGGTCATCATAGAATGCTTTCTGAATGCCATTTCCTGCCAAGTATATAAGCCAATGCAAATCAACCCAAGTGAGGAATCAGGGCTTAGTCAAGTACCGTGATGAACGTCCCTTGAGCATGTTAGTATCACGTAAAGTACAAGTGGATGGCTAGGCTCACCAATCGAGAATTAAGATCTTCCTACAGCTCTCGCCCAGCTGCTGCTGGCAGACACGCGCTGCAACCGAGACATTATTGAACAGACAGAATCCCATAGTCTTGTCATGCTCGGCGTGATGGCCAGGGGGTCGAATCACAGCAATAGCATTCTTCACCTTGCGGGTAGCAACGGCCAAGCAAGTCTCAATGGCCCCTCCCACAGACAGGATTGAAGAAGCAAAGGTGAGTTTGTTGAAATAGATGGAATCGCGGGTATGTTCCAACGCAATGAGTTCATCATCCGTCATATCTGATACAGCTAGTTAGGAGACTTTCGCGCCGTTACTGCGAGCAAAGGGGGGGTATCATTACCTTGAGTGCTTTCTACAAAGGCGTAATGATCAGGCGTGTGGACAAGGGAAATCTCCTCCTCGGTAGCATTGCGAGCATTGATCCTTTTCAGAGGTCGGGATACGAGAGGTCGACTTGATTCGGGATCATCGACGAGTCCAGCTCGGCACAGCTCTTTGTATATGTAGTAGATGCGTCTTGGATCCTCCGGGTGAACGTCTGCAGTGGGCCGCACTTCGCAGTGATAACGCATCTGCACATCATAGCATAAACCTGAAGGAAGTGAGGCGAGCGGGAGGCCAGTCCGAGCGACTGCATCCCCATCGGACCAGTCAGAATTCTCTTCAACAAGACTATCATTTTTCTCGTCGTCGTCAATCACATCACCGGAGTCTACAGACTTTGGCAGGCTCTTGGGAGGAGAAATGCCGCCTTCATGCTCCGGCTTCGAAGAGGCAGAGAGAGGCTGTGAGTTGAGTGGGTGGCGCGACAAAGGCAGCTTGAATGTCTGACCCAGCAGCGGAGATGTAATCGATGGCTGAGAGGGCCCATCAAATTGGGCTGGCGCACCTGGGTTGCCCGCCTCACCCATGACGGTGTCTTCGTCGCCCTCCAGTGCCATCGTTATGAGCCTGGAGCAATTTCTCTGACTTCCGCTTTGACCGAATTCCAGTTGGGCCAAATCAACACCTCATGGTCAAGCCAAGGGCGAAATAGAGGGTCTACAAATGCCCCTGGGAAAGATTAAGTGAAGTCAAAAAAGGTTAAGTCAAAATGCGGATGCAGCTTCGGAAGAGACGATCTAGCTGAGAGAGATTGTCGAATTTGTTGAGGACCAAGGCAGAAGAATGGGAGGTGTGCTTGATATCTTGGAGGGTGGCAGGATCACAAGTAACAAGGGCACTTTAGATCACTTGTACTAAGGCCCGGGGACCACAGGGAAGACCCACGAAATCGAACGACTAATGAGGCACGACTGGCGTCGTATGAGCAACGACAGGTATATGATGAGGGACAATGTTTAAGCCAAGACTCTCCTCTGAGGTTATAATCGTGGCTGTTGGTACAGAAAAGCACCCACCGAAGCACACCAGCGGAGGCGTTCTGGACTAAGAATCTCGAATCAATGGTAGAGCTCGAAATTCCGCAGTTTAGCTGCGCTCCACGTGACCTCCGCTCTCCAAATCCCAAATCTGGCCACTTCCTCACAATTCCTCGGACTCGGACGGAAAACGCGATCAAGAGCTGAAAGGAACCTTCTGATGAGGAAGATTGAAATTGAGCAGCATAATTGTTGAATAAGAACGAACTTCAAGCACGATCAACAACGACTATCAACCTTGCGCTGCTCCGAGAATTTGCCGCGGTTTAGCGGAAGACAACTGGAACTTATCCTGCTCGGCGATAACAAGCTTACTGCCCGCTAGTCAACGCGTATCAAACCAAGTACAGTCTGCCCGTGCCATTCCCACTGCATATCCGAAAGTCGATTCTTTGCTGCGATACTATTCAATTTTTGGGAAGAAGTACACATCTTGTGGAAAGAGATACAACTACAATGAGAAGCCGCAAGGCCGCCAGATTTACGGGTAGAGAGAGAATTGAACAAATATGAACAGTTGTGTCATTTCATTAATAGTACGTCATCACATGCTTTTACTAAAGCGGGTTTCCATGAGAGCAAGCCGAAGCTAGGCAATTGAAGCCACGCACTCAAAGCAGGCTCTTGAGGTCCTTCCGTCCTGATTCCTACTGGCTGTCGACCTTGGCGATGTAGGCTGTACACACGGGTTAGATAACGGCTCACAGATGCTTGACAACGATCAGTAAACTTACCAATGAGGTCAACAACACGGCGGGAGTAACCCCACTCGTTGTCGTACCAGGAGACGAGCTTGACGAAGTTGGGGTTGAGGGCGATACCGGCCTTGGCATCGAAGATGGAGGAGTGGCTGTCACCGTTCAGGTCGGAGGAGACAATGTCGTCCTCAGTGTAGCCGAGAACACCTGTTGGGTGGTCAGCAAGAGATTCGACCATATACCACACACACGGTACTTACCCTTGAGCTCGCCCTCAGAGGCAGCCTTGAGGGTCTGCTTGATCTCGTCGTAGGTGGCAGACTTCTCGAGACGGCAGGTCAAGTCGACAACGGAAACGTTGGCGGTGGGGACACGCATGGCCATACCGGTGAGCTTGCCGTTGAGGGAAGGAATGACCTTGCCGACAGCCTTAGCAGCACCAGTGGAGCTGGGGATGATGTTCTGGGCAGCAGTACGGCCACCTCTCCAGTCCTTGCTGGAGGGGGCATCGACAACCTTCTGGGTGGCGGTGTAGGAGTGGACGGTGGTCATGAGACCCTCAACGATACCGAACTTGTCGTTGATGACCTTGGCGAGGGGAGCAAGGCAGTTGGTGGTGCAAGAGGCGTTGGAGAGAACGTTGATGTCCTTCTTGTACTCGGTGTTGTTGACACCCATGACGAACATGGGGGCATCGGCAGAGGGAGCAGAGATGATGACCTTCTTGGCACCACCCTTCAAGTGAGCAGAGGCCTTCTCCTGGGTGGTGAAGACACCGGTGGACTCGACAACGTAGTCGGCACCCTCCTGACCCCAGGGGATGGCAGCGGGGTCACGCTCAGCGAAGAAGCGGATCTTCTTGCCGTTGACAACGAGGCCCTGCTCGTAGGTCTCGATGGTACCGTTGAACTTGCCGTGGGTGCTGTCGTACTTGAGCATGTAGGCCTACACCATGAGCATCGAGCTCGTCAGCCAGTGACTCTTTGCTGCTGGGGGGCAGATGTTGGCAACCACATACAGCATAGTGGGTCTCAATGAAGGGGTCGTTGACGGCAACAACCTCGACGTCACCAGAGTTGATGCTGTAGACAAGCTGTTAGTACCAATTGGTTCCCGGAAGGCCCGAATCCATTGGAGCCGCAGTGATAACACTCACGCGTTACGGAAGACCTGGAGGAGGGGTTGTTAGAACGGCACTCATTCGCAGCAAGAGTCTCAAGGCCACTCACAATACGTCCAATACGACCGAAGCCGTTGATACCGACCTAGAATTGATTAGGTGAGTAACAGCGCGATGAATACCGAGCTCATTGCCTTCATTAGGCGTACCTTGGGAGCCATTGTGTAGATGTGTCTGTTTGGCGGGGTAGCTGGTTAGTAGAGCGCTTGGAGACGGAACGGTAGCTTGGCGGGAGGAAGCTGGAGTATACACAGATGGGAATAACAGGGAAAGAATGGATGCTGTGGAAGAAAGAACTTACTGTTTGGATGAAGTTACTTGGGGGGAGAAACGAAGGAGAGAGAAGATGATGATGGAGAGAGAGAAAGAAAGAGGGAGTAAGAGAAAGGAAAGAAAAGTTTCCCAACAGGCGGGGGAGGGGAAGGTAGAAAAAGGATAGCGGGACAGACAATCGACTGACGCAACGACCCGGTCACTACACCGAACAGACAGACGGGGCAAAGGCTGCGGCAAGCTCTGCCACTCTGCCACCACTACTGACCAGAATGGTCAGAAACACCCAGAAATGCGCCAAGCTGGTCAGCGTGGGATTTGCCCTATTGATTGTCCCGACATGCGCCGCTCCCCAGTTCCCCCATAGCCTTTTCCGGTTTCATACACCGGGCAAAGCAGGAGATTCACGATATCTGGGCCTCCCAGACTTCCCACCTTTCCCCTCGGCAGCTGCCGTCTGGGCCAATGAGCGAGCTATAAAGCTATCACGCCGGGTACTCACTCCAATTCTCGAGAATCTTTTACCAGCATCGTCGGAATTACTACTTACTCCTCTTTTCGTGATGCTGGAGAGCCTAGGTTATGAGCCAGATTGCTCCCCGGTAAAGACAGGTTATTCTCGCATCTACGGGAATAGGCTCAGCCGAGGGTGATGCATTGAGTGGTGTTATGATCCATGACCCATGGTGTGTTAGGGCAGAAGAGGAGAGACACTGAAGGAATGATGTAACAACAGGCCACCACCCCCTGGCACGACTATACTCTCATTCCCCCATTCAGTCACTCACATTGGAGTACGAGGTACGGAGTACCGAGCACTCAGACAACCTCACACACTCATTCATCCACCACCACCACCACCACCACCACCACCACCACCACCACCACCACCAACATCAACCCCAATAACCCCAACTGAAAGGAGATACCGGGTGCCCGCAATCGGTCCATCCATGATCTTACTAAGATTTGCCGCATCCAGCTTCGGCCCGCTTGGGTTGCTCGGTTCGGGCTTATGATGATCCTCACCCCCCTTCTCCCCCCCCCTCTTGGCAATCGTGCCCCTCCATCTCTTTTATCCGCCCTGGCTGGACCATTGCCTGGGACGCTGAAAGCGGGCCTGGGGAGAGCTTCAACTGGACTTTGACACCGAGGGTGCCTGAAAAGATTCACCGGCGACCATGTCAACCATCACGCGCTGGGTCCCAGATTGAATTTTTCTTTTTCTCTTTTTTTTTTCTTCTGTCGGGCTTTGATTCTTCTGTGATTAGTGGAAGACTGCACAGGCTCTGCCGCTCTGTGCGAAACCATTATATCCAATTGCAATGCAAAGAAAGAAATCGTGACACTCAACGGTTCGACCAGCGGCAGCATTGATGACACACAGTCGTCAAGTCATCAATGGAGCATAGCATGATCTACGAGTAACTACAATGAAAGGATTAGAAATACAGAATCAGCCTCCGGAGGCGAATTTCTGGTGCCCTGGATCTGGAGTAAGGCCTCAGGCAGGCGGATAGGCCGGCAGTCAAAGCGAACGGAGGAACCCCCTTCGCTTCTATAATCGGGGTCTGACTCCAGTCTCCACATATAAGCACATCCAAATCCGTCTTTACCGCCATCCCTGCTGCAGGTGACAGGTTTGCGGATTTGCGGGATTATTTCACTCAGCTTGCAAATAGAAATAGCATCCTGTTCAAGAAGGATACAGGCCAATTCGGTCATAGTCGGCGAAGTAATCATCGACTCCATCGCCACTTCGTCATTCATATGCCTCGATTATGAAGGCGTCTGCTTAATATGTTGAAGCAGATACATGCACATGAGTTCACAAATAGACAGCAGGATAGCATGTTTACTAACGAAGTTACCAATAATTTGACTATGAAAGTGAGAAAAAAGAAAAGGATATCGTAAACCCATCGGCACTAACATTAGAAGTGAAGATCAAAGCAAAGCAGCAGCAACGCAGCTCGACTCGACTCCGGTCCAATGGCAAGGCATCTATAAAATACAAGAGGTACAAAACATGTGCGATCTACTCGCGCGTCTGTTACCCAAGGCCTCTCAATCTACTCCTCCTTGACACCTCCCCGCCAGTTCTTCTCGGCGCTCTCGACTGAAGCCTTGTCGGTCTTGACCTGGCCCTGGTTCATGAAGCTGTTGCCAGACTTGAAAGGGCGCTGGAGGTCACCGGTAGCAGGCTTGCCGAAGATGTGAATCTTGACCAGGTTGGATTCAAAGGCACTCTTGAGAGGAATGATCGACTGGATCAAGAGGGGGTTGGTGTACTTGAAGTAGAGGTGCATCACACCCATCATGCCGACTCCCATGAGTTGTCCACGGATCAGCTGGCGCAGCTGTCCCTTGTCGTACTCAGCGTTGGTGGTAGTCACCGGGCGAGGCTCCTCGTTGCTACCCATGGGAGCAGGCTCAACATACTTGAGCGTAGTCAAGTCTGGGAATTGATTAGTGAAGGTTTATCGTCATTCCGCCCACTCCAGACATACCATTCTTTTTGTTGATCTTGGCCTGAGTGTACAAGTAGAGACCCAGGATGATCACGTTGGACAAGATGTACATGCAACGAACAAGAAGGAGGACATCCGGGTTCTCAAAGGGAACCTTCTTGGCCAGCTGCATCATCACCACGATGATGGCGAGGTTGGTACTGCAACAAGGAATACGCTGTCAGTAATGCCATTTTCGGGAGGCGACAACGATTTTCGCTTCGACTTTGGAGAGGAAGGCTTCGAAAGGACTCACACTTGAGGGGACACCATCTTGACGGATTGAACGGCAGTGCTGGAGGCCTAAGGGGACCCTTTGAAGATGAGGAGCAGTGCGCGATGGGGTGAAACAAAGATGGAGACACGCGTGCAAGGACAGAAACTTCCTAAACTGCGGAACTGGAGCCCCGGGAAAGTGTGCCAGCTGTCCTGATAGCGTACTGTCACGTGGTCGCGATTTGCCACTATCGGCATAGCGCTATCTATGCCACACGCGACCCAGATAACGTCAGCGATAAGCAGAGCTGTTGGGGCCTTAAGGGCCTTAAGGCACCGAGTTGGCCCACCCGGTTGGCAAGCGCACTTAGAGATCACCTGTTCTGATTATGTAACCAGTCCAGCGACCATCATGCTCTGCACACTCTCCTACCAACCTCAACTGCGTCTCTACATACAGTCAAGAAACCTCCACCCTGCACCATCTGATGCAGCTTGAGACTCTTCGACATGAAGAACAAACCTGGAGAGATGCTATCCAGCGCAATGACTTTCTCTGACAAAAGTGGCACCTTGGACCATCGCTGCATCAAGACTTGAATGACTCGACCCAGCGGTGGTATAGACACTTCAATGACTAACCTCCCCAGACTGTGTGTTTGGTTGCTGATTGCAGATCGAGCCTTACCTCGTGCTTCTGCAAATACTCTTCAGAATCTATAGCGGCATCCAGAACCATGCTCTTTGGTGAGGCCAGCCGACTGGCATACTCTATGCTGATCGAGACCTCTCCGTGGTAGGCAGCTGAGCAGGTTCCTCAATCGGGACTAGCGTCGCTCCACGTTCGACGCCCGTCTTTAGCGACCAGGATGGCTTTGACATTTCTGACTCCTTCAACCATCAACAACGCGCGTGCTAGAGGTGCATCGGATCGCTACAACATCCACCATCGCACTCCACCCATTTTAAACCTCGATTGACGCGACATTTTGATCCTTCCGGTCCCATCCCTCGAAACTATTCACGATGCCTGGCGGAAAGGGAAAGTCCATCGGTGGAAAGGGTGGCTCCAAGGACTCTGCGGGGAAGAGCCAGAAGTCTCACAGCGCAAAGGCCGGTCTGCAGGTCCGTAATTGCAGTCTCTTTCTTCCTTCCTCCTGGCAGTGGCGTTGGTCGCGGCGTTAATCAGCAAGTCGCGGGAACGCGTGGTTGTGGCAGCTGTAATGGGAATTTTTTCCCTCTGCCCCTCATGCAAGCTGTCTCCTTGACGTCTGCCTGTACTTGGTCTGCTCTCTGATTCAGATGGTCGCTTGTATATTTATGGCTCACAAGCGCGCTGGCCGTTTCCGTGCGAAGCCAGAGACCCGATCATCCGCGCCTTGAATCCCCCTCCTACCCCCCTCCCTCGATTCTGACTCTTGGACTCCAACATGCATTCATCTATTGCTCTTGCTTTGAATCCGTAAACTGACATCTAGTTGTTAAGTTCCCTTGTGGACGTGTTAAGCGTTTCCTGAAGAACAACACACAGAACAAGATGCGCGTTGGTGCCAAGGGTATGTCCATCTGTCGCAGAGTGTCCTCTTCACTGCTGCTAAAGACTCCCATCTCCTCCAAAAGTTGCTGACAAATACCGCCCACAGCTGCTGTCTATGTCACTGCCGTCCTCGAATACTTGACCGCCGAAGTCCTCGAACTTGCCGGAAACGCCGCCAAGGATCTGAAGGTCAAGCGTATCACGCCCCGTCACTTGCAGCTCGCGATCCGTGGAGACGAGGAACTGGATACTCTCATCCGTGCTACGATTGCCTTCGGTGGTGTTCTGCCACGCATCAACCGCGCACTGCTGCTGAAGGTCGAACAGAAGAAGAAAAGCAAGACTGACGCTTGAACCCTTTTAACGGCGGACCGGATACCCGACGAACAAACGGCGTTTCGATAATGATGAATTCAAATCCCGGGGATGAATTAAGCCCGTTGTTCTATGCCTTTGGTCTTCACCTCGCTTTTGGCCCTTGGCCAACATGATCCAAGGATCTTGAGGAGTGGATGAAACGGGCACATTTTCTTAATCTCCCCCGGCACGCTACCCGTTCGAAATGTTTCTTTAGCTCTGTTTGTCTCTTTCTGCTTTCTTTCATGTGCTTATCCCCCCGACAGTTTTTTTCTATCCTTGTCTCCACTTAAACTTCTTGTTTTCATTTCTATCCAGGGCGCTGTAATGGGAAAAAGGGAATATCTCGGCAGTCGGTTTTATTTTATTGACTATTCTTCTCGTGTTACTGCCCTTGACGTGTCTATCTATCTTTCTCCATGTCTCCTTATAATCTACTATGAAATGGTGTTGTTTGTGCTCTGACTGTACTTGACGAGACTGATTCGGATATATCCTCCTCTTGTCACATGATAAGACAGTTTGACTTTTGGTTAGAATTGTAGAACAGGCTGACTATTCTCGGAGAGAGCGGTGTGTTTGAGAGTAATTGACAGTAGATCAAGACATAACTGCCCAGCCCTTTTCAAAGGCCGGGGTCCTCGCAATGAATAGATCTATGCACATTGGAGATGAGTGTTACTGCATCCCAGTCATTTGTATTAAGTAACGGGGACAAGAATAACTAGTTTGGAAGGGAAAATGGAACGAACCTTTCACTCAAATGATGGACGACAAAAAAAAACAAATGGGGATCCGGGAGCATCGAGTCCGGTAGGTCCTGTGCAGAAAATATATAATCATAAGCTTGAACTTCTCTTCCACTAATCGACCCAACTGAGCACGCAGCACGGGACAGCGCAGAACACCAACATTACCATTCCTCAACAACTATATCTCCCTCGCCACTGTGATCAAGATAGAGAGGGAGGGAGAGAGGCATTGGTGTACAGATGGTCAATTCAAGTTGGGTTTTGAGTAGTTACAAAGCGTGGAATACGCTGGGACTACAGGCCAAAGATAGTGCAGGCCGTGTTCCACAAGTCCAGATAACATTGAGGCCCTTCCGATACCTCGAATCCTACCTCTGATTAACTAACACATTAGAGAAATCGAGTGCATCTGGAGGTAAGAGAACGATACAGTAATGAGTAACCTACTCCATGGTCAAAGAGACAATAGACTCCGAAAATTAAAAGGCAAACAATACATGACACCCCATTACTCGACAGTCTAGTAGTAGCAGAGACGGCGTAAATAAGAAAGAAAAAAAGGTCAATAGCTGATACACAGTACACGTACAAAGTTCATGTCGATCATATTTCAAGACGAAAGAAAAAAAAAACAAACCCATCCACACATCAGTTGAGACTGTTGCCCTGGCATCGGCAAAAAAAAAGACAACGGCCGAGCGGAACTCTTCAGCAGATAGCAAAGAATGCCACGAACTGTTCTTCTCTCTCACACCGAAAGCTGGAAACCATTGTATGCATCAGGGTTTAGGCGTTCCGCCCCAACAATGCGCCCTTTGCTCGGAAGATGTCCATGCGATAAGATTCCTCAAACGATAGTGACTGGATTACAAATGCACAAATAAGCCCTCAAATATAAGAGCCCGGTCAAAGGGAACGGTCCAGGCATCAGGCGCAACGCAGATGCAAATGCAGCCTTGTGAGAGAGACCGGCCCAATGAGCATCGGTCACACCACACGCGTGCCTAGACCTGAATAAGAAGGAGTCGAGAACAAGGATTGCCACAAGGAGCGAAAGGAAGGGGAGCAAAGGATAGAAGAAGAGAAAGAAAAAAACATTAATTGATGCAGATCGCCCCATATACAAACAGATAAACAAACAAGAAAAGAAATAGATAGTGAAGATGCAAATGCTGGTAGGTCATCATCTCTCTTGCCAATATAACAGACATCGGAGTTCTTTTTCTTTTCTGTGGTCGTCCTTCGTAGTCTTCTTTCCTTCGAGAATAAAATGAGATTTTATCTTGCTTTCCGCCGACCCAACTTGATCGAGCTTCAGGGGTCATGAGATCTGAATAGATAGTGATGATTCTGCATGCAAGGCGCCCGCGTCTCAAAAGTTCAGAGATTTCTTTTTTCTGATGTGATTTTTTTCCGCGCAGCAAGGAGAAAACATAAAGAGTCCGTTCAAACAGCGTGCCTGCTGGGCTGCCCCAAAAATAACGTCTAAACTTGGCTAGATCAGAGAAATATTCTTTTGTGGTTCTCTCGGTAGAGTGTCATCTCGTCATCCCTCATCGAATCGTAAGCCAATAATCGCAGAACAGGATCAGGCCTCGTGATATAAGAGTCGTATGCATCTTGCGGCAAAGCAATCTAACAAGTTTCGTCGTCTTCGTCTCCCATCAATTGATTTTACTCCACAATAATTTCCACTCCGGAGCTGGTGCGCAACTCATCACTCCCACGCGTTTGGTGTCCGGTCGGGCGTCGAAATCCTGGGCCTTTCTCGGGCATCGGGCCTCGCGGCTGTCTAATGGGCATGCGCTCCTGTGACTGTCCGTCAAATCCAACTCCGATGGATCGGTTACTACCAATGGGACCAGCGCTGGAGGGCTGACTTTCCGGCTGCTCCCAAGAAAACATACCCCTCAATCTCCGCGGGCTCGCGTTAGGCCCTCCAATCCCAGTTCCCAAAGAAAGACTGCTCAGGCTGTTCACCAGCAGGCTGTCGTCACGCTGCATGCCGAGAGAGGAGCCGGACGGGGCGGACGTCAGGGTAGGGGTGTTGGACGTGCCGCTGGCGGTGCCGTCATAGTGCTGAAGACGTGCGCCGTTGGACTGCAAGGCGGCAGGGAAGCTCGCAGAGGAGGGCACGGGCGAGGGGGTGTAAGAGCGCAAGTCGGCAAACGATTTCGCCGCCCGCAGGTTCTGTGTGTTCCCGAAGTTGCCGGGGGAGTCCAAGACTCCGAGAAAGCCAGATGGCTGTCCGCGCAGGGTGTTGAAAGGGGTGGGTCCGTCGCCCCGAGACTCACTGAAATCGATGGTGGCTGCGCGGTTGAGTCCCCGACGTGCCGTTTCGACCGGCTGGACTGGTGCAGGAATAGACGACATGGGCGGGCTCACATTAGTACCGGGTGCAACCTTGAAGACTTGGACCTGTCGCTGCTCTCCTGACCCACGGGACGCATGCCCAAGTCCCATGTTGTGGGCAAGGGTGTGCACCGTACGGCGCTGGATAGGCGAAAGGTTGGCCGGGAACACCATCGAGTCGCGGGCAGTATCCTCCTTGAAAAGCAGCAGTTGCGAATAATATGACAGTGTTGTGCTGTCATTCAGATCGACGTCTGTGGACAGATGAGAATCGTTAGCGACACGCAAACAGCGCAAAACATGAGGAAGCATCTTACCCAGCTTCTGACCCCGCTGCGACACGGGCGACGGAGAGGTCGCGGGCAGGTGGGAGGTGAGAGAAGACATGGAGCTCTGAGTCTGCAGCTGCGAGGTCGCCATAGGACGGTGCTGCTCTTCCAGCTGGCCACGCCGCTCGCGCTTCTCACGCTCAATCCGCTCGCGTTCCTGCAGAGGGAGCATTTTCTTATATTCAACCCGCAATTTCCGACCCTGCAGCTCGAAATGGTTCAGAACCTCGATGACGGTCGCAGTTTCCTCTGCGGAAGTGAAATTGGCGAAAGCCAGTCCTCGAAAGACACCGTTGTCGAAATGGTAATTGAACGCATAGGGAAGTGGCAGATTAAGCTCAGTCATGAGCTGCACCAATTGCTCCTTCTTAACTGCGAATGGAATGTTCTTGATGACAATGGCCGTCGGGATGAGCTCATCATCTGCCTCCGAAGGGCCCGTCGGTTCCTGGCGCATCGCGTTACCCTGGAGAGGACCGGGGCCAAGGTTGGAAAAGCCACTGGGGATGCCCGGCTGCTGATCGAGCCACGTCTATGAGAACGAAGTTAGCGGACCCAAAATCACGGTAAACCAGTCAGGGGCGAGCGGGACATACAGTTGGCAGACCAGCTCGACCGGTGCGCGAGGTGGTCTTCAAGCTGGCCGATGCGGATCGGATGCCTCCCAGTGCTTGGGCGTTGGCGAAACCATTGGGATTCCACGTCTGAGAACCCGCCAGGTCGTAAGCGTAGGCGTTGTTGTGCAACGAGGAGTTCAGGCGCTCCAGCCGGCCAGAATCGTAGCGAGCCATTGAGTCCTCATACAAATTCACTGGCATGGGGCCGTACGCGTCAAATTGTCGCGACGGCTGGCGGTGCAGAGGTTGCTGGTGACGCTGGGAACCAGGGGAACGCGCCGAAGTATTGTCATGATACATTTCTTGAGCTTGTTGATAACTCATGGCGACCGAGAGATTGTAAATTCCCAAGAAACGACCAACCCGAGGAATGTGGGCACTGAGATCCACCACACAACGATTCGTTCAATGAGAAGCCGATATTCGGAGGAAACTATTCAAACATAGGAGCGACCGATAAGGCGCTAGGACCAGTAACAGATGAATCCCCCAACGACAATAAGTCACGGATGATGATCGAGTTGTGCGGAATTTCAAAATCCGAGAGGGAATGGTCGAAGATAAGATCAACCACCAACGAGAAGCGGATGACCTAAGACGGCGACGGTTGCAAGTGAAAAAAAGAGGGGGAATGCGAAGAAGCGAAGAGGAGGCTAAATCGCAGGCGAACTAATTGTCTCGTGACGAAAGGGTCATCAATGGCCGTATGAATCCTCAGGCGTTAATCGATTTCAGGAACTTTTTTTCTTCCCACTTCCCTAGGGATATTAGAAACGGGCAAGAAGGGAGAATGGAATGGAGATCAGAGGAAGGGGCAGGAGGAAAATAGGAAGTGATGTAAGAAAAAAAAAAAGAAACAGTGACAATGACAATGATGAGGATAATAACAAACAAGTGAATAAAAGAAAAGAGGAAGAGAAAAGAGAGGGAAGAGAAATTGCCACTAC